AAGGAAGGTATTTAGGTAGTTTTTAAGGATTTACATGGGGGTCTAGCCACAGGAAGGTATTTAGGTATTTTTGAAGGATTTCAGCCATGGGGGTATCTTAAGCCATCAGGAAGGTATTTAGGTAGTTTTGAAGGGATTTCAGCCATGGGGGTATCTTAAGCCATCAGGAAGGTATTTAGGTAGTTTTTTGAAGGGGATTTCAGCCATGGGGGTATCTTAAGCCATCAGGAAGGTATTTAGGTAGTTTTTGAAGGGATTTCAGCCATGGGGGTATCTTAAGCCATCAGGAAGGTATTTAGGTAGTTTTTGAAGGGGTTTCAGCCATGGGGAGTATCTTAAGCCATCGAGAAGGTATTTAGGTAGTTTTGAAGGGGATTTCAGCCATGGGGGTATCTTAAGCCATCAGGGAAGGTATTTAGGTAGTTTTTGAAGGATTTCAGCCATGGGGGTATCTTAAGCCATCAGGAAGGTATTTAGGTAGTTTTTGAAGGGGATTTCAGCCATGGGGGTATCTGAAGCCATCAGGAAGGTATTTAGGTAGTTTTTGAAGGATTTCAGCCATGGGGGTATCTGAAGCCATCAGGAAGGTATTTAGGTAGTTTTTGAAGGGGATTTCAGCCATGGGGGGTATCTGAAGCCATCAGGAAGGTATTTAGGTAGTTTTTGAAGGGATTTCAGCCATGGGGGTATCTTAAGCCATCAGGAAGGTATTTAGGTAGTTTTTGAAGGGGATTTCAGCCATGGGGGGTATCTTAAGCCATCGGAAGGTATTTAGGTAGTTTTGAAGGGATTTCAGCCATGGGGGGTATCTGAAGCCATCAGGAAGGTATTTAGGTAGTTTTTGGAAGGGGATTTCAGCCATGGGGGTATCTTAAGCCATCGGGAAGGTATTTAGGTAGTTTTTGAAGGGGATTTCAGCCATGGGGGGTATCTTAAGCCATCAGGAAGGTATTTAGGTAGTTTTTGAAGGATTTCAGCCATGGGGGTATCTTAAGCCATCAGGAAGGTATTTAGGTAGTTTTTGAAGGGATTTCAGCCATGGGGGGGTATCTGAAGCCATCAGGAAGGTATTTAGGTAGTTTTTGAAGGGATTTCAGCCATGGGGGGTATCTGAAGCCATCAGGAAGGTATTTAGGTAGTTTTTGAAGGGGATTTCAGCCATGGGGGTATCTTAAGCCATCAGGAAGGTATTTAGGTAGTTTTTGAAGGGGATTTCAGCCATGGGGGGTATCTTAAGCCATCAGGAAGGTATTTAGGTAGTTTTGAAGGGGATTTCAGCCATGGAGGGTATCTTAAGCCATCAGGAAGGTATTTAGGTAGTTTTTGAAGGGGATTTCAGCCATGGGGGTATCTTAAGCCATCAGGAAGGTATTTAGGTAGTTTTTGAAGGGATTTCAGCCATGGGGGCATCTGAAGCCATCGGGAAGGTATTTAGGTAGTTTTTGAAGGGGATTTCAGCCATGGGGGGGTATCTTAAGCCATCAGGAAGGTATTTAGGTAGTTTTTGAAGGGGATTTCAGCCATGGGGGGGTATCTTAAGCCATCAGGAAGGTATTTAGGTAGTTTTTGAAGGGGAATTCAGCCAGGGGGTATCTTAAGCCATCAGGAAGGTATTTAGGTAGTTTTTGAAGGGGATTTCAGCTAGGGGGGTATCTTAAGCCATCAGGAAGGTATTTAGGTAGTTTTTGAAGGGGATTTCAGCCATGGGGTATCTTAAGCCATCAGGAAGGTATTTAGGTAGTTTTTGAAGGGGATTTCAGCCATGGGGGGGTATCTTAGCCATCGGGAAGGTATTTAGGTAGTTTTTGAAGGGATTTCAGCCATGGGGGTATCTTAAGCCATCAGGAAGGTATTTAGGTAGTTTTTGAAGGGATTTCAGCCATGGGGGTATCTTAAGCCATCAGGAAGGTATTTAGGTAGTTTTGAAGGGGATTTCAGCCATGGGGGTATCTTAAGCCATCAGGAAGGTATTTAGGTAGTTTTTGAAGGGATTTCAGCCATGGGGGTATCTTAAGCCATCAGGAAGGTATTTAGGTAGTTTTTGAAGGGGATTTCAGCCATGGGGGGTATCTTAAGCCATCGGGAAGGTATTTAGGTAGTTTTTGAAGGGATTTCAGCCATGGGGGTATCTTAAGCCATCAGGAAGGTATTTAGGTAGTTTTTGAAGGGGATTCAGCCATGGGGGGTATCTTAAGCCATCAGGAAGGTATTTAGGTAGTTTTTGAAGGGGATTCAGCCATGGGGGTATCTTAAGCCATCAGGAAGGTATTTAGGTAGTTTTTGAAGGGGAATTCAGCCTAGGGGGTATCTTAAGCCATCAGGAAGGTATTTAGGTAGTTTTTGAAGGGGATTTCAGCCATGGGGGGTATCTTAAGCCATCAGGAAGGTATTTAGGTAGTTTTGAAGGGTTTCAGCCATGGGGGTATCTTAAGCCATCAGGAAGGTATTTAGGTAGTTTTTTAAGGGGATTTCAGTCATGGGGGTATCTTAAGCCATCAGGAAGGTATTTAGGTAGTTTTTGAAGGGGATTTCAGCCATGGGGGGGTATCTCTAAGCCATCGGGAAGGTATTTAGGTAGTTTTGAAGGGATTTCAGCCATGGGGGGTATCTTAAGCCATCAGGAAGGTATGTAGGTAGTTTTTTGAAGGGATTTCAGCCATGGGGGGTATCTTAAGCCATCAGGGAAGGTATGTAGGTAGTTTTTGAAGGGGATTTCAGCCATGGGGTATCTTAAGCCATCAGGAAGGTATGTAGGTAGTTTTTGAAGGGGATTTCAGCCATGGGGGCATCTTAAGCCATCGGGAAGGTATTTAGGTAGTTTTTGAAGGGGATTTCAGCCATGGGGGGTATCTTAAGCCATCAGGAAGGTATTTAGGTAGTTTTTGAAGGGGATTTCAGCCATGGGGGGTATCTTAAGCCATCAGGAAGGTATTTAGGTAGTTTTGAAGGGATTTCAGCCATGGGGGGTATCTTAAGCCATCGGGAAGGTATGTAGGTAGTTTTTGAAGGGGATTTCAGCCATGGGGGGTATCTTAAGCCATCGGGAAGGTATGTAGGTAGTTTTTGAAGGGGATTTCAGCCATGGGGGTATCTTAAGCCATCGGGAAGGTATGTAGGTAGTTTTTGAAGGGGATTTCAGCCATGGGGGGTATCTTAAGCCATCGGGAAGGTATTTAGGTAGTTTTTGAAGGGGATTTCAGCCATGGGGGGTATCTTAAGCCATCGGGAAGGTGTTTAGGTAGTTTTTGAAGGGGCATTCGCCTAGGGGAGGTGTCTAAAGCCATCAGGAAGGTATTTAGGTAGTTTTTGAAGGGGATTTCAGCCATGGGGGTATCTTAAGCCATCGGGAAGGTATTTAGGTAGTTTTTGAAGGGGATTTCCGCCATGGGGGGTATCTTAAGCCATCGGGAAGGTATTTAGGTAGTTTTTTAGGGGGATTTCAGCCATGGGGGTATCTTAAGCCATCGGGAAGGTATGTAAGTAGTTTTTTGAAGGGGATTTCAGCCATGGGGGTATCTTAAGCCATCGGGAAGGTATTTAGGTAGTTTTTGAAGGGGATTTCAGCCATGGGGGTATCTTAAGCCATCGGGAAGGTATTTAGGTAGTTTTTGAAGGGGATTTCAGCCATGGGGGGTATCTTAAGCCATCGGGAAGGTATTTAGGTAGTTTTTGAAGGGGATTTCGGCTAGGAGGGGGTCTAAAGCCGTCAGGAAGGTATCGAAGTAGTTAGTGGAAGCAGGTAGATAGGTAGGTGTATTACATGGAGGGTAACCCGAAGGCCAGATGGTTACAGTCGCGAAGCGACTGGAACCATCTGGTAGAATATAAATTTCTAATGTCCGTGCGCCCGACGTCCGACCGCGACCGGGAATTCAGCCAAATTTTGCATTCAAATTCAAAATTCTAATTGTGGGGGGAGGCCAGCGCTGAAACCCCGCGTAGCGGGGTGTCAGCGCTGGTTTTATATAAAAAACTCACCTTTGGTGGGCTTGGTGCAGGGCCTTTAGAAGTTTGACGAGCTGGGTTGAAAGATCCGCTTGTGGCCGTCAGAAGGCTGCGGGAGACCAATTGATTCGAACACATTTGCTTCATGTGTTGGCACGACCCAATATATGGCGCGGCTACTCTAAAAAAATGAAATTCACAACGGAAGCGTTGGCCCAACCGATAAAAATGCATCCTCCGGACTAGCCTTCCAGCGAACCTGCCGCGTTTCGTGGATGCTGAAAGAAATGTTATTGTCGGTATCACGCGCAAACGTCGAAGGTCGAAAGCTACAAAAAAAAACTGAGCTGGTTCTCAACACAAGGCTACGAAGACCCCCATGCGGTTTGGATATACAGGTGTCCCAAAAAATCGGCCGCCTCTAGCTGGCCGTAGAAAGTTCGGATCGGGATGATTTTTGTACCATTCGAAAGCTCTCGAAAAAGCGAGAAAACAAGTAGTTTTACAAAGTTTTTTAGCCCGCCTTGGTATTAAACGATTTCTTAAAATCGCGTCAAATCAGCGTCGTGCTGTTAGCTTGAACTGCGGATTTTGCATAACATCTGCTTTTTTCATTTTTTTTTTCTTAATTTATAAATTAAAATGTCTATGCTGAAAAACAACAACTGCTTTTTGTCTCGCCTTTCCGAAAGCTTTCGAAAGATGCCTAAATCGTCAAAATCGGACACGACCCACCCCGCCAGAGGGGTCGATTTTTTTGGACACCCTGTATGCTTGGAATGGCGGCCCGCTGTCCAATTTAGAGGAAAATCCGGTTCAAGCTGAAAAACAGAGCACTAATGGGAAATTGCGTCATTTGAAACCACATTCGGTTGGAAAAGGATTGTTTTTCGATTTTAGCGCACGCTACGACACTAAACGTGCCGCTCCTATCGACAGCTGGCGGAGTCGATAAACTGAACGGAAGGCTTCCGCTTCTTCTTCTAAACAGGGGTGCTTCTCGTCGAATGGGAAAAAGAATACCCTGCTAGTAATTTACTAAATTGCTTGAATCGATGGACTACAAATGGAGCATCGACCTGGCCACGCTGCTGCGCACAAACAAGGGACAGAAAATCTCCATATCAAGTGAGACTTTTTACTTTAGTTATATCCTGTTATTCTAGCAAAAGGCAACGACCCGAATGCAACGCCATACCTCGAGGCGTTATTGTCACACTTTTCTCACACACCAATTAATGTCAAGCGGTGAGTTGCCAAATGTTGCCGTGAATTCTTTTAGGGGAAACAAGCTGTATCCCTTGACGTTTCCTCTAAAGTTCGTCCCATATGATGAGAAAAATATCTTCATCCCCCAATGCGTGACCAACTTTTCGACGCTACCGTTCGTCCACCTGTTTTTCATCAGTGTGGCGGTAAGTAAAGCCGTATCGTGCCCTTTTTCATGTCTCTCTGTTAGTCCGTCGATGAATACAAGACCTCCGTACGACATAATATCTCGGAATGGTTTGCGGCGCTTTCGTCAAAAAGTGGTAAGTCTATTTTTATCAATCAGTTTCCTATCAGATACCCAATGGTTAATCGTCGTTGATTCAACGCGGGCGAAGGAAAAGAAGAATAGGTCGCAATTGTTGGACAAGCTCAAGAGCGACTTTAGCAAACATCAACAAAGGTAAATTTTACATTGAACGTCATTCCTTTTCAGATTGATCGAAATCTCGGAATCTGTTGAACATGGATCATTTGCTTCACTCGTACAAGCGCTGCGCAGCGCATTGGCAACTCATTATGAGGTACAGCGTGTCCCAAATAAAAGACCCCCTCTAGGCGTCGGCAGTGATGTCCTATTTTTACGATTTAGGTATCTATCGAAAGCTCTCGATGAGCTGAGGAGATATATTCTCTCCGATTTTTGAAATTCCCGAATTTTTAACCCGATTTTCAACGTTTTTTTAGGGCATAAATTACGCAATTTTCTGCGAAAACTCAATTTAATCCGTTGCAGTCCCATCAAGCCGTGTTTTCTCAAATTCCTTTCAAAAAGCCGACCTTGGGCTGCCAAAAAGATGTAAAAATTTGGAAAATCGGGTCTTTGTTAAAAACAATTGCATGGAAAAAGCATCGAAAATTCAACCAATTTTGCAAAAATGTCGGTAAACTCGGGAATTTCGAAAATCGGCTGGAACAAATCTCCTCAGCTCGTCGAGAGCTTTCGATAGATACCTAAACCGTAACAATCTGACCTCACTGCGGGCCGCTAGAGGGCGGTCTTTTTTTGGGACTCCCTGTACTCGTCATTCTGGCTTCAATATGGTGTTTTTTAGATCATCGTCGATTTCTGGGAGAAGCAGCTACGTCAGTTGAAGGAGAACCGCCAGGAAAATTGGGATATCTTTCTTTACGCAAATGAACACGTGAGGCTCATCCCTTCTTTTGAATCTGAATTAATTTAGATGGATTTTGCGCGATTCTTCTGGAGCCTGGGATGCCTGGAGTACGCGCTGAAGCTCTATGATGATTTGGATGCGCTACTATACACAACGTTATCTACCTTATCACCGGGTATCAGCAGCTTCACCCACTTGAAAGGATTTTTTTAGGCCACCCACCCGAATGGTTGGCTAAGCTGCCGCGTGGAACGAAGAGTTGCCCGAAAATTTCTGAAGCTGTGCATTTCAATTGCGTGCCGGATGAATTTCGATCCTTTTTAGGTACCCTTTATAGGCTTTTAGGTATCCCAAAAAACACTCCCCCTTTAGCCGGCCGCAGACGTGCCTGATTTTTACGATTTAGGTGTTTATCGAAAGCTCTCGAAGCGGCGAGTCCAGCATCCTACGGATTTTCGAAAGATCAGAATTTTTTGCTCGATTTTCGGAATTTTTCCTGCAAAAAAGGGCAATTTAACCGGGTTGAGCGTTATCCAAACTGTGTTTTCGCAAGCTACTTTCAAAAAGCGGTCGTTGGGCTGCCAGGCAAGGCTTAGAAAGGTTTAAAAAATAAGATTTTTGTAAAATCCCTTAGTCAGAAAAGATCAGAAAACCCCGCACTTTTCGCAAAAATTTTAGTCAATGTGAGAAAAATTTCAAAAATTTGAAAATAGGTGCGACGTCAGCCAACTCGCCGTTTCAACAGCTTTCGAGAGATATCTAAATCGTAAAAATCGGAGACGCGTTTTTGGTCGGCTAGCAGGGGGTGATTTTTTGGGACGCCCTGTAATGAATCCGGAGTACCTTAAACATCTAAATGGATGTATGGTGGCAAACCGACGGCTTCCAGGTCTCCGCCACGTCCTTGTATCGCAACAAATGCTGATTACGTTGGCAATCTACCAGCAAAGGATCCGATCTGCCACTGGGGCCGCACCATCTATCAGGTCAGAACCGTCAAAAAACCTCACCGATCTGTTCAGGGTGGATTTTGCTGGAATTTTGTTGCGCTACGCTTCCCATTGTATCCAAGTGGTCGTCGAACATGGGACGATACATAACGTGGGCTCTTTGCTTCGATCGTCAAATCCGGGTTGCAGATTTTACCCGATAAGTATGAGCGGGCCGCCTGGACTATCTATTTTGTCAACGAGGTATAGATACACACATTTTGCTAAAAATTTTGCTCAGACACTTTCCTTGTGTGATCTTCTAACATCATCCGGTGCCGTTGATGGGGTTTCGACGGCAGAATGTCATTTATACGCATCACGATTCAACTCGGTATTGTCTTCATACACATTGGAAAATAATTCGTTTTAGTTTTTGACTATCGGTGATTTGCTTCGCGATGAAAATCGCGTTGAAAGGGAGCATTTCTTGGAATGGTTTGGGAAGGTACGGTTTTTCCCTCGCCTCTACAGGGTGTCACAAAAAAAATCGACCTCCCTCTAGCGGTCCGGAGAAAGTGCGGATCGGGACGATTTTTACACCATTTAAAAGCCCTCGAAACGACGAGAAAATATGCACTTTTCGTTTCACAAGATTTTTAGACCGCGCTCGATATTCAACGATTTCTGAAAAAAAAACGTCAAATCAGCGGCGTGCTTTTAGCTTTAGCAATCAATTACATGAGGATTTTGCATAAAATCTACATTTTTCATGGATTTTGGTCCTGAATTTAGTGAATTAAAATGCTTGCATTGAAAAAGCAAAGTGCTTGTGTTCTCGCGTTCCAAGAGCTTTCGATAGATACCTAAATCTTCAAAAACGGACGCTACTGCGGCACGCTAGAGGCGTTCGATTGTTTTGGACGCCCTGTGTTTCCAAGTTACACTATCCGTTTTTTTTTTAAAAAGCTCCTGTTTTTAGACAGATGCCCTGCTACTTGGAGCGCTGCCATCTGAAGCAACCCTCTTCACCCAGGTTTAACCCTTGAATATTCGCTAATTCGTTTAGATTCAAAAAGTCTATGAAGTCACCGCGAATTTCCTGATCCAGTCTGGCCGCCATCGAACTTATGTCATTATCGGGCAGCAATATGCAGATTACTTACGGTGACTGACTGCCTAATTCCTTGAAAAACTGAGCTTTAGGGCACACGGGCATATAAACGAGTCGCTTTCGTTCGAAATATCCTACATTCTGCAATTGATCGCGGGCGGATCCCCGGCGGAATTGGTGCACACCGTCGCACAACGAGTTCTGCCAAAATTGGACACCGATGCTGACCAGATCACGTGGGGTTTTTTTTTATTTTCTGCAAATGCTCATTTAGAATTCTGACAATACTACTGTATCTCGCACTCAATGGTGACAGCAATGGGCATTATCGCGAGCAATTGGATGTGTTTATGCAACAAAACACCGACGCAAATCTCATGTAATTTTTGGGGATTTTGCTTGACAATGTTAATTATAGATGTTTGCCGTCCATCCAGTGTCCGTTCAAAATACGCTTTGGCAGTGTTGGGATGCCTGTATTGATGCCTGGTGACACCTTCTCCATCCAATCATCGATAACTTCGGATTTTCCGTACGAGGTGAGCAATATTTCTATACAGGGCGTCCCAAAAAAACCGTCCCTCGGCATTTGGCCGTCTTCTATTTGATCGGGACCTAATTTTTACCAGCGATGGGGACTCATAAAAACCAGACATGGCAAAACGGCCGCCGCGGCTGGCCGGAAGCCGCATGCAAATTTTTTTCATGGCCGGGGCCGGCCGCAAAGCCGCAAAAATTACCCACGGCCGCAGCCGGGCCGGGCCGCAAAAACGTCCTGGGGACGCAGCCGGCCGCGGCTTTCGCAATGAACTGCTCGTTGCCTTTTTCCTTTTCAGAAATCATGCAAATCAGTAAAATTCAACTCGAAATCCTAAAAATAGGTCATTATTTTCGCTATGGTGCAGCCGCGGCCGGCCGCGGCCGGCCAGACTCTTTTTTGGAGACGGCCGCGGTGGCCGGGATTTATGCTAATTTCATATGCGGCCGGCCGCGGCCGGCCATGGGTAGCTACGGCCGGGCCGGCCGGGCCGGGCCGCGGACACTTGCCATGTCTGATAAAAACAATGCGCAGCCGAATTTTCCGGGCAAAATCTGTAAAACAAAAAAGTTATCGCTGAAAAACTGATTTTTGGGAAAAGCTGGTACTCATTTTTGCTGTTTTCGCAATTAGAATCAATATTTTCAGTAATTTTCCGAAAATTCGTCATTTTCAGGTCGGTTTCTGCCAATTTTGTGAATCAAAAAAGTTATAAAAAGTCGCAATTTAGACGTCATTTTCGTTAATCAAAAATTAATCGGCAAAATAACCCTTATTTTAGCGACAACTTTTTTGTTTTACAATATTTGGCTTGGAAAATTCGGCTGCGCATAGTTTTATGGGTCCGCATCGCTGGTAAAAATTTGGTCCCGATTCGATAGAAGACGGCCAAATGCCGAGGGGCGGTTTTTTTGGGACACCAGTAGCTCCAACAATCGAGCATGCTTGATTTTCACTTTACAGCTTGTGGATTGCCGCGTCAGGATTCGCATGAGCCCAATCTCACAGCAGATCCTCGCCAAGATGACCGCTCCGGCTTTTCAGTTGGGCTATGACGTGAGTCGTCAATTTCCGGCCTTTATTCTGGCTTTTAGAAAGAGGATCAGAAGGCGATTATGACGTGCGTGATCACGGATGAAGACGTCAAATTGGCGGAGCCCGCTTCGAAGAATGATATCTACCTGGCGGTAAAGGAATTTGCTTGATACTGATTCCATGAATTTAGTCTGAGACCTCCGTTGCCCTCAAACCTGGCGCCAATGTCATTTCAGTGTCGGGAAACGTGGCCGAACGTGGGATATACATCTTTAATGGGTATTGATTAGTACTTTAACTATGTATATAAATGTTTGTATAGGATAGACGTGATGCTGGGCAATGCGTCTGTTCGATTCCCCTTACCAAATGATTCGATCATCGGCCGCGATCGAATACCAATGTTTCTCGTCCAGAAGACTCCCAACAAATTGGATGTCAAAATGCCCAGTCAGTTGATTCAACTTGCCATTTTGCCGCTAGTAGTCGTTCTCACGAAGAACACCTTATTTTTGGTTCTGGACTGTTAACGGGGGGAGGGGGGGGACCACCGACTGTTTTTCCACCTAATCACGACCTACCTGTTGATAACATTATTATGTTTTTATAGTGTTTTTAGTGGTTTTTGGTTGCTAAAAAGTTATAAAAAATACTTTTTTAAATGTTGAAATTTCGAAAATTGACATTTTATGGTGTTTTTTGACCAAAAAGCCTTTTTTAATGTTGTTTTTATATCTAAAAACTATGTAAAAAGCTATGAAAATGGTTTATATTTTGTTATAGGGCGGTAGAAAATCAGAAAAATTTGGTTCCACCTCTAAAGATCCGCCCCCCCCCACTAACAGTCCAGAACCCATTTTTTGAGATGGTATCGAACCCCGCAAATCGGCGTGGATGGCAATTCATTCCCCCTTCTACCATTCTCTTCATCTCCATGCGCTACCACTATTTAGGCATGTTAATCGCCGGCATCACCCAGACGCTGACGATAATTTTGGAGGCTGGCGCGCGTCAGGAAGACGTCACGGAGATCACGATATCTACCCGGGGAACAAAGAGGATTGTCTTCTTGGTTGGTGCCCTGGCCACAACGCTTTTATGATTCGAATTCAGAACAAGGACAAATGGGGCGCGCAGTTTGTCGACACGGTGCCATCAATGCAGAAGGACGATCGGCACGAATTTGAGGTAACGCAGTTGGACGGGGGAACCAAACGCCGCAAGCCTAATTTTTTTATAAATAGCGCATGCGTTTCTAAATTGTTTTTAGTTATTCCCACGCATAAAATCTTTAGAAAACCTTTATTAAAACAGTTAGATTTTAGGTCGAAAAATTGATTTTTCGAGCCAAAATGACCAAATTTTCGACTTTTTCAGACGTTTTCCAAACTTTTTTGAAGTTTTTCTATTTTAAATATAGTTAAAACGTACTAAAAAAATGTAAAAACACTTTTTATTTGATTTCTAGACCAACCGGGACCACTAGGAAAAAATTGGTTCCCGTATTTTCCAGATCCACCTGCGATGCCACCTCGATGGCCAAACCGTTTCGCGCGACGAATTATTCAAGGAGAAGGTAGCACTTTTGAATGGTTTGAAACTAAGCTTTTTTCCAGATTTTCCTGGAATGGCTCGGACAAGTGTGGCCCGTTGAGCTTAGTTTTAAGCCGCTATTCACGCTCGCCAGTTCTACGACACAGCTTGAGGCGAAGTGAGTACACGCTTTCGCTTACAAGGAGCGTTTTTTAGGTGATCTTGCTATGTGAAATAGCTCATTCGATAAAGCTTGAAATTCTGAACAAATCCCATCTGCAAAAACCGCTGAACGATAACGGTCTATGAAAATAAGCTTCTCAAAATTCGCATTTTGTTAAGCGGGGGCCAAAAATGCTCAGAATCGGCCCTTTCAGAGGGAATTTTCTCAAAAACCGTAGTCGTTCAGCGGTTTTTGAAAGCTGAGATTTGTTCAGAATTTCAGGCTCTATCGAATGAGCTATGTCAGATCGCAAAATTGCACTTTAGTTGCCTACTCGAGACCGAAATGTCCCGACCAGCCGACTCGTTATGGACAATGGTGCTAGAAAAGGTTGACAAGCTTCTTCTAGCCCTAAAGCTGCCGATTTTAGGCCAGCATTGAAGTAACAGCGCATGGTTCCGCGTCAAATCATGGACAGGAAGAAAACCTGTTGGATGAACGAAACGAAACGGTTGAGGCAAGCGACGCCGTCAAAAACTCTTCTAAGGCTCACGTTGCTGAATTGTTGAATCCCGATCTGCCGGTGCGTTTTTTGAAGTGTGTTGGGTTCTTTAGGATTCGCGGCGGGACCAAATTTTTTTCGGCCTAAGCCAAAAAATTTTTCTAAATAGCGGATGTGTTTCTACATTGTTTTTAGTTATTCCTAGGCATAAAAACTATAAAAGTGTTATTTAAAAATGTCATTTTGGGTCCAAAAATTGATTTTTTTTCGACCCTAAAGACCATATTTCCGATTTTTCCAAAAATTCCTAACTTTTTGGAAAGTTTTGTTACTTTGAATATCGCTAAAACTTACAGAATCCAATCCTAAAGGACCAGTCGTTGCAAATATTTTTTAGTTGGCTCCTCCCTCCGCTGTAACCTCACTCGTTTGGCTATTGGGTGAGGGATCAGATGTGGCGGTTCAATGCCGGCTACGTATCGTCTACAGCGTCAATCCATCTGGAGATGGTGCTCCGAATGGCGATCAATACGTATACGAAGACGTAATGGACGTCATTGCCCCCAGGGTGTGTCAATCACTTATTTTGCAGGATTTTTGTATTGTTTAGGTGGAGTTCGAATTGTGTGCCCAAATGCTTTCACACCATCCGGGTGCACAATTATGCCGAGCTGGCACCCCGTGCGACCTTGTCATCAATCTACGATCGCTCACTAATCGGTATGGTATATTGTGTATTTTTATAGTGTTTTTAGTAGTTTTTAATTGCTAGAAAGTTAAAAAATATTTTTAAACATTTTGAAAATTTCTTTTTTATATTGTTTTTATATCAAAAGCTATGTCAATGCTATAAAAAATGGATTATTTTTGTTATAGGGCCGTAGAGAATCACAGGGAAAATTTGGTTGCCCCCCCCCCCCGCTAACAGTCAAGAACCGAGTTTTTTAGGATTGAGGCGTTGTTTATTAAAAAATTTTTAATTTAAAAATTCGAAAATTTGACCGTTTTTGGTCTTTTTTTATAAATTCTTGAGCAAAATGTCACAAATTTTGAAATTTTTATTGTTTTATCTCTAAAAACTTAGGGCCATAGAGAATCACAGGGAAAAATTTGGTTCCCCCGCTAACAGTCCAGAACCGAGTTTTTTAGGATTGAGGCCTTGTTTGTCACGTTGGCCGCCGACGAAGGAAGTTGGATGTTGGAAGAACGCGCGAAAAGTAACCAACTTTCCCGAGATGTACTCAAAGCATTCTAGTGGTCCATGTGAAAGAATCGGGGGTGGCGCAGATCGTGTTCACCGTTGTGCCCTGTATTGCTGGCTTCTTGCCATTCCCTTCCGTCAATGTATTCGCCGCCCAATCTAGCCAGGTTCTTTTTGTATCTATTTTTCAATTTTAAATATATTTTAGCAAAGCACCGGCGATGGCTTCTGGTCAGAAGAATTCACGGCCGGTCGATCGATAATTACCTTTCAAGTGAGTTGGGTTTTGGGCTAAAGACTAGGAACTCCCTGCCGTAACTTCTCGGCCATACGTCCTATTAATGCGTGGAGTATCTGAAAATGTTCGCCGGGTGCGAATTACTATAAAAATGTTGTTTCCTGACGCCAGAAATTGTTAGAAAAATTTTTTATAACAATTTTAAGTTTCTTTAATAATTTTTCCTGGTCGAAAGAAGTGAGTTTTCGTATCTGGGCGCTCCTCAGACCTACAGAGCTGTCAATAGTGCCAAAATGTAGCTCTAGCTCTGTAGAATAACGCTACAGTACGTTGGAAGCCAAAAAGTGGCTAAAAATAGAAATATTTGAGTTTCAAGTCTGTAGTACATTGAGGCATGGCGAATTGATCTTTTCACGTTTTAAAAAACCCTGTAAAAAATTTAGCGATTTTTGGCGTCAGGAAACAACTTTTTTATAATAATTTCACCACGGGGAACATTTTGAGGTACTCCACGCATTAATAGGACGTATGACTGAAAAGTTAGGGCTGTGGGAGTTGCCTAGACTCTTACCAGATCTTGTGCCGAATGGATTTCTCCTAGTTTCATTTTAGAGGACAGCCGGCAAGCAAATACGCGTTCTTGGCGGAATAGGCCGTCCGCCTGTCGAGAAGGAAGCCCGGAGCGCATTACGAACCAAATTAGGAAAACTATTCGATTGACCCGAAGTGCCTTATAGTTTGGCTTTTCCAGATGCTTTTTTCGTTCATAATTTTATCTTCTTCCTTGTGATACTCTGTGATATCTTGCTACGGTTCTGTGATAAAAGCCAAAGATTTTGTTGATTCTAATTTTTCGAGTCTTTTTTGGATATGCCTTGATAAAGAAATACAAAAAACCTACCTCGGTATTACGACTGGTTTGGTCCTGAATACCTCGTGAAGATCTTCATTTTTAGGTGCTAATGCAGTTACGGGGGGCTGTCCGAAATTGATGATAATAGGTTACGAGGCGCTCCGCTTAAGATACTTGGGGTTTAGCTAAAGCCTAGGCTTCACTTAGCTTTAAGCTTACCTATGCGTAGGAATTATGGACACCATCCCGAAAAGACACCATCCCGAAAGACACCATCCCGAAAAATTTGCATGCGAAAACTTCATTAGCATAGAAAAATAGCTCCTGTTTCTATAGTAGAGCTGACTTTTCGCATGCAAATTTTTCGGGATGGTGTCTTTCGGGATGGTGTCTTTTCGGGATGGTGTCCATCTACCATGCGTAGCTTAAGCTTAGCCTTAAGCCCAAAGTAAGCGTTTCTTAAGCCTTAAATTGGCTTCTGAGGCTAATTAGGGCTTTTCTTGGATTAGGCTTTAAATGGAGCGAAGTCTCGGTTAGGCTTTACTTATATTTTCCAGAGATCATATACGCATAGAGTTTAAGAAAACGGAATTACGATCGACTTGTACCCAAAATCCGGACTGCCCCCTAGGCGCATTAGAACCCATTGTTATAGCAGTTTTTAGAGATGCTCTGATGTACCGTATGAAAAAGCCGCGCACCGGCTTGTTCATAGTATTCTTGTGCCTGGGTTCGCTCTGGTGAGATAATCCGCGGTCGCGTCACTTATTTCAGTTACTTATTCTTCTTGACTATATGGCGTGGGGCCCCTTCATATACGGGCCTATTAAAAGCCTACCCAAGGCACGATGGCGCACTTTTCCCTGAGGTTTGCAATGAAACACCAAATAATAATTCAAATTCTTAAGATAATTGTACATTTGGACCTTAAAGGGGCTGCAATGAAGATGGCTGCCTATCGCGAGCTTTTTCCCGTTCTGGGCGCCTACGGAGCGACTGGCGTATTCCATCCACTTTAAAACAAAACACGGCTATTGTAGGTACTTGTGGAATATGAAGACATGTTCCCCTATTCTGACGAGTTGTCGGTGATCAAAAGGCCGACAGCCTATTCGAATAACGATATTGAGCAGTTAAACAAGGCAATTTTAGTTTTCAACGGACAGCTTACTTTTATTAATTACAGCTGGCCAACGATAACCAACTGGAATTGATCCCGCTCGTCCAAACCTTTGGGCATCTGGAATTTCTTCTGAAGCACGAGAGGTTTAGAAATTTATCGGAAAACCCTACGGAGGTAGGTTAGTTAGTACCAAATTGTTTCGGCCCAAGCCTGGTTTTTTATCAATCGCGGATGCGTTTTTAGATTGTTTTTAACTATTCCTAAGCGGAATACTATACAGATTTTCATTAAAAAACTTAATTTTAGATCGAAAAATTTATTTTTTCTACCCAAAATGACTAAATTTTCGACTTTTTCTAACATTTTTTGAAAGTTTTTCTACTTTAAATATAGTTAAAACTTGCTAAAAAAATGTAAAACAAATTATATTGGATTACTGGGCTAACCGGTACCGCCGAGAAAAAAATTGGTCCCCCTTCCCGGGAATCCCCAAGAACCTGGAGCGGTATTTAAAAGGCGGTGTCCGCTAAATTAATTCAGAAAAACGCTTTGAAATGTACCACAGCTTCTTCCTTAGAGAAACACCATATGCGTCTCTCAAGAAGATTCTTGGCGAGTCATCAAACTGATGCTCAACCAGGTTAACTGGGTGGATTTCCACTCACGATTCGATTAGATTCGAGCCCTACATCCGTTCTCAAAACGTATCCATATCGGAGCCGATGAAGCATACCACGTAGCCGAAGATGATGTCTGCAAACGTCGACTAAAGAAAGAATTTCATGAGCGGAAGGATATTTTGGGGTTAGCGCATATTGTCAGGTAAGATGATCACAGCTCAAAAAGGGCCGAAAGTGAAGTAAAATTTAGATTTTTAGAGAAATTTAAAGTAAACAGCTTTTAGGGTGGCTAAATATGCACGATCATTGGGGTTTGAGACGGTGTTTGCGTGGAACGACATGTTTCAGGCGACCGACGCAGATGTCTTATTGGTGGGCATCTTGATTGAATTTTTAGGATTTTCAGCAGATTTGCTATCATAGTGTCGAAATTTCATAATGCCGAAATTCAGAATGTCGACATTTTATTGTCCAGGATCCGGGGGTTTTACCGGTAATATTAGCCGATGTAAATTTCGACATTAAGAAATTTACACATGAATTTCGTCATTTTTAAATAAGCCTTTTCAGCACTATGAAATGCGCAAAGTAATCACTCCAGTCGTATGGGGCTACAAAAGTGATGTTACGCAGCCCGGATATTTCCCGGAAGGCCTATTCGCGAGACTCGATCAGGTAGGCGTCATGCAGAGATGTCATGCTCAAGCCGTTCAGTCGTTTGATTCAGTCTACTTTGCGACGGCGTTCAAGGGGGCCAACGGGCAGGGGCGCGTCTTTATTGATGTGCAGCGCTATCTGAACACCCATCGAAGCTACGTGAAACTTCTCAACGGTGATGCCCGAGTGGGTATATTAACCCGGTTCTGGACAGCCAGAGCAGGGGGGAAACCACCTTTTGTTTTCCACGTGTTGATGATATATTATGTCTTTTTATAGTGTTTTTAGTAGTTTTAGATTGCTAGAAAATTACAAAAATATTTCTTTAATTTTGAAAATTCGAAAATCGGAACGTTTTTTTAACCACTTTTCGTACATTTTTTACTAAAAACTCTAAAATTTTCGATTTTATTTTCATTTTTATATCGAAAAGCTATGTAAAATCATATAAAAATGGCTTATATTTTGTCATAAGGCCGTAGGAAACACGTAAAAAAATTTGGTCCCCCCGCTAACAGTCCAGAACCATTTAATTCCTTGTTTAGTAGTTTGCCACCTTTACTATATATTCTTAGAGACTTCGTGCAAAGACGGGTGGAGTTTTTGTGACCGGCTGGTCCCGATATTCGCATCATCTGCCGCTATGTGAACTGCTGCCCGCCTCAATTCCATCGCTTCTAGCCGATCTGATCTATTTGAACGACACTTCGCAGTCATTTAATGATGTCTATGAACGTATACGGGTACGGAAGTTCTTCGGGCCTATTTTCAAAATGTCGAAAATCATAATATCGAAATTCAGAATGTCTCGAAATTTATATAAGCTAATATTCCCGGTAAAACCCCGAACCCTAGGCAAAAAAATTCGACAGTCTGAATGTCGAAATTCTGAAATTTCGACATTATGATAGCAAATCAATTCTTCTAGTATATATGGGTTACAGGAAAGGATGAATTGCCTGAATGACGCACCGGAGTGGCCAACTGAATATCATTTCTCTGAAAATGTCACATATTTCTATCCGCCAGAAACACGATACAGGTCGTGCTCTTTTCTATGGTCGGACTCTTTCAATTTGGTAACCCGATCGGCCATCAGATGGGCAGCCATTACCTTTTACAGTTTGAGGAGCTTCGCCTATTAACATGGAAATCGCACAATGCACAAAATGTGGACCCTGTGGCGCGGGAGAAGATTCGTGAAGAAATCGATGTCATTGACGCTCAAGTAAGATACTTAGTCTTTGATCTTAAGTTGATGTTCAGATCCGCCGACTGCTTGCCCCGCTCTACTTTCCCGAAACCATTGACGAGCTTATAAAAACTAAAGTTCAACGTTTAAAGGACACTCCCAAAATTGCCGTTTAGGTTTTGGGGTGCGAATGCCCATAGGGGGATTTTGACTACAAGACGCTCCAAATGCCGTTTTTTAAGCTCTAAGCCTCTGGAAAAGGAAAGCAAAACCTAGCATGGCTTCATAGAAACGAAGCCTGAGCTTAGCTTGCGCCAAGCTAACCTTAGCTTTAAGCTAAGGTTTGACCTTTTGACCTCGTAAGGCAATTTAAAGCTTAAGCTCGCTTAGCTTGGGCTTAAGCTTAAGCCAAACCTAAGCTAAGCATAGTTAAAGCTACGTTAAGCCTAAGCTTAAGCTAAAAAAACCAAGTAACTTAAGCGGAGCGCCTCATAGCCTCTTACTACTAATTTCGGACTGCCCCCCTAACTGCATCAGCACCGTTTTTAGTGTGCATTTGATATGGTATAAGCTTATCTTGTCGACCCCATTGTTAACCTGCATTGCAGATGTCGTTTTCTGCAACCTTGGTTTCTATTTTTCTATTTTGGTGCGGTAGAAATTACCACAAAAAACAAGCCCAGATTCCATAATTTACCTCATACAAATGGTGCTACAAATCAATGAGGTTCTTTCTGTTTCACTTTATCTGATTCGAATTCGATTTACGGGAATTTTTCTTGCCGCATTTCAATTTTGGTGCTGTAAAAAGTGTCGCATAATAAACTTTATAAAAATACTTTGTTGATTTATTGTTATGGTTACAGAAACCATGAAAATTCTTGTATCTCACGAAGTTCTATTTTCTTCTTCTCGCCATTAGAACTTTTTCCTTATTCAATGCAACAAATTTATAGCACAAAATGATCAAGGCTATACTCGTCTTTAACAACCACGGAAAGCCGCGCCTGCTGAAATTTTATCACCATTACGTGAGTAATCTGAGCAGCCGTTTTCACAGCCTTTTTAGACCGAGGAACAGCAACAACAAATCGTCCGCGAAACGTTTCAGCTGGTCTCAAAACGAGACGATAATGTCTGCAACTTCCTGGAAGGTAAAACAATCAAGTATCATCGTGAAATTATCTAGGCGGCACCCTGATCGGCGGCAACGACTACAGGCTTATCTATCGTCATTATGCAACGCTCTACTTCATATTCTGCGTCGATTCTTCAGAAAGCGAGTTGGGGATCCTTGATCTGATCCAGGTACGCAGTTCGTTGATACATTTTGGACTTTTCCTGGCGGTCCCGGTTGGCCTATTAATCATATATAGTGTTTTACATTGTTTTTCGTGATTTTCAACTATATTTACAGTAGAAACAATTTCAAAAAAAGTTTGAAAATGTTTCAAAAATAGAAAATTTGGTCATTTTCGGTTGTAAAAATCCATTTTTTCGGCCTAAAATTAAATTTTTTAATTAAAATGTGTACAGTTTTTAAGCGTATGAATAGCAAAAAACAATCTAGAAACGCATCCGCTATTTCTAAAAAAATAAGACGGGCTGAAAAAAATCGATTTCGCCCGCGAATCCTAAAAAACCGCTTTGAACTTTAGGTTTTTGTCGAAACGTTGGATCGCTGCTTCGAAAACGTCTGCGAGCTTGACCTCATCTTCCACGTCGATAAAGTGAGTGGCATTGCTTTTAAACGACTATTTTTCCAGGTGCACCATATCCTCGGCGAGCTCGTGATGGGCGGCATGGTCCTCGAAACGAATATGACGGAAATTTTGTTGCGACGTGAAGAGCAGGAAAAATTGGAGAAGCAGGAGGTGAGCAATAATATCAACATTGCCCGGGCTCAAAGAAAAACAAAAAGAGCAATGCCAGAACCAGTAGCAACGTTATATGAGAAAAAGGCTGTTGGTAAGTAAAGCAATAAAACAATTAAAGCCGTAAATAAATAATAATAAAATCAATAAAGCAAGAAAATAGCAGATCTATAATTAACCGTTACAGGCTGGAATCTCGGCGGCGCCGGCCCGTGCCGTCTCGGCTGTGAAGAGTATGAATTTACCTCAACAAATCAAGGACCTGAAGCTGCCGGATTTACCTGGTCTCAGCAACCTGAAGAATGCATTTTAGAGTTAATATGTCTTTTGAAGCCTGTTTATTTATTGCCCGTAAATTATCCCAAACTTCAACAAATGTATACAGTCAGGGGAAAGCTACTTTTGGCATTTCTGTGAAAACACCCGAATTTCTGTACATTCCAATTTTGATAAATGAACCACACGCGAGTCACATCGGAGCAAATAATAAAACCAAACGCAAGGCACTAATTACAGGAAATCCTTTCGTACGCCAACGAATGGAGTACAGTTTGATGGCCCCAAGGGCGTCAAAAAATTGTCGATCGGGGCACCCCAGATTCCGGTATTCCGGGGTGATTTCATGCGCTGAATACGAAGATGACACTTTTAGACTACAAAAATTTTGTTTTCGACTACAAACTACAAAAATAAAAATAAAACGCGAAAAACACAACTTTTTAGGGTGGTTTTTCGGGTATTTTTAGATTTTCTACAGCTGCAGTTTATTATTTAAGTCTTAGTGCCTGCCCATATGGTTAAATTCGGCTTCAGCGCGAAAAACCGCCCTGAAAAGGTGTATTTCGCGTGGTTTGGCGATTTTTTTAATTTTTGTAGTTTGCAGTCAAAAATTTTTTGTAGTCTAAAGGGGCCCATATTCGTACTCAGCGCATAAAGCAACCTCGAAATACTGGTTTTTAGGCCGATCGGCGCCATCAAACTGTACTAGCTCGCAACAATTCAAATTCAAGCTATTATAAATATTATGCAGGGTGATGTGGTTAGCTGGCAAAAGTCGACAAATCTTCTGTACTGCGCCACAATGGCGAATTATCCAGATGGACCACCAATGATTCCACCTAAAATTCTGTGGTGAACGCGCGTCGATGCTGACGAACCTTCAACGTTGCGCGGATTTTCTCGAATTCACGCGAAAATGAGAGAATGAAGGCGATATGCCCGGCGGCCATCATCCATTCAGCAATTGCAGAAACGACATGTAGCTCATATCCTGTTAAAAGGTTTGCTACTGTTCTATTTGGCCGGGGCAAAACCGCAGGGGGGTTTTTTGATATTTACGCTAGTTTTTTCGGGGTTTTCGTGGTTTCATTTGATAGTGCAACGAAAACTATAATAAGGGCTTGAATTATAGCTTAAAACAATGTCATGCAAAAGTTTTCGTTTGTCTTTTGTAAATTTTCGATATTTTGGCCATTTTCAACGGATATTTTCAACGCCTTTCGATAGAGCGCCAAAAATATACTGCGAGTTTCAATTTTAGCCCGAAGTAATGTATGATTTTATGTCTCACCAGAAGTTTTATCCCTACCTGGCATCCAAATGTGACGATTCCAAGGCCTTGGTGTCGGGAGGTCCGGGTAGAATTCATGGAACTTGTTAGCAGCAGCAGTCTATTTTTCTATTTTTCAAATTTACTTAAAAACTCTCTTACCCCGAATCCAATGGCGACGAAAAATGTCGTCAAACTCCAGACACTAATCAGTACGCGAATTATGCCAATGCGACGATTGTTGAAGATTGGGTACATACGCAGGGTTATGTACGATTGTAGCGTCTGTAAAGAATGGCAAGTTTTCTGTGCTGGGCTTACCATATAAAGTCCGCCGGAACCGAAACAGGTGACCGCGGCCCCCAAATGAATCTTGATCACTGCCGACTCCTAGAAATAGTCATCAATCGATTATTCGCTTGAAATCACCTGAAAGTTGGCCACTACCATCATACCCATCGCTCCGACCAATCCAAAAAACAGGGCGATCCCGTTAGCCCGTTCAATTTTCTATAAATATTGATAAAAATGTAATTTACTCACCTGATCTGAGCCGCGAATTAATTCCTTGACCAACGAATATCTTAGATAGATAACAATCATCGACAGAAAGCTGGATAGGTTCAACAGGAGGCTACAAAGAAATTTATGGCTTATAAGTATTTCCGCTGTTAGTATAATTTGACTCTATTAAATTTTAGGTTTAGGATAAAAGTTGATACCTGAAGAAGCAGCTCTCAGGTCGATTGTTACCCGCCGCGGAAATGTATGGAAAAACCGGGTCGACATCGCCGTGATAAACAGCTGAGACGTAAGTCGCTCCTACAGCATTTTTCTTTTGGATTCTATATTGGTTTAGATACCTAGGTTTGTAATAAAGACTATGGCGAAGAAAACTGGCAGATGCCCAGCGCCAAGACGACCGAGCTGTAGCATCTTTCAATGGCAGCTCTGACTATTATGACACATTGGCTGTGTGTTGAGACAAACACAGCTGATGTTCTTTTGCATCTTTCTGCCGGGAACAAACAATGATGGGTCCTGTCGCGGCAGCATTGCACCCCGTCGCTGCAAGGCGGTCCTCCATACGTTAGGCGCTGGGTTTGAACGGGGTGCTTTGACATGGAATTGAAATGCAAACCTATGGACCTTAATTCAATCTTGATCGAGTTATTTATGTTCTCGAATTTTGGGACCTTGAGACAGCGGTCCAATCGAGTACAGGTGTCCCAATAAAAAATACCCCCTGTAACACAACGGAAAAAGATCCGTTCGGAACGATAGTTATCCCATTCGAAAGCTCGTGAAACGGTTGCTTCAATTTTGAAAAACAACGCTTTTCTTTAAATACGCTAGTTTACTAGCCACTTTGTAAGATTTTCTGTTTTTGTTTTCAGTTTTCAGTCTCAAAAAACAATCTTTTCTTTCCTAGTTTTTTCATTTCGACCATTTTCAGATGGCAGACAAAACCCCGGTCGCCCGGCGCTCGATGGTTGGTGCACCACCATCGTCGAAAACGGCCAACAGTGAGCTATTTCCCCTACTAACATGCAATTTCACGTTTTTAGAATCTACACGATCCGAGAGGACCCCGCGTACCGTCAAGAAACAGCCGTTAAAAGAGGAGGAAGAGGAACCACAACCGGATGAGGACAAATCCGAGGTGATTTTGTCTTTTTGTGTCTTGAAGAAATTTTAGAACTCCGATCCCGAGTCAGACAGCGGCGGCGAAGTAGACGAAAAGGGCAAGGAAAAACAGGCTCCCCCGAAAAAGAAGGTCGGTGAATTTTGACGATTTATTGGGAATCACCAAGCAACTATGAGGTTTGCATCGTTACCTCTTGTTTTTCAGCGAAAGAAGAAGCTCACCGAATACACGATTCGCAGAAAAATTCGGGACGCTGCGAAAGCTAAAGCGAAGGAATTGAGGCGACAACAGATCGAGGACGGCCTCATCGACGAAGAGGTTGGGTTTTCTTTTTCCTTAGAATTCTAGTCTGAATTTAGGAACCCGAAGTGATTCCGGAGCCCGAGCCCGAAGAACCTGAGCCCGAGAACAAAGCACCGGACGTGAAAAAGTTTGTTCAACACCACGCCCCCTTTATTATATTTAGGTATACCGCCTTCCAAATTCTTTGTGATCATCTCCTGCGAAAGTTGATGGGGAAAGACCCCGAAGAATACTTTGCTTTTCCGGTCACCCAGAATATGGCTCCAGATTATCACGAGGTAAGCAAATAGTTGTCCCTCGTTATTCCTTTCCAGGTGATCACGACTCCGATGGATTTCTCAGCAATTCGACAAAAGATTGAGGACGATAAATATACAACGGTTTGATGGATTTTTCGCCTATTAACTGATACTTCTAGATCCCAGAACTGCGCGCCGATGCCGAGCTGATTGTATCGAACGCACTGGCCTACAATCATCCGAATACTGTCTATCATTTGGCGGCAACTCGCTTGTCGAATATTGTGCGCTTCTTTTTCTCGCAGCAGCATTTGAGGTAGTTTATGCAAGGCTTGTTTAGTGGTGATATTAGGTTTATATTTTTGATTTACCGTCATAATGCCGAATCTTAAAACGCCAAATCGAAAGATGCCGATTCTGAATCGCCGAATTCTAAGACGCCGATTCTAAACAGTCGTATCTGGAATGGAATGGAATTTTTGGTATTCGGCGTTTTAGAGTAGGGCATTATGACAATTCGGCATTATGTAAATTCAACCTCCTAAAAATTCGGCGTTATGAAGTTCGGCGTTTTAAAAATTCGGCATCATGACAATAACTTATAATTTTAGGTATCTGTATCACATGCTGCCACTGGCTCGGGATATTCCACTATCTCAAATCGGGCTAACGCCGCTGGCTAATGAGCCAAAGCGTGTGGAGAATAAAAGACGTGCCGCGCTGCACGATCCCAAGACTGGTATAACCACAACAATTGAACCGAGAGCTTTGTTTAGCCAAGGAACTCCTCCAGCTGATCCCGCCGGCACACTCGATGCGGATGACGACTCGAGTTCCTGAACTGAAGAATTCCCACCTCGGCTTTATTGACAACAAGGAAGGCGCGACGGTGCTCAACGTTCTCACAACAACGGACGATGGCGAGAAAAAGGTTTATAACTTTTATCGTGCGTAATTAGGACAACGGATCATGTTTTTCTGACAAGGAGGCGTTTTGTGTAGTGTAAATTCCGTTTTGGATCGACGCCAGGCCTATTTTGCGCTGATTCCGAATCTGTTTTCAGAAACTCTAAATGATCTTGTTGAAAAAGTTACAAGGTTTTTTGGCTTACCCTTTTTGCCACATTTTGCCCAAAAAGTTTTTTGAAAACGTGGGGGTCCTTATGAAACAGAGGCGATTTTTGGGTGCTTTGGAAAAATTGCGTGTGATAGCTCATTGGAAAGCGCAGATTTTTCTGAACAGGATGTGCTACAGCAAAATTATACTTCGTTTTTCCTGAATATTACTCTGACATTTTATAGGCATTCAAAGTGTGCCGTTTCGGGCGTTTATCGAGCTAAATAACCGTAACTTTTTTTAAAAACGACCATTGGCAGTTTCTGATACCAGATTCGAAAACACCGCAAAATTCTGTACAAAATAGGCCTGGTCAAAACTCAATTCACCTTAAAAAAATGTCTCCTTGTGAGGCCACGTCGGGCTGGATAAGTTCGCGCTTTTCTCGACGACGTGAACTCGTTTCTTCCAGATGAAACTCATCGATCTTGTGGGGCCATTGGATGAAGGAGTACCGGGCCTAATGCAACCCATTGAAATGAAAACCGCCCAGGTACCGCACTTTTTTGGATCGGTGAAAACGTGGATTGCTTGCAGGCACCGATTACCTATCTGGACTACGGACCCTTCTCCTCGTTTGCTCCTCAATATGACAGCACTTGGGCTACATTGGATAAGGTTTGCACCGGCCTCGCATGGATTGACTGACAATCATTAATAGGCGGAATCAGACCTGGTGCTACGGACCTACGGTGATCGCGCCAATGCGGCCGATGTTCAATCCCTGCGGAATATGGTGGCCAATGCTGGGGATCACATGATCAAGGTAAATTGGAAGAGTACTATCAATTTTGCACATATCTCTGGGATAGCGCCGTCCAAAAACCACGATTTTTTCAGATTGTGGACGAACTGCTGGATGGGTTGACGGACGGAGAGCACTCGCGTGCAATGCAGCAGTTGGAGAAGAAGCCAGTTCCCTCGGTGGGTTTTTCATTCATTCTTGGGTACTGGGCTGTTAGCGGGGGGCTTTTTAGCAGAGGGGGAACCACTTTTTGTTTTTCCACCTATACCTGTTGAGGTTTATGATATATTTTTATAGTGTTTTTAGTAGTTTTGGAGTTCTAGAATCTAGACGTAATAAAAAAATAATTTTTCAATTTTGAAAATTGGACCCTTTTGGCGATTTTTCTTGAACAAAAAGTAGGCATTTTCGAATTTATTATTTTATTGTTTTTTTCTAAGCCGTAGAGAATCACAGAGAAAAATTTGGTCCCCCCTGCTAACATTCCAGAACTCATTCTTGATTTTATCCATGCCCCCTTTAGGTCAGCATACCGTCGGATGGTGACCTGCCGGCTCTTTTGAATGACGTGGAGTCGCTGGAAAATCTCGGGTTGGACACATCGGTGATCAAGGAGTTACGCGACGGGATGATGACAGCGCAACAACCCATGAGGCTTCAGGTACCTATTCGACTGATTATTCAAATTTATCTCTAGGAACAACTCGATCTGCAAGGCCAGGGCCTGCTGGATTTGAACGAGCTGCAGCGACGTCGCCTCAGCCAACCACCACCCTTCAGCCTCAACAAAGTGCCGCCACCGAATGCCACGGAACTCCAGCTGGCTTGCAAAGTAAATTTTAGACTTTGGAGGATAGTTCGGTTCTGGGCTGTTAGCAGGGGGAGGGATTTTCCCCGGTGATTCTCTACGGCTTGATGACCAAATATAAATCTTCTTTATAGCATTTTAGATGGTTTTTAGATAGAAAAACAATATAAAATAATAATAAATTTGTGGATTTTGACATTTTTTTGTCAAAAGTGTCAAAAACTGTCAAAACAGGTAAAATTTTCGAATTTTCAAAATTTGTAGAAATATTTGTTGGAACTTTCTAGCAATGAAAAACTACGAAAAACACTATAAAAATACATAATATATCATCAGCAGGTAGATATAGTTGGAAAAACCCAAAGTGGTATCCCCTGCTAACAGTCCAGAACCGATTAGTACTACGGAATCGCCTGACAATCAATCCAACGCCGCTTTAATCCCTAATTTAGACGTCGAATCAACTGGTCGAGTCGATCAGTAACTACGCGCAACCGGCCCATCTTGTCACCGAAGCAGCCATTCACAACGCTATCGGTCTCGCAGATGATGACGAATTTCTGTCCGAGTTTTTTGAAACATAATACCATTTCGGGTGCCCTCTACAATACGCTCTATCTACGACTTATTATGATTGCTACATGTATCGTCCCTCTTTGTCAATGTTTTTAATTTATCAAAACTACGCTTTTTTTATGCGTCGCCCCTATGCGCCAAACATTCTGTTCTCAATTCCAATCCATCCCATCCCCTGTAGAAGACCACTTGATGTGGCTATATGATCTCTTTCTGTGTATACTTTTCCCTTGATCCAACACGATTTGCATAAATGACTGAATTGTGCGGAGGGTTCCCACACCAGATGGACACTTCGGCCATTATACTCGGCCTAATGGCCCAAGTGTGGGACGGACGGATAAAACGGTTTTATTAAAACCTTTTAAACACAGTCCGGGAACCTTGTGTGCAAAGAATGGGACTTTGGTCTGGATCTTGGCTTGCCTGCTCGTTGCTCGTCCTTGCGGCATCGCATCAACAGTGTGATAATGCCCCGACGAGAAAACACCAGATCACTTGCGAGCGACTTATGAGCTGGAATAATATGTCAAAGGTGAGCTAGAATTTCATAATAACATTTCTGGTGCTGATCCATTTAGGGGGGGGGGGCAGTCCGGATTTTGACTACAAGACGCTCCAAATGCCGTTTTTTCAACTCGAAGCCTCTGGAAATGCAAAGCTAGGCCTAGGCTTGGCTTGATACAAACGAAGCCTGAGCTTAGTTCAGCCAAGCTAAGGTTAGCTCTAAGCTGAGCCCAAAATGAGCGCATTTTGACCTCGTAAGGCAGTTTAACCCTTAAGATGAGCTTAGTTTGGGCTTAAGCTTAATCCCAAGCCTAAGCTAAGCATGGTTAAAGCTAAGTTAAGCCCAGGCTTACGTTAAAAACCAAGTAGCTTAAGCGGAGCGCCTCGTAACCTCCTGCTCCCAATTTCGGACTGCCCCCCCCCTTAACTGCACAAGTACCAACGTTTCACTTTTCAGCCCATCGAAGAACAGCGAAAAAGAGACGGCCGTCTGATCGCAAAAGGTCGTCTTGCGGCCGGCAAACGGGAACCACGCGAATTGGGCGATTGTATGGACATGCCGTGTGTGGCTCGATTTCTAACCGGAAACAAGGATATCAAACCGCCATTCATCTACAAGGGAAAAGAATTGAAAAAGGTAGCGTTTTGGACTGCTAGCGGGGGAGCCACATTTTTCCCTGTGATTCTCTACGGCCCTATAGAAAACATAAATAATTTTTATAACATTTTACATAGCTTTAGATATAAAAACAATATGAAAAACAAAGTGTAACTTTCTAGCAATGAAAAACTTTCAAAAAACACTAAAAATACGTAATGTATCAGCAACGGGTGGAAAAACAGAAAAGGGGTTTTTCCCCTGCTAAAAATCCCCCACTAACAGACCAGGACCGGATCAGGATCCATCCATACTTATTGTCACAAACAGGTAATTCGAAAGGAGGTACGCCAAATGACGGATGATGAATGGCACAGATTGTTAGCGGCAATTCAAGAACTCAAAGACAATGGCGTATATGATGAGATTTGTGAGTTGAGTTCCATAGTTCCAACCAACTTTTTCTCGGCCAAGCCTAAATTTTTCTACAAAAAGCGGATGCGTTTCTAAATTGGTTTTAACTTTTCCTAAGCAAAAAACTATACCAAGATTAATTAAAAATTTAATTTTAGGCCGAAAATTGATTTTTTTGACCCAAAATGACCAAAATTTCGACTTTTTAAAAACATTTTCCTAATTTTTATTTGAAATTCTTCGCTTTAAATAGCTACAACTTACTAAAAACAATGTAAAACACTTTATATTAGATTTTTAGGCCAATCGGGGCCGCCAGAAAAAAATCCAGCGAATCCTACACTACAATTCAGGCTTTAATAAAAACGCGCACGAGAGGGGGCGAGGGGGCTAGACTATGCCGCGCTCCAAAACCCTCGCGTAACTGGATAGAAAGCAAAGCGCCAAAAAAATTTTTACCTTCATCACGCTGTAACTTTTTTCAATGCGACTTTCACAATCTACTTGAACGCTGGAAAAATAGAAGAAAATTTTCTCTCGGTTTCGCGAAAATTGAGCGTGGCAAACGGGACTTCTGATTTTTTGAAGTTTGAAAAATGAGGTGTCAGTTATCGAGAGGGCTTGTATCCAGCTAAATACTAGCCCAGCTACCTACACTGCATTTTTTGGTAGACTCTCTGTTATGAACCACCCCGATAAAACGTAAACTTTAGGTTTTTCAGATTTATTTGACTGTTTCAACTGAAATTTTTCAGAAGATTTCAACTGACCAGAACTTTTTTTGATGACGGCTGTCTAATGTAATTACAGCCTAGGGACATAGAACGGGCTTAGCTCTATCTTTCGCATATATTTTTAGAATATCCTAGTGTAGAAATTTAGCGAACGGGTCATGGACGAGGCCAAATGAGCTTACGATGTTTATTGGCCTATTCGGCCCGAAGAGAAGTTGCTGGCTGGCTTTTTTTGGTTTTCTGGCGTTACGGCAACCCACTATGAACATTAGGAGCAAAAAGCAAAAAGAAAACGCAGACGGCTGAGGTCCCGGGAACCGAACCCGCACCTCCTGTCTCGGGGCTGGACCGCCGCCTTAGACCACTACACCACGCTCCGACCACCCCTCTCGTGCGCGCTCGGAAAAGCCGTGCCTAAAGAACCAAGACCATTGGCCAACCATTTTCCAGCCCTTGTCCATATGTCGGTGACGGAAGCTTCGAATGCACATAGCGGACCCGCATTCTTCCCCTGGCATCGCGAATATATCAAGCGGTAATGAAATGCGGTTCTGGACTGTTAGCAGGGGGAAGCATGATTTTCCCCTGTGATTCTCTACGGCCCTATAATAAAATATAAACAATTTTTTTAGCATTTTATATAGTTTTTAGAGATAAAAACAATATAAAACATAATAAATTTTCGAAAATTTTTGACTTCTTGGTCAAAAATATCTGAAAAATTTTCCATTTTCAAATTTAAAAATACTTTGTATAGCTTTCTAGCAGTCAAAAACTACTAAAAACACTATAAAATTACATAATTTATCTTCAACAGGTATAGGTGGAAAAACCAAAAGTGGTTTTTCCCCTGCTAACAGACCAGAACCAGAAATTGTCATTTCGAGGGTTTCATCCCCCTGGTGAAATATATAAATGCTTAAGATTCGAGCTGGAACTACGCCGAATCGATCCAGAGCTCTACGTCCCGTATTGGGATTCAACACTCGAATCTGGTCTGCCAAATCCGCCGGACTCGTCGATATGGACGTACGTTTTCTGCCATTAACTGCGCTCACAAGTGTTAGATCCGAATTGTTCGGCAACGGCCAGGGGCCAGTCAACGTTGGACCATGGGGTCGATGGATCACCGATAACGTTCGTTTTTATCTTCCCTTAAATTAATGATGTTTTGCTAGCGTAGTACAGGGTGTCCCAAAAAGAAAGGCGCCCCTCTAGCGATCAGCAGTGATATCCGGTTTTTACGATTTAGATGTCTAGCGCAAGCTCTCGGCGAGCTGAAGATATATTTTCTCTCCGATCCAAGCTGTGTTTTCTCAAACACCTTTCAAAAAGCCGACCTAAAACTCGGGAAAGATGTCAAACTTGGAAAATAGGGTTTTTGTTAAAAACACTTGCATGCGAAAATTCAGCCAATTTCGCAAAAATCTTACTAAATGTTATAAGAATCGGGAAATCGGGGAGAACATATCTCCTCAGCTTGTCGAGAGCTTTCGATAGATACCTAAACCATAAAAATCGGATATCACTGCGGATCGCTAGAGGGTTTTTTTGGGGCACCCTGTAGATACTTTACAGGACACAAGTATCCAACGTTCCGTCGGTGAGAACGGCGATCCATTCAGCGAAAAAGAGCTACAAAAGTTTTGGGAATACACGGATATTGAAATGGTGTTGTCGCAGACCGGTGGACCACAATTGGTAGGGTATTTCGGGACACGTTCATCAGTATTTCTCAACGTTGAAGGCAGATCGCGGCTGTGAGATGGAGATGAATTGGGACTGGTTCGAGTTAATCCATGGCAATGCGCATAACTGGATCGGCGGTTTGTCATTTTGGATTTGACAGCTTTTCTACGGCATAATTACCACAAATGGAACATTATAGGGGATATGCTGACGACTTTGTATGCGACGCGAGATCCGCCCTTCTATATGCATCATTCTTTTGTTGATTTGATCTGGGAAACTTGGCGCGTAAAGCATCAGGTATTAACTTCAGCCATACGTCCTATTAATACGTGGCGTATCTCAAAATGCTCGCCGTAGTCGAATTACTATAAAAACGTTGTTTCCTCATTGCCAAAAAGTTGCTAGAAACTTTTTTTATAAAAATTTGAAAGTGGAAAATGCCTGCTTCAATGTACCAGGAGTCTAAAACTAAATTTTTTTTATTTTCCGCTATTTTTTGAACTCAACTTAATGTAGCCTGATTCTACGAAACAAGAGCTACATTTTGGTACCATTGACAGCTCTATAAGTCTAAAGAGCTGAGATACGAAACTCACTTACGACCAGGAAAAATGAATTAAAGAAAACCCAGACTTAGAATTTTTATAAAAATTTTTCTAACAATTTTTGATCTAAGGAAACAATTTTTTAAAGTAATTAGACCATGGCGAACATTTTGAGATACTCCACGCATTAATAGGACGAATGGCTGAAAAGTTGGGGTTGAGTCTTACCCACACTTTCAATGCTAGGCGAAACAACAGCGAGAGACGGAATACCCGAAGAATAAAAAGTGCATGACAACCCTTCACTGGCCGACTGCCGTCCTTATTCCATTTAATAAGCGGTAATCTGACGCGAAAAATCAATTCGTTCCAGAAATATTGACGGATTATCGAATGATTATCTCGAAAATCTGTACAGCTTTGCCCCACGACCAAGCTGCGCCAAGGAGAAGCCGCATTGTGGTAGCAGGTGACATTTCGATATTTTTGAGATTATTTTCGGTATTTAGATACCTGTTCTGCGACTTGAGCACCGATCAAGCGCCTCGATGTGTGGCCAAGGCGGCAACCGGTGGCCAAGTAGGTTCTGGACTGTTAGCAGGGGGCAAACCAAATTTTCCCCTGTGATTCTCTAAGGCCTTATAACAGAATATAAACAATTTTTATAGCATTTTGCATAGCCTTTAGATATAAAAACAATATAAAGATAAATAAATTTACGAAAATTTTTGGCTTCTTGGTCAAAAATGTATGAAAAGGGACGAAAAAGGTCAAAATTTTCGAATTTTCAAATTAAAAAAAATATTTTTTAAACTGTCTAGCAATCAAAAACTACTAAAACACTATAAAAATACATAATGTATGATCTACAGGTCAAGATGGAAAAACAAAAAGTGGTTTCCCCCTGCTAACAGTCCAGAACCGTTTAGTGTACCGGCTACAAAAATGGAGAAGATGTCTGCCAAAAAGGGAAATGCGTCGATGGAAAGTGTGTGGATGGCGGTAACTTGCAAAAGTGATAGGCCTACAGCGGTCGCCCTAATAAATATTGTTATAATTCGAACAAATTATCCATTATGATTTTCGACATTTTGAAAATAAGCCAGAACCAGGGTTGAAAAGCCGCTTCGCGACTTTTCAACCCTGGCCCGTATAAGCCCATGAAATTCTGCCCTTTGCATAATTCGCCCGAATTTGTCATGAGAAATAATGAAAAACGCTCCCTCTCTCGGATTATATAGGCTATCGCCAATTCCGGTGCATGCTAATTTTTTTCTACCAAAGAGGGCGTCCGTTTTTTAAACAAAAAAAACCAATTTTAATGTTCAAAATAAGATAATTTGCAAAATATTATACGTGTGCAGTCATCTCGGAAACATTACGCACCTAATGACGTATCAAACTTATCTTAAAAACTTTCCCCTATCGGGTTACTACTGGAACACGCTGACGGAAGTTGCATGCAAATGCACACACACACACACACAGAAACTATTTTTTTATATATAGTAGGATTATGAAATACTAAACAAATATCGTGAGGCAACTTGTATTTTATGCATACAGAAACTACTCGTTTCAGGCTGGTGAGGACTCAAAATGCGTGCCTCATAGCAACGAGACAGACTAGAAAGACTAGAGAAATCACACGGGACACACGACACCCACTAGAACAACTTCCCTTCCCCAGTGGAAACCTTTAAAAGCCCAATCCTCTACTCAAAATACCTTTCCCCCTTGACGAACAACGACATTAATGTCTAAACCAAGTTAGTACTTTTCTTATTTTTATAAATTTTTTTGTTTAAGCCGGATTTTTGGTCCGAAAAGCTTCGGAACGTGGGCATGCGAATCACGGCTGGCTGGATACACGGCATACATTCTCATTTTCCGATTATCATGACCCAAAATGGATGCAATTCTCCGCACTTCGCGTCATAAATGAGGATTTTATTGCGGTAAGCGCCTTCCCAGTAAATAGTTTGGATTTGTAGCCGAAACGCGGATTCGGCTCGCATCCGCATCGTGATATGGAAATTTTGACGTACGTTCTGCAGGGCAGCGTAGAGCATCAAGACAGCATGGGAAATGCCTATCAGGTACCGTTTACATTCAATAAGATTCTTTAGGATTCGCGCGGAAACCAAATTTTTTCCGCGTAAGCCTAAAATTTTTTTATAAAGCGCGAATCCATTTCTACATCGTTTTTAACTATTCCTAAGTGTCGAAAGTAATAGTCCCTCTGTGCCATATCCTCTACTATAAGATCACGGAGGATGGCTAGAGTTGCCACACTATCACTTAGGACTTTGCCCCTTGGGCCCCGCTCGGACAACCCTGCATCCGATAGACCGGGAGATGGCAAGGGATCCCAAGAGGCTATACAAGCAGTAATGTTCAGTGGTAGTTTCTACAATCGTGTAATAGAATCCAATGCATTTCGGTATAAGGATACAAAAGGTATACACAAAGTTTATCGGCATGTAAACCATTAGAATACGAGCACACTCATCGATGGATGGAGAGGGCATGGTAAAGTGCTGGTCTAACTCGCTGGTCTTAGGCAAAAGATGCTGGGCGTGAGGCAAAAGGTAGCTGGTCTTCTGCTAACGCAATACCCGCACAGACCTGGTCGTAAACCCTAGAGAAATCTGTAAAGTCGTCTGTTCGGAATAATCACGAACGCCGCCCGGCCCCCTCTCTCCGAGGGGGCCTCGCGCTACGGTAACGTACAGGTTTTAGCAAACCATCGAACGTTGCAGCATAATGCTCGCAACTTTCGACACTGCCGCCCCAACTCAGCGACTGAGCGGGGCACCACCGAACTGGGGAAGGTATGAGTCGAACCCTTCGACCCAGCGACCGTCCGCGGACTTCGGTCTGCACACTGAACCATATACGGTTGCAATGGCGACATCAGTCATGACGGAATGAGTCTGGTGGACTTGAAAGCAGGTGGTCGGAATGCAAACTGGTACGACCGTAGTGGGAAGGCCTTCCGGCCTGAGCGAAAAAAAGAATTTTGAATGAATTTTGGAAGGCGTGTGGAGTTTTGACCTGACAACCAAGGTGGGACATGAAAAACCGTGTGCAACACGGTCTGGGTGGAAAACCAATCGATGGGGAACAAGTAAACAAAAAGCATACATGACCTGATAAATGGGTTGCTGTCAGCTTGTTTGGTACATTGATGAAGTCGTACAGGTAGTTGAACCATTGTAGTGGACTTGGATTGTAGTTGACTTGGGCTGAGCAGCCGGGGCGGTATCAGGCAACAGGAAGATTGACTTTCCACGAAGCGTCATTTACCAGGTTGCTGGGCGTCTACGAAGGCAGGACTGGGCATGGAATGCCTGGGCGTGTAGGAAAACCTGGGCGTATGTAAAGCCTGGGCATTTATAAGTCCTGGGCATTTAGAATTCTGGGCATTGGTGGAAACTGGACTTTTGAAAAACTGGTCTTTTGAGAAATTCTGGACGTCTAAAAAACTGGACTTTTGGAAGAGTCTGGGCGTCCCGGATAACGGTCTCTGCGAGCGAAAAGCTGCATTGACCTTCACCGGTGAGCTGGGCTTTGCCCAACAAATGTTGAACGCTGCATAAGCAGTGCTGGGCTTACCTCGACCAGATCCGTGACTCGCCAGCCGAGAGGATGCACTGGCGGCCGCGATTACTAACTCCGCTGACGTATCATTGGAAGAATTCATCGTGGTCGGACGCGCAATGTGTATCTCAGGTCGGCGGAGGATCTGAATTAAAGGTAAACACACCCTCCAAAAAGGAGAGGTGTGGGCTGGGCTACTGGGCTTCCACAATGATGATTGCTGAGAAATGTAATTCTCGAGCATGCAAAATTCAGCGATGGGTACATCGCTCACATAAAGCGAACGTTGACGCCCGTTGCTGGACAAGCGGCTGGAGCCGCGAAATTTTGCTCATCACTTGTGGGGTGCGTAAAGTCACGCAAAAAAATTGCAGTCAGGCAGGTAATGCGCTGACTGCCTGGGCTTCTGGGCGTCTGACATCAAACGATGTCTTCGTGTCGGTGCAGACCAAGCGGACGCGCTTGTCGCGCCGGTGCTCCGACACGAACTGGGCTTGGAATACAAATCACGTAGCGGATAGGCAAAGCGGATAGGCAAACCTATCACAACAGCAATCGCTGGCTACGGAAAGGCTGGGCCACGGGAACAAACGCAACCTGATCCTGAGCGCAAAACATCGCATTGGGCCACACTGCTTGACATTTACTTCGAAGAGTTGTGGCCGGGGCATTCGTCCTCTCACAACGGCCACTTTTGCGCTCCACGATACGCGAGGCGTCTGTACGGCGGGCTTCCAGCAATGAGCGCGATGATGGATACTTCGGCTTGTTACCATGGTCCCAGCTTTCTGGAAATGTATTTGCTGGGCAATGGGCAGGTGGTGTTTCACACCACATAAAGTGGATAGAAAGCGGCCACCGCTTGCTGGACGACTGGGCATATAGTGGGTTTCTAAGCCACACTATTTGAACTAGCAATAAGACAACAGCTCTCGAAGAGGCTGATGTCTAAAAACAAATTCATCTGCTGGGCTTCAGGGCGTTATAATTGCCCAGTATTGCTGGGCATCGAGTTTGAAAACTCAAACTCGAACTCTGGATCGCTCGTTGCTGACAGCAGGCGAGCGAGGACCGAGTCCGAGGCTGGGCGATTCCTCCCAGGATGAGCTGTTCCACCGCTGCAAGCCGCCTGGCGCTGCCTTCAGTACGCAGTTGCGTAGCGCCATTGACAATGACGACAAGCAGACTTGTGGCCACCCTGCAGCCTCCTCGAGAATGTCCGATGTGTTCAGAACACTCGAGAGCGTGCCCGGAAACCGGGGCCACCGCAATAGGCGAGAGTGAAGCTTCAATCCTGAAAGGAAACTAATTTCCTTTGTGCGTACGCGAATCGCTACTACACGCAGGAATGCTGGGCAGTAGCTGTCGTTTCCGACAGGGCAAATGGCTTTTATTGCGAAGTCAAGCGCGAAACGCGATTAATTATCTTCGCAAGAAAAAGTTGCCTTTGCACTTCTGGGCATTGTGTTCGTCGCGGGCGCAACTTGATTGTCACAAAACAACCAAAAAGGATGTTTTCCCCGCGAACGAATGCTGGACTTTTGTCAATTGACAATGTATGTGAAGCGCATTTAGCAGACTCGAGACAGAATAACACGTCCAGAGCGCCAATGAATTCACACACACGTGCTGGGCTAGGCAGGGTTGCAGGTTGCTGGACCTTGACGCTGATGTTGAGCTTCGAAGAGGCTTGCAGTGCAGCAGCGTCTTCATGTTGTATTCTTGCGTGTCCTCACATCCTGTTTAGACCTTGTCCCGCGTGTTGCATCCATTACTGGAGCTTCTTCTTTTATGGCAGAAGAAAGCCGTGCTGGGCCGCCTTACTGCTTTCTCCCTTACACTTACGAAATAAGGTCATTGAAAGTTAATAAGGACGCGAAAGTTTTGTTGTGTCCAACGCATGGGAATGCGAGAACACAAGTACGCCTCGCCAAAAAGCGTAAAAACTTTCGAAAAAATGGCGACTGGGCGTAGAAATGACAAAAAATTGTCATGGCTGGGCATTATGCGACCTTACGGTGCGAAAGCTGGGCTGAATGCAACAAGCGTCGCAGAAGCAGCAACCGGAAATCAGCCTCGTAAGCAACGAGCAACGGCAGGCTCCGTGGGCGCATCGATGATGACTGATCCATAACCATCTGCGCTGCCGTTTGTTCCATACTTGACGGATTCGCGAAGCATCTTGCTTCGCTTGATGCATTCTCTAAATACTGGGCGTATTTTTGTCATTGCTGACAGGAGCAAAGGATCAATATGCTGGATCAGGCTTAATAGACGTAGTCCATCTCCCTCTGTCAGCATATGAATCTACGCACCCTGGCTGGGCATTGCAACAACAACAAGTGTTGTTGGGAGCTGGGCGAAACATAAACTTCAACACACAAATCCGACGCAAGGATCTGCTTCTCGCAAAGCCTGAGCTTAAGGGATCTGCATCCCACTCGATCACCATGTGAGCAGATTCTGACCCGCTGTTTCTCCGCGCTTCTGGGCTTTACAGATCGAAATCTGTTTTCATTTATGGCAGCGAACTACCACAAATAAAGCTGGGCTAGTTCCTTGCGGAACTTTTCTCGATGTGTCCATCCGAAGATGGTAGGACAACGTTCAATAAGCTGCAAGAATTGCTGCAATATTGCCGCAGTCACATCGATTTGCTGGGCTATGTGGCTGGGCGTGGTGGGCTGCAACAAACCCCGAATAGTAAACTATTCGTTGCGATGGGCCGGATGTTATGGCAACATCACCGCAATGAAGAATCTGGGCTTGGAAAATGGAAACGCAACCTGCTCTCGTCTTTGAAATTATCCCGTCGGCCCGGTACCATCTTCAGGCTCGCGCTCTCACAGCGGCTCGATCAGCAAAATCCATTTGCATAGCTTGATGTTGAATTGGTGGACGCGGGCGTTCATGGGTCATTTCAGCATCGACTTGAGTCGGCAAGCATCTCATCATCCAGCCAAATCTTCTTTGTTCACAGCGCTGGGCTTTGATTTGGCAAAGGGGGGCAAGTAATACAGCGCTCACCGCGCCCATCACCAAATCATGTTGGGCTTTTTAGTAAGAAAAAGGCAACGATGAGGGCAAGCAAAAGGCTCCGCGCGCCAAACGTCATTGACTTTTACTACTCTGGGCTTGGCTTGCAAAAACTTTTAGTAGTGACGGCTGGCGGTGAGCCATATAGCATAGTCACCTAAAAAAGTTTTTGTGCTGGACATCTGGGCGAGTGAAGATATCTTACATGCTATTGGCGGCGGGCAGAGCCGACACGCACAACCACTAACTGTAAGAGACTCCTGCTGGGCATGAAGAAAAACCATAACGGTGAAGGCGAGCTATAGAGCACCACGCGCATGCACCGCCAAGACTTTCCTGCTGGACTTTCGAGCTTTTGGATGGGAAGACAAGTGGATAGTGGCGGCGGCACGAAGCCGTAGCGCACAAACACCACTAAAGCTCTACTGGGCGTTGGAAAGGAAAAGAAATTGAGCCGTGCAGGGCGGCAAAGCACCGAAACGGTTAAAACTTCTTTCCAACTGGGCGTAGCTCATTCTGGGCATCGCAATTTTGCGTAAAAGCGCAAAATTACATCGGAAAATTGATTTTTCCAGCAAGAAATAATAGAGGAATACGAATAATGAGCAATTCGTAGCAAAGAATGAATAGCAAAGAAGATACGGGGTGAGACGAATCTCGCTGCGGGGCTTTTCGGCCCAAAATTCGGAAACGCGGCCCGGCTGGCAGGGCACAGTGAGCAGCGGCCCCGCTCAGCCGTGCTAGAGCGAGCCAAATACGCAGCTTCCCGATGTGCTTCCAGCAAATCCTTCTTGTTTCTCCTTCTTGAACTGGAAATTGAAAAATTCGCCGATAGCTGGACGTAAAATAGGTGCTGATAACAGCACGCTGGACGTTTAGACCTATATAAATCGCGACAGCGAGATATAATCGGTCTACTGGACTTCTTGGGTCACGAGAGTAACCCTCTGGGCTTGCTCCTATCGCCAAACAGCGAGCCGAGATCCACGATCGATGTCTGCCGGCTCTCTAGAGTTAACCAGAAGAGGATTTCAGGCTTGATGATCGTAAGAACGTCACGCAGATCGGGCTGATCGGAGTTTTGCGCAGCTTTTGCTGGCCTGGACATTGTAAAACAGTACTGGGCTTCGCAAGAAAGTAATTGCCATGAGGCAGACAATATAGCATCCGCGCACAGGCATGACAAAAACTTTCTTTAGCTGGGCATGAAGAAGAAGCCTTCGCCATGAGGGCAGACAATATAGCATCCGCGCACAAACATGGCTAAACTTTTCTTCGCTGGACATTGATTTGACAATGAGGGCAAACAATGTAGCATTCGCCACAAACACTGTCAAATCATGCGGTGAACAAAGATTGTTCAACCGCAAGCATTGCCGAAACAAATGCTTGCTGGGCTTATCACCTGACTTGCATCTCAATGGTCCAGGAATCACGATCGATTGTCCCAACATCTCAGCTGTTGACGTTGAAACACGATCGAGCGACTTCTTTCTATCGACGGCTTGACATTGCTGACTTCCGCCTTGATCGTCGTGTAGATGCATGCAGCGGCCGGTGTTTCCTTTTGAGAAAAGGAAAAAACTTGCTGGACTTTCCTCTCCCAATAAAGGAGGATAACGAAATATTCGTTCTGGGCGTTAGAAAAGGCTTCAACCACGGGGGCAGACAATATAGCATCCGCGCACGCTCATGGTTAAGCTTCCTTTTCGCTGGGCGTAAAAAAGAAGCTATCGTTACGAGGGCAGACAATATAGCATCCGCGCACAAGCGTAACGAAACTTCTCTGCTGGGCATGAGCATGATAATGAGGGCAAACAATATAGCATTCGCCACAAACATTATCAGCCCCGCGGTGCGAAACGCATTCGACCACAAACATTTGAAAGAACAAATGTTTTGCTGGACTTTTTACCTTGCTTTCATCAAAACGTTTGTAATTGTTGATCCCTTCATCCAATACTTCCATGGCTTGAACGAGGAAACTTCATCGCAGGCGATGCATCATCTTGCGGCGTTTCGAGCGTCGACTTCTGCCTTGGTTTCTTGTGGAATCTTTGGCCGCAACGGTGTTTCCTTTTGAAAGAAGGAATAAACTTGCTGGGCTTTGCTCCCAATATGAGAGGAAAACGGGATTACCGTGCTGGGCCTTTATAAAAAGTTTCTGGACGTAAAACTGGGCATGAAAGAGTTTTCCTTATCGAAAAGAGGAGAAAACTCGCTGGGCTTTTGTTAAAAAGCTTAAAAAAGTTAAATAAGCTAGTCTAATTAGAAAAAAAAGGCAGGGAAGGTTAAAAACTAGTAATGAACGAATTTACAGGTGGGGGAATGAATTTACAGAAAGGGGGAAACCTAAAAAGACGAAAATACGAAAGACTAGGGTGGGAGGACCATGCCCGTTAGGGCGTGCGCACGCGCAACAGGGTTTGCCAAAGGGGCGAGCGAGCCGACACCAAAACGCGTGCCCAAAGGGGCTTTTTGGCGAGTATGACGATGCTGTACAGCGCATACTCGTATTGAAAACAAAAGAAAACATTACCTTCTACTTCAAGTACTGTTTGAAAAGCAGCAACCTTCATTCCATGACAGTCTACAGACCTTGTCAGGCATCAAAGCAGAGAACAAAGCGGTTTTTCTACAGAAAAACCTCCGGAATAATCTACAGATTAAATCCGGCGTCTCCACGATGAAGGCAGTCGGCTGGGCTTGACAAAAGCAGTCATGATTGCTAGCGCAGTTTAAAGAGTAGAAAATCTTCCTCCGCGAGCAGTCTACAGACCGTGCTGCGGCATCTCTGCAGGGAAGGCAGTTGTTTCCAACCTCCAGGTAGTCTAAAGACCGTACCAGGCATACACCTGCAGAAAACTTGAAGAGATCTCTCCGTTGTAAAAGCATCAACCACGATCCACGGCGGTCTACGGACAACACCGGATGGTAGATGGCTGGGCTTTTGAGTCTTAGCCTTGGAGCTGAAGCTCAGTTTGCTGGACGTTGGCTAGCGCTAACAAACTAAAATGAAATAGAAAAATACTGGACTTCTGTTCTGGACATTTTGCCGAGTTTTGGACCGATTGCAATGGAATTCTAGACCCGAATTTGTATCCCAGACGCACCATGTCGAAAGTAATAGTCCCTCTGTGCCATATCCTCTACTATAAGATCACGGAGGATGGCTAGAGTTGCCACACTATCACTTAGGACTTTGCCCCTTGGGCCCCGCTCGGACAACCCTGCATCCGATAGACCGGGAGATGGCAAGGGATCCCAAGAGGCTATACAAGCAGTAATGTTCAGTGGTAGTTTCTACAATCGTGTAATAGAATCCAATGCATTTCGGTATAAGGATACAAAAGGTATACACAAAGTTTATCGGCATGTAAACCATTAGAATACGAGCACACTCATCGATGGATGGAGAGGGCATGGTAAAGTGCTGGTCTAACTCGCTGGTCTTAGGCAAAAGATGCTGGGCGTGAGGCAAAAGGTAGCTGGTCTTCTGCTAACGCAATACCCGCACAGACCTGGTCGTAAACCCTAGAGAAATCTGTAAAGTCGTCTGTTCGGAATAATCACGAACGCCGCCCGGCCCCCTCTCTCCGAGGGGGCCTCGCGCTACGGTAACGTACAGGTTTTAGCAAACCATCGAACGTTGCAGCATAATGCTCGCAACTGGAACTCGGGCGCCGGAATCTGAATCCCTTTATTGTTACGGGGTTCTCTAGGATTCGCGGAGGGAGGCCATAAAAACTTTGCAAATTTTAATTAAAAACATAATTTACCAAAAACCAAATTTCCGACTATTTCAAAAATTTTTTCTAACGTTTTTTGAAAGTTGTTCTACTTTAAATATAGTTAAAACTTACTAAAAATAACGTAAAGACACTATATATTAAAATACTAGCCCACAGGGCCCGAGGAGAAAAAATTGGCCTCCCTCCGCGAATCCTAGAGAACCCCGTAACAATAAAGGGATTCAGATTCCGGCGCCCGAGTTCCAGTTGATGTCCGCCGGAACGGGGATCGTCCATTCAGAAAAGAATCCCGATCCACAGGTTAGTGCTCAGAAATTTTAGCACTAAATAGTGTTTAGCAGGTGCTCCATCTCTACCAAATATGGATTCGACCGGAACGAACCGGAATTACGCCCAGGTCAGTTTGCTTAATTATTGTTAAACTACTACTTAAATTGGCTTAACAATACGGGCCGGATTATGTTCTTGTTCGTTTTAATCGTTAACTTAGGTATGAACAACGGAGATTTGAGAGTGTCCCCGGAAAACAGCTAATTTTATCTCCAGATGCGGCAGAAAACTCTTTGAAGGTGATGGCATGAAATTGGTTATAATTAACGTTCTTTCCAGGTCTATCAGGACATGCGCTTATATCGCTGGAACCTAAATGCTGGATCGACAGAGAGAATTGAACTCAAGAAAAACCGGTAGGAAGAACAATGAGGTTCACCGGAAATGAATGACATTATTTTCAGATGGTACTGGCTGCAAATCGTAAAGGGGCGCGTAACGATCGACGAAACCCTCAAACTCGAGACAAGTGATGCTGTCGGCATGAAAGAACAAGATCTCATAAACGTGTCTGCAGAGGCAGACACCGAAATCCTGCTTTTCGACCTACCACCAGAATAAAGGATGCATAATAATAATGTTGTATAATAAATGTAAAGTATAAATGTTGTATTTGGCTACATGCAACATATGATTTTTTGGTTCTTTAGAATTCGCGGGGAGAGCCAATTTTTTCGTCCCAAAATGACCAAATTTTCGATTCACAAGCATTTTTCTAACTTGTTTTGAAAGTTTCATTTACTTTAAATATAGCTAACTTACTAAAAACAACGTAAAACACTTTATATTTGATTACGAGGTCAACCGGGGCCACCAGGAAAAAAATGGTTCCCGCTCGCGAACCCTAAAAAACCAATTTTTATTACCTTCCACATTTCCCGCCCGTCGATTCAGTCGATAGCAACCGAACTAGTAAGGGGAGGCTAAACCAGTTCGCGGCAAGTAGGACATCCAATGAGATATGAGCCGCCTCGTCGGATAAAGCCCATCTAACGTTTGGGAGGTGCTACACGCGCTGCCCAAATGCTTTCCATATTCCTTGTGATTTCTATCATAGCATCGCTCCACGCGGAAAGCGTACATTGGCGTAGGTTTTCGAGGGATTTTCAACGGCATTAAAAAGTGCAAGTTGTTTTTTTGTTAAAAGATTTCCGTACAATGAGTGGTTTTTAGGTGTTCTCGCAATTTTGCGATTTAGCTCATTCGATAGAGCTACAAATTCTGAACACGTCCCAACTTTCAAAAACTGCTGAACGACTACGGCTTTCGAGAAAATTAGCATTGGAAAGGCCGATTTTTAGTATTTTTGGCCCCCGCTTAACAAGATGCGAATTTTGAGAAGCTTATTCTCGAATATCGTTGTCGTTTAGCAATTTTTGAAAGATGGGACTTGCTCGAAATTCCAAGATCTATCGAATGAGCTATGTCACGTAGCAAAATTCAATTGTTAGAATGGCGTGAGCTGGAATGTACTCCCGACAAAGGCGACGCTGTGAAGACGACCGATAAGGCATCCATAACCTCATAACATTAGTGTCTACTAAACTATTAGAACCCGGCACCATGTCACTTGACTCTTCGCGAAACCGAGTTCGACCCAGCTGGCCGCCCGACGACAGGATTGCCATGTTTCGACGTGAGTAAAGAAGCAATATGGGTACGTAGCAATTAAAGGAGACCACGAATGGCACCCTGCGCACCTATTGTAATATTGGATGTCCACGAGCCGATACGGCCTACATGATCAAAAGGGAGCCCCAGAACCATCATTTCTGCTTCGGACATCTCACTTACAGGTAATGTGAAAATCTTCTATCGATGATATCCACAGAGGTTTTTTGATATCAGGAAAAGTCCCACGTGGCGAAATAGCGAGAAAACGCGCAATTTAGAGTGGAGCGCCGCGGGAGCGATTGGTTCGTTTGGCGCAGTGGGAAGTGCCGAACAGACGAGGTAAAACGCGATACTCAATTGTATTGCCATTCAGGTTAAACTAACTTATCGTTGCGAATTCTTGTTCCCCCGGAGTGAATTTCTAAGCGACAATGATGTATTCGCGAAAACCGCCCTCCACGGACTCACCGATAAATAAGAATTGTTTTTATCGCATTTGCGGACTTGATGGTGCCTTCTAAACGCATCATATATCACAATTTGATGGGAAATACATAAAGGAAGCTGTTTAGACAGAGGGTTCAAATCGTAGGAGAAGTTTAATCGCCGTCCCCCTATGCATCAACAAGTAATCATATAGAAAAACACACAGAAAAAGCTATAAGACCCGCAATTGAGGGCAAACCTTAAGAGCATCCCCTTTGTAAAGGGCTGGTCGATGCTTAATCAAGTTCATCCATGTCTTGCATCGTTGACCCGCGAGGTGGTGGGGCAGATGACGGGGCTTGGTTCGCGCTCCTCGGCTTATCTTCTTCGGTAGCGCTGAAGTATCTAAGCCTACCATTAGTCCAAACAAAAAAGTACTCACGCATCCTCATCCATCGGCTCTCCGCCAGCATATTCATCTTCAGAAGCGGAGTCGTCCTTTTTCGGTTGATTCGCGCCACCGCCGAGCAAACCTTAACAAAGGAAAAACAGTGATCAAAAAATTGTCCAAAAAACCTGATCGATACTTCAGATAAAAAGAAACAAACCCTGAAACATGTTGCCAAAAAGTCCTCCTGCTCCGGCAGCACGCGGAGGCGGAAGTCCAAAATACATTTGTCCGATCTAAATGCACATACAAAATCGTGAATGTGCGCATACCTTGTCAATCAAACCGCGGAAAGCCGGCTCGAGCACGATCTGCGTCTCGTATTTTTCGAAGAGAAGAGCAAAATGCGATTGCTAAAACACATTCTCAAAGATATTCTTAAGACAAACGTTATGCTTCGGGATCGCTTGAATGAGGAGAGCCACATAATTGAGCAACGGCAGTGGATAGGGTTGCGCCTCAGTCACGATCTTCGGGTGAAGGCGACAATAATTCGACAAGAACTTCCCGGCGACTTCTACACGGCGCAGACAAATCAACTGGAAAACGATAAAATTTTGATTGCTTGTAAAAAGGATAAAAAATAAACAATCCTGCTTACCTGAAACGCGACGAGAGCGGGGAAAAGGTCGACTTCGTGAGGGCTGTCATCCAGTTGCTGCATATCCACAATCACTTCGGCAAGTTCAAGTGGCTGATCGGCCAACATGTAGTGCTTGCGCGCCTCCTCAAGTGAATTTTCATGACGCAAAACAGCAGCCAAGCCAGCATGCAGCTTTGCCAGCCCGCGTTTCGTCTCACGTTTCGTGGTCGCGACATTTTGAGACCTTAAAAAACATTGAATAATACAGAATCCTCGAACAGTCACCATGTGATTAGCTTCGACACGAATCTTGTCCGCCGATCCTCGGATGAAGGTCGTTCGCTATCCGTTGAGTTCCGGGGCAACTGGGAATAAATCTTCAAAAAAACATATTTCGGCAAAGGAGATGTAAGTACCTTCGAAATTTTTGCAATTGTCGCATCCGTTGGTGGCGCCTTGGACGCCTGTAGTGTATCGGCGTATAACTCGGCTAAGTCCAAAGCACTGCCGAACTGTTTCACTATAAATTAAGACGTTGCTGACCACTAACGAATTATCGTACCTTCAAGCATATTATTAATCCCGCGCTCGAGCAGCGCCAACACAGAGTCAAACTTCTTGGCAGCATTTTCACGGTTGTAGATGGTGCGGTAAATTTGGTGCGCTTCATAGTACTCGCCCCTTGCCAAGGAGTCTTGAATCTTCGTTTCCAGACGTGAAGCCTAGAAAAAAAGAAATTGAAAAAGTCCAGAAATCACTGACCATATTTCTAATATCCGTCAGGTTTCCAAGGATGCCGCCTAAAGAGATGGTAGAGAAAATTTGCACTATAAGGAGTGCTTTCTAGGTGATCTTGAAATTATGCAATATGACATGTCTTATTCGATAGAGCTTGAAATTCTGAACAAATCCAATCTTTAAAAAATTGCCGAACGATCACGGTCTGCGAGAATCAGTTTCTCAACGTTCACATTTGTAAATGGGGTTAAAAATGGTCAAAATCGGCCTTTTCAGAGCGAATTTTCTTGAACACCGGTGCCGTTCAGCAATTTTTTTTGAGGGATGGGCTTGTTCAGAACTTCAGGATCTATCCAACGAGCTGTTTCACACCGCACAATTCCAAGATCACCTAAAAACAACTCCTTGCAAGACCCGCGATTTCGATAAAGGGCTTGTTCTAACCATGGATAATATAGATCCCAATTGAAAAACATTTATCATCTAAAAACACACACACAAAGAACATAACGACTAGCGATAACTGCACATCAATTCGAGATATGATGCTTTGAGAACAGAAGAACGAGTTCAAAGGAAAATGAGCAATGGGACTAAAACATAACTAAAACAATCAATTTTCGGCATCTTCGCCCGCGGGAGGAGCAACTTCGTAGCGGAGCCTCGGCCAGCTTCCCACTTCGCTCTGTTTCAAGATAACTTCCACCTAAAAACGTAAATAGAATTTTACAACAAAAAACCTTGCGCTCGCCGATGCGAATCAAGCTTTCCGAAGCGGAGATTTCGCCGAAAAGTTCGTATTGAAGTTCGCTTTGCTTTGAGCCGAATCCGTGTACAAAGGAGAGACTCAGGCAAAGGCCGTCCGTGGTGGCGCGCAAACTTTCGGGAAGAGCACCCTAAAAAGAAAAATTAATCCGGGGTTAATTCTATTTTTAAATTCATTCTTAGAAAAATTAATTAAGGCAATTCAGTTTTTTTGCAGATAAAATGGCTTACCTTGCAGTAAAGATTTATCGTGACGATACCGTTCGAAGAAAACCAATCCTCGCGCAGCTTGTCGACCTTTTCGTTCTATAAAACATTAATAATCAGCGGCCAAAAATGAGGTTACCCTGGTCCATAAATGGGTTCCGGTCTCGCAACCCTTTTGCTCCAAGAAAGCGCCAAAGTCACTCGTCTTCTTCCGGCAGCAGCTCCAGTATTTCATGCCCTCGTGGAAGATGGCCACTCCGGGATGATGGACACAAGTCAAACCGTCCATCTCCGATCCATCATAGGTCTAAATACGTGCATCCGCATTGTAATTGCCGTGCAAACGCCTTACCGTACTACAGCCGGCATTCCTGCACGGTGCACCCTTCAATAAGCCTTCGTTGGAGTTTGAGCCAACCTGCTCCTAAGCAAGTCGTTTTTAAAATAGGAAATCTGGTAAAAGTTACATTAAATCGCTCAATAGCGGCCCGGGCACCGGCCGTCGTCTCCATCTTGATCGGGACTGGCTCCCCAGATTTCCCCCCACGCTCGGCCGGCTTGTTAAGACCGTTCCACACGATGACATCTTCCTCCTACAACAAACGAGCGTTATACGGAAAGCAGGCAACCAACCTTTTCAGGACGGATTTCCTTTGTTGCCGATACCTTCACCACGTCGACGGGCTTTTCAGAATTGTGTGGACCTTTCGCACAGCCCTAAGTGTTCGTTAGTGCCCACAGTTCACTCGCACCTTGTAGCTAAGCCACGTTCCAAAGTCGGTGCTCTTCTTGTTGCAGCAGTTCCAGATTTTGTAGGCATCGTGGAAATAGGGTGGACCTGGATGGAAGGTGCACGCCTCTGAAAGAAACCAGATCGACGTACTACATAAAATACATTGCTGATTCTAGGCAAAAAAAAAGCTAACCGGGATCATTGATGGTCGGGTCAAATTTGAGGCCACAGCCCTTGTTGTAGCACTGCACAAAGTGTCCGTCATCAAGCGCCATTTTTTGTTGTTTTCCGGTCGCGAAAGCTTGCTCCTAAAAATTGATAGCTTTATACCGACAATGCAAGTAGAAGAACACGGTGAAATTAAAACTTTGAAGCCGAACCCTCCTCACTTTGGCGAACTTTCTGGTATTCTCTCGTGTCCATCACTGTACGCGAAAATCCAATGTACGGCCAATGCTGTGGTTTAGCGGGCAACTGGTCGGCGAATAAGCTGGCGTTACGTATTCTTTTTGGAAAATTGGTTTGTAATAATTAAAAATATTCTACGTAAATGCCATTGACGTTGCACAGTTCTAGATTGCAGCGATTGTGGAGCAGAAACGCATGGTTTCTGGAAAGATTGCGACCTAGAAAAGGTCGAAGGCGCCTAGAACTGTGCAACCGTGCAGCGGTAGTTACCATTTCGAAGCTTTCGAAACTTTATTGGATTTGAACGCCCTAAGTTTTGGAATATTATAGTTTCTAGGTTTGACCCAGTGCTTCTCGGAAATGCTGACGTCCCGTAGACGGCTTCCGATCTAGGTCCAATGGAGTACATCAATGGCTACGACGTGGCGAGGTCCTCGATTGTGAGTCTTTGAAATACAGCGCGTTAAACATACTAGCCAGCGGGGCGTATGTATAGTCAGCTATTTGTGTAGACCTAAAATTTCTATGTGAAGTCCGACTATGTGTATTGCCATCAGGAATTGGTGTGTGGTAATTTTTAACTGTTTCCTTCGTCCTTAAATCACGTAATTCGTTAATTCTGGCACCTTCAAATAACATTTTCTCTGCGAAGAGGACGTCTTGTCTCTGGTCTGCCAATTCTCTCTGCTGCTTGCGGGCGTGCCACTACGCATTTGCATTCATGACGGCCTGAATTTTATAGCAACCCACCCTGGTCCCGAATTAATCAGGCGTAAAAGAGGGTGTCGATTCAACAACCCTTTTCTTCTCTATAGCTGCAAAAGTTTCGAGATTACTGTAGCTAAAATCGTGAAAAATGAGTCGATAAAAAGGGGATGCATTCCCTACCAACTAATGGCTAGCCCAAAAGTCCAGATAGTTTATCGGACCGAAAATAACGGCTTGAGAACCTCTTTGAATGTTTCCGAGCTGCTACTGGGTTTCCTGCTATTTCAGCCTAGTTTTGGGCGCGAGTAAACGGCCGAGTTTAAGGGTCTTTTACGGGGGCTAGTTCAATTGCTCGCTTTCTCTCCAGGCCCTCTCACTCAGCCTCCTCTCCCGGGGGGTAATGCCACAAATCGGTGGTGAGATGTACGCACCCCTTCTCCCCCTACCCCCAATTCTCTAGCCCTTATTTAACTGCGTGGGCCTACGGGCTAGGTTGGACCTCTCAGTTCGGACGCGGATGAGACGTTCGCGCCTGGCTCGCCATCGTATTCGACGCGAGGCACGGGCGGCTCTGCAATTTAGCTGGACCGGTTTGCTGCAGGAGCGACGGGCGGCACGAGTGTCTCAGGTATTATTGTACACAATTTGTGTTGCGTTCGAGGGTTTGCGCTATGCCTGCATGATCTGGCATTCGTCACTAGGCTTGCGATTTCCTAAGCAGTTTAGTTAGTGTGACATAGGAGTTTAAACTTAGAGACGTTTTTTAGTGGCATCGCCGTTTCGAGTTAGGACCAAGCCTATATCTTGTGCGGAATTTGTCGCTGATTCCGAATATAGTTACCGTTTTTGCTGAACAGCCATTTCTCGAAAGTTATGAGTGATTTGAGGCGAAAAGCCGCAAATTAGCCACTTTAGAAAAAGACAGCTAATGCACCTTATTCAGAAAAATAATTTCTTATAAAACAAGCTAATTCACTCACAAAAAATTTCAATTTTTGAAAATTTTGATAAAATTAGGGGCATCAAAATGTAGATAATTGTTGCAATTTTTCAAGAATTTTGATGAAAATGGTAAAATTTATGGAAAGATCTTTTCTGTACAAGATGCACTTGCCGTTTTTTTCAAAAACCTAATCAGAATCCATTTATGTCGATCGAAAGTAGCCGGTTTGCGCGGGTTTTAACTTTAAATCGGTTATAATTTTCGAAAATGGCTGTTCCGCAAAAAGGGCAACTAGATTCGGCATCAGCGAAAAATTCTGCACAAGATAGGCTTGGTCCCATCCCGGATTCCGGATGACACTCAAAAACCAAGTTGTTTGTCTTTTGTTAGTCAGAAAACGGCCGGTTGGGAGGTTAGGGAGACGATTAGGTTCGGCGCGTTGCTACGAGGATGCGGATACAATGGCAGCATCTCACTTTCCCTCCGTCTCGTTCTGGGGCCCGCAGGTGACAACTGTCGACGGCTGGCTGCATAGACCAGCAGAAAAGGCTGTCAAGACTCGCAACCCCCCATCGACCTTCCCCCCCACCAGGCCAGCCACTTGTCAAAATTAGCCGTGGTCTCGATCCGTCTCGCTGGCACGATGGCTGGCTGGTAATATGCTACTGCCATTCCTTTTACATCGATACTTCCAGTCGTCGAAAAACCAATAGATTTGGCGAATTTAAAGTTGTTTCCGGCGGCTGTTCCCAACTCTCTTTTTTTGGCGTAGAGTGGCGCGCTTTCGTCTAATTGCTCGTGGCGAGCCTGAATGACCGCAAAGAAGTTAATTTGACGCCCGCATCTCTTGACTAGCCGAGGAGATGTTCTCCCTTGCGTGTCTGCCCTGTTTTATTATTCACGAGTCGTAAGCGCCTAATAAAATCCCGGCTTTCCGGAGTCGTTTTGAGCATTTTTAGGTTCTGGACTTTTAGCAGGGGGGAACCAAAGTTTTTCCTGTGAGTCTCTACGGCCCTATAGCAAAATATAAACCATTTTTATAGCATTTTACATAGTTTTCAGCAATAAAAACAATATAAAAATCATAATAAATTTGCGAAAATCTTTGATTTTTTGGTCAAAAAAGTCAAAATTTTCGAATTTTGAAAATTAAAAAAGGTTTATAACTTTCTGGCAATTAAAAACTACTTTAAACACTATAAAAATACATAATATAACATCAACGTGTATAGATGGAAAAACAAAAAGTGGTTCCCCCCCCCCCGCTAACAGTCCAGAACCCATTTTTAGCCGTTGTTTTCATCTAGTTCTTCTATCCGTGCCCGGTTCTTTTAATCTGTCTTTCTTAACACGTCGGTCAGGCCAAGGATTCGGATGATATTCTAGCGGATGTTGTGACTCTGTGGACTACCTCGATGTACGCGAGACATTCGGGTCGCCGTTTCCGCCGCTTAGTCCCGCTCAAACTGGTAAGCCATCGCGCGATCCAGCCCTCCTATTCTCACAATACACTCGCTCCCCCGAAACAGATTAGACCAGCCAGCGACCGGAAACTGAAGTTCAGTAGGGTAGCATATTGTCGCTCCATTTTTTCGCTGCGGTATGCGGTGATGAATCATCTCCCTCCATTGTTTCGCTGTTCGAAAAGTTGTTGGCATAGGGCGAACGAAACATTGGCAGCCGAAGACTCAACATTTCTTTTAATGCTAGTGAAGAATGCGTTCGCGGCCTTGTTGGTGCTACAGGGCGTCCCAAAAAAACGCCCCCTCTAGCGGTCCGCAGTGGTGTCCGTTTTTTACGATTTAGGGATCTATCGAAAGCTCCCGACGAGCTGAGGAGATATGTTGTTTCCGATTTTTGAAATACCAGAATTTTTAACCCAATTTTTATCGTTATTTTAGGCGTAAATCACGCAATTTTCAGCAAAAATTCAATTTATACGGCTTTAGTCCCATCCAAGCTGTGTTTTCTCAAATGCCTTTCAAAAAGCTGACTTTGGGCTGCCAGGAAATATGTAAAAATTTGGAAAACGGGGTTTTTATTAAAAACAATTGCATGGGAAAAAGCATCGCAAATTCAGCGAATTTCGCAAAAATTCTAGTAACTGTTATAAAAATTCGGGAATTAGAAAAATCGGAGAGATCACATCTACTCAGCTCGTCGAGAGCTATCGTAAAAATCGAACATCACTGCGGATCGCTAGAGCGGGTCTTTTTTGGGACAGCCTGTATTTTACAAGGGTTAAAGGGGAAGGATTCCGAGTGGTAAACCTCCATCAAATGAAACTGAGAAGATTCTATCATGAAATTATCAATTTATACGCTTGAGTCGATTGTAGATAAGTATCCGTGCATTCCCGGCCACTTACCTCATAATACACTGCCAAACGGGACTTCCCCCAAACGGCTAACCAGCCATGCCCCAGGAGGTTTCCGCTTTGCACAAAGCCATGTTCCACCCATTGGCCTCGCTTTTGTTCCGGCTGCTTCAACGGGCTGTTGTCCCTCCACCATTTCTACTTCTGCGCTATCTTGTCCGTATATTTTGAACAAAATCGTGCAACGCTGTCTCTGCTCCCCTATCTCCTCCGGCCACCCTTGGCAATCCTTCGCGCAGCCGAGGTCTGAGAGGATAGCCACGGGATGAATCACCCGGGAAAATTGATTCTTGCTCACGAGAATGGGGGGTGTCTCCAGCCAGGATCATTATTGATCGGTTTTCAATTATTTTTGTCGCCAAACCGAGCAGCCATGATTTTCATAATCATTCGACTACAATCATAAAACTTGTAGCGCCACCCTGATACACAGTCGTTAGAGGCATCCCATAGCACGTAAAAAAAACTTACATGGGTGGCTTTTGGTGAACCTGCAATTTGGCGATGTGAAATAGCTCGTTCGATAGAGCTTCAAATTCTAAACCAGTCCCATCTCTTAAAAACGGCTGAACTACTACGGTTTTCGAGAAAATCGTTCTGAAAAGCCCGATTTTGAACATTTTTGACCCCTGCTACACAAAATGCGAGCTTCGAGAAACTTATTCTCGAAGAGCGTTGTCGTTCAGCAGTTTTGGAAAGATGGGACTGATTCAGAATTTGAAGCTCCAGCGGATGAACTATGTCACAGAATTCCAAGGTCACCTAAAAACAGCTCCTTGTTGAAGTTAGTTGATTCTCGGACCTAAAGATCACGAACCTTTTTCAGGGACGCCATGGGGAAGCGGACACCATTATGAGAGGCGATGAGTTGGCCGCTGCAGAATATTTGAGGTAGTCTGCCAGGCGGAGGTTAGAAAGATATCGTGTTTAGGTGGGCGGGCGACGACGAGGAAATATGCGAGAGCTGTTCTATGTAAGTTTTCTTTGGTCCTGGACTGTTAGCGTGGGACCACTTTCTATTTTTATAGTATTTTTAGTAGTTTTTGATGGTTAGAAAGTTATAAAAAAATTTGAATTTCGAAAATTCGAAAACTCTGACTTGTTTTAGGTAATTTTTCATGCATTTTTTACCCAAAAGTCAAAATGTTCGAAAATCTTTATTATTTTTAAAGTTTTTATATCTAAAAACTATGTAAAATCCTATAAAAATGGTTTACAGGGTGCGTCAAAAAAAGAACGAAGTTTGCACTGAAATATCTCCTGAACGGAAACGAATCGGACCATGGTTACCTTGCCAGAATGCTTAAATATGCTGGGCATGAAGAAATAACACCAGTTGTTTTTTAAGATTTTTGACGACCAGTGGGTCGTTAAAAAGTTTTGAACATTTTTGAAAAAGTAAAAAACTTTGAAGCGATAAAGTATGGAACTTTTGATGAGTTAGCGGGACTTCAAGGGTATCAAAATGAAGCTCTTGGAATGCGCTATCAAACCAGTGGTAAAGAATTTTGATAGGTTTAACTAACCGTCAATAGGAGCCCTTGGAAAAAACGGCCTTTTCGGGAATGGGCGATTCCGAGTTGACCATAAAAAGCCTATCGCCCTCATAACTTTTTGTGTTGATTAAATTTAATGCTGTTTGCCAAAGCTAATCATGCTACCATTTTAACTATATTAAAGTAAAACTTGCAGTTTCGACCGACTTGGCAGGCTGCCAAAAATATTTTTGATCGGGATTTTGAAAATCTTGATGCCAAAAGTTAGTCGTTATTTATATATTGCTAGTTGCAAATTATCAGAAAGATCGGATGGTAAGAAAATTTTATCTGGAACTTTTTCTTCAAAAAGTCCGTTTTTTCCAAGGGCTCCTATTGACGGCTAGTTAAACCGATCAAACTCCTTTACCACTGGTTTGATAGCGCATTCCAAGAGCTTCATTTTGATACCCTTGAAGTCCCGCTAACTCATCAAAAGTTCCATACTTTATCGCTCCAAAGTTTTTTACTTTTTCAAAAATGTTCAAAACTTTTTAACGACCCACTGGTCGTCAAAAATCTTAAAAAACAACTGGTGTTATTTCTTCATGCCCAGCATATTTAAGCATTCTGGCAAGGTAACCATGGTCCGATTCGTTTCCGTTCAGGAGATATTTCAGTGCAAACTTCGTTCTTTTTATTTGACGCACCCTGTATGTTTTGTTATAGGGCCGCAGAGAATCACAGGGAAAATTTGGTCCCCCCCCCCGATAACAGTTCAGAACCGAACTGGTGTGATAGGCTCGGCAGGAAGTAGCAAGGACTAGAACCGGCGCTTTTTCCATCGATCACTCTGAACGGCATGGGTTTGGGGGTGGCTTTGTTCTCTTCGAATTCTCTCATTTTCTCTCTAGGGGCATTTTTGAGAGGGCGGTCTTTCGCTTATATGAGCGAATCGAGAGAAGAAGAACAAGAAGCCGGGCTGTGCTGTGGGCGAGTGACCCCTGCCCGCCCCTTATTGCTCCCCCCTGCTCGGCCAGCTGCGCCCCCCTCTTCCTCCTCCCTTTCCCCCCAAAATGCCGTTTTGTTTATGGGTCCCAGGGGTTCTCAGGCCCTTCAATTGCCCCTCTCTTCCGCTTCCACCAATTGCCATGTCATTGATCTTCAACAACACAGCAGATTCTCTCTCGCAAAAGCCGTTTGCGCCTGGTATAGCAGTTGCTTGAATCTGATTTTCTCGGTGTGGAGTCGCCGCATGGTTTCCCCCGACTTTTCCAGTAGCATCCGGTATTCGGGATTATAGCTTCTTGGAAAAGGGGTTTTTCTCTTTCGAGAGCTACCGGGCTTCAAAAAGTATGATGCTTTTGCTGAAATGTACAGGGCGTCCCAAAAAAAACCGCCCCTCGGCATTTGGCCGTCTTCTATCAGATCTGGACCAAATTTTTACCAACGACAGAGACTCATAAAAACTCTGGGCAGCCGGATTTTCTAAGCAAAATATTGTAAAACAAAATAGTTATTGCGTAAATAAAGTTAATTTTGCCGATTTCCCTGGTTTTTTGACGGATTTCGATCTCAAAATTGGCAAGGAAAAAGTGGGCACATTTTTCTACCTGATCAATTTTTTTTATTAACGAAAATGATGTCTAGATTGGGATTTATCAGCACTTGTTATTATCAAAACTGGCCGAAACCGACACAAAAATGACCATTTTCGGCGAATTACTGAAAATCGGCATGCTAATTGCGAAAACACAGCCAAAAATGAGTGCCAGCATTTCCCAAAAATCAGTTTTTTAGCGAGAACTTTTTGTTTTACAATATTTTGCTTAGAAAACTCGGCTACACATGGTTTTTATGGGTCCCCATTACTGATAAAAATTTGGCACCGATCCGATAGAAAACGGCCAAATGCCGAGGGGGTTTTTTGGACACACTGTATGCCTTTCATACTCTGATTTTCTTCCCAGTCTACTCGGTCCTTTCGCGTAAAAGTAACGTCAAACGGCGGCGCGGCCAACGATCTTACATTAATATTCTAGGCGGTTTGTATTCGATTGGTGTTTCGGCGGGTTGCTGTAGTATACAACCAGAAACACTCAATGAAAAATTCCATGATCACACTCCTTTCTGTTTTTGTCTAAAGATTGCCTTATTTCCAGGTGCTGCCCGACCCCAACCAATAATAAAAAGGACGGCACCTCCTTACCTCCGCTACAGGTTTGTATTTCTGCCAAAAAAATTATTTTTTTAGTTATTTTGTTGTTCTCGACTTGGTCGACTACTTATCTTCAGTTTCGTCATGCTACTTTTATATATTTTCTATCTAGGTGGGTGAAGGTTTTGTACAGGGTGTCCCGATAAAAATACCTCCCTCTAACTTGGTGCAAAAATATCGGATCAGAATGGTAGTTACACCATTCGAAAGCCCTTGAAACGGCGAGTTTGCCACAATTTTCAAGAACATGTTTTTATCTAGACCAGCCATTTTACAATGTATTTAAAAACATTAAGGAACGGCCTCTGCATCTAATTAACGACCGCTTCTGGTCATTTTGCGCGGAAAAATTGCGGTAAATTAGCTCGTATGCCACCTTGAAAAACCACAAAATTTTACAAAATAGTTTGTAAAAGCACGGATTGAAATAAAAACATGGTTTTGAAGATTGTTGCAAACTCGCCGTTTCAAGGGCTTTCCAATGGTATAATTATCATTACGATCCGATACCTTTGTGTTGAGTTAGAGGGTGTTGTTTTTTTTTATTGGGACAGCCTGTAATTGGCCTCTTTCAGTGATGATGCACAATGATCTTACGAGTAATAGCGTAAATGGATTTGGCGAGGTGGCTTCGCCAAAAATTTCCTTCAACGCATCGAGGTATGTCTCTCTGGCTAAAAAGCATTTTAAAAAAGGGCTTTTGGTTTTCGAAAAAAGAGCTGGATTTTCGTAGCGAAAAAAAGAGCAAAAAGTCCTTTGAATCTCTGAAAACGCCTCAAAGATAATGATGCTTCAGGCCGATTGAGATCATTTCTGGCCTCTGTCGAGCGTACGAACGGCACGAGGTTTCCGGTGATGCCTGTTCCCGTCTGTGCTTCCGTGATAAATGGGAAGTGACAGAATTCTATGAAGGGAACAAGGTAGCTTTTTGTTGATTGGTAATTGTATGGCTCACGCTAGGTCGTGATCGTGATGAAGGACGGAGGCCAACAAGCCGTTTTCAAGAGTTCTCATCCTTTTATTGAAGATTTTCGTCCTGTGTCAAGAGATGAGAATGAGGACACCTTTACCGATCAGGTAGATGACATCCGTATTTCTTTGTACACATGGGTCACAGGTTCTCGAGAAGGTGAATGAGCTTTTGATGCTCGGATGGCCGCGGCACTACAAGCGTCACCTTGTTGAGACTGTGTGGCCAACATTACTCAGGTATCGTTTTTCAGCCATTTGGTGATAGTGCGAAAATTGGATGGAGTGCCCAACAATATTGGCCTGCTAATCATGCCCTTTTCCAGATCACCCGGGCAGCCATTGTCGTATGCGGATCGCCGTTCCTTGCAAGCATTGATGCATCAGGATGAATATGTGACTTTTCGTGTCATCCCACTCTCACGTGTCACGCCACAGGTATGGTTTTTCGGTTCTTTAGGATTCGCGGGGACCGCCTTTTTTCGGCGCAGGCCTAATTGTTTTTTATACATAGCGGATGCGTTCCTAAATTGTTTTTAACTATTCCTAAGCATATAAACTATATAAAATTTAATTTTAGGTCAAAAATTGATTTTTTTCGGACTCAAATGACCAAATTTTCGACTTTTTCAAACATTTTCCAAATTTTTTTTTGAAAGTTTTCTGCTTTAAATATAGCTAAAACTTACTAAAACAATGTAGAAATACTCTATAATTGATCATAAGGCCAACCGGTACCGTCAGGAAAAAATTGGTCCCCCCGCGAATCCTAAAGTGCCTTTTTTACCAATACCCTACATTGTTTTCCAGATTATCGGAACATGTGGGCATTTCTATCAAACGGAGAATCTGGTCGCCTTTCGGATGAAGGGATATTACATGAATTTGAAGGGAAAGGTATCGAAATTTGACAAATAATTAGAAGCTGCTCCCTAGATTCTCGTCCATCTGATGGGTACGCTGAAATTATTCTACGAATTTCTGAACGAACCGTTGCAATGGTGCGATGTGAGGTTTGAGAACCTCGGCCTTTCAGCTGAATACCCAAAACGGTAAGCCACCACCCTGAGCTACAGGGTGTCCCAAAAAAGCACCCCTCTGGCTTTGCGGTTTTCTATCGGATCGGGACCAAATTTATACCAGCGATGGGGACCCATATAAACTATATGCAGCGGCATTTTCAAAGCAAAATATTGTAAAACAAAAAAGGTATCGCTAAGTATCGAAACTAATTTTTGGGAAAGGCTTTGACTATTTTTTACTAAACTAATTTTTGACTATGTTTTGGCAATCAGCATGTCGATTTGGAGTAATTTTCCGTAAAATGCTCATTTTCGGGTCAGTTTCTGTCAATTTTGTTAATAATAAGTGCCCTCTTCATTTTTGCTAAACATTTCGAGGTCAAAATGTTAATGAATACGGCAAAAAAAACCTTAATTTCGATATAACTTTTTTGTTTTACGGGATTTTGCTGAAAAAATTAATGGCGAGGCGGTGTTTTTTTTGGCACCCTGTAAAAAGCGAATTATTATAGGTTCGTCGTTATGGACGGTGATTTGTTATACACCGAGTCGCGACTCAATGAGATCTTCCACCAAAAACCCTGTGCTACCGATGAAGATTGTGTGATAGGTGAGAATCTCGTAATGGCGATGATCCAGTTTAGGTGACTGCGTGGCCCGTTGTACCGCTGATCTCACGTGCAGTGATCGTCGCAACGAGAATCTGATCGTGTTCTGCGAAAAGTTGATCAATCCTCTTTTCGGGAACAACTGGTCAAAGGGCAACAAATACCTTGCCGCCTGTCACGACACCGCATCCAATTTTACCCAAAAGCTGAATGAGCTTCGGCTCACGTGGAGCTGGTCCCTTTCTGAAGTCTAGCGCAGTTTTTCCGTTGAGTGGGTTCTTTAGGATTCGCGAGGGGGGGGGGAACCAAATTTTTTTCCTGGCGGTCCCGGTTGACCTCGTAATCAAATATAAAGTGTTTTAAATTGTTTTTTGTTAGTTTTAACCATAATTAGAGTAAAAACTTTCAAAAAAAGTTATAAAAATGCTTGTGAATCGAAAATTTGTTCATTTTGGGCCGAAAACATCAACTTTTCGACCTAAAATTACATTTTTTTTATTTAAATTTCTGGTTTTTAGGCTTAGGAATAGATAAAAACAGTTTAGAAACGCATACGTTATTTATAAAAAAATTTAGGCTTGGGCCGGAAAAAGTTTTGGTTCCCTCCAGCGAATCCTAAAGAACCGTCTAATCTGTGATATTTTTCTAATGTAAAACCCAAATGGACCGCGGGAATTGTTTTTTTTTTGCGGAACTGGTGTTTTTAAAACGAGTGTGATGGTTCTGAACCGGAATTTTTAGTATGGCCAGGCATCCGGTCTGCTACAAACGTTGTTAAAATTTACTAGCATTTTTCTTAACTCTACGGGTGTCGCGCTGCTTTACCATATCCCCTATTTAGTGTGCTCGTGCCGTGTGTCATAATCCTTCCCGAATTTCACTTCTGACCTTGCCAGGCATTCTGATGCCAAGCTCTTTTGTTTCATGTACTCACGGTCATTTTTAGCATAAAGTATTTATGTGTGCTCAACGTAAATAAATGTTCGCGTATACAGGCAAATTAAATCACAGTCGGAGAGGTGACATGGCAACAAAAACAATGCAAAAAAAATAGAAGCCGAGGGAGGCAAGAGAACATGTCTACCCGTTCGGGGATGCGTAACGCGAAAAACTCGGCTCAGTCTTACGATTCGTCGTTGAGATCCATATAAACTCCCTCAGCGGCAACCCAGTGTGACAGGGAGCTTGAGCTCGCCGTTCCCACGACTTCTCGTTGGCCGTGGATCGGACGGCCGAACTTCTGGCCGGATAGAGACAAGTAAACACCTGAAAAAGCTCTAGTTTAAGACGATTACAAATTGCAGCTACCAGTATCTTTGTGACGAAGCTTAACAGCATCCGATTCTTCCCATTGATCACCCGAGCATTGAACCTATGAGAACATTTCAAAAATTAAAACCGCTCAAACCTCCCAATTATCGCCGGTATCAGTTTCACTCGGCCCACCGAAGCAGGAGACCTCCTAAATAAATGCGCAATTAATAAACCAGGCAAGGACAAATACAGAATGTACCAAAAAAAAACCCTCGGCATTTGGCATTTAGCCGTCTTCTATCGAATCGGGACCCAATTTTTACCACCGATAGGGACCCATAAAAACTACGTGCCGTTGAATTTTCAAAGCAAAATATCGTAAAACAAAAAGCCTATCGAAATTAAGGTTTATTTTGCCGATTTCACTAGGATTTTGACGGCTTTGGACCTCGAGATGTTTAGTAAAAATAAGAGGGCACTTTTTTCCACCCAGTGAAATGGGACTTTTCATCACTGTTTGTTATCAGAATTGGCAGAAACCGACCCGAAAATGACCATTTTTCGGAAAATTACTCACAATCGGCATGCGAATTGCGAAAACATAGCCAAAATGGGTGCAAGCATTCCCCCAAAAATCCTTTTTTTTGCGATAACTTTTTTTGTTTTACAATATTTTGCTTAGAAAATTTGGCTGAACATAGTTTTTATGGGTCCCCATCGCTGGTAAAATTTTGGTGCCGGTTCGATAGAAGACGGCCAAAGCCCGAGGGGTTTTTTTCGGATACCCTGTATTCTCCAAAAGTAAGAAATTGCAGAAAGCTTTTCCACACTACCTGTTGATTCTTTGATAGCGGCGCTTGGAAATGATGGCTGTGAAGGAAGCAGCCGGTGGTTAAATGTCGCAGCCGGATCGACTTGCCACATTTGATTGCGGTTCCTCGGGGGCAAGCCTCGCCAAACGCTAAAAAACAAAAGTGAATAAATTCTTTCGAATGAACGGACCTCCAAGAAGTTGCCAATGTGAATTATTATCGTCAGAGTTGGGGACGGCCGTCACGGATTGTTGCCCGCTGCCACTACCATATCTAAAAGCATAGTTTAAGCAAGGCGTTCGAAGCCAAACTGACTTGACGTCGTGGGAGTGAAGCCGGGAGCCCTCGCCTTGACTCTGTAACTTGACGACGCTGCCACATGTCACGACATCACTGATCGCGGAGGCGGACGCGACGAGTACGGCCAACAACAACGGCAGCATCTAAACAAATGATCTGAAGCCGAGCCAAAAGCAACGAATGGGGAGGGATTTTTTTACTGTTGTATAGTTTATAGAACGTGAAAACCACACTTTAACAATAGAGAATATCGTTTCCAATGTCCAACGTTTGGTGTGCTAATGCAGCGTCAACGCAGAAAAGGGCTACATGCTATTGCTATTGACGCTCCCCCGGCCAGTCAAAGAGGCTTATCGAATCGGCCTCCCAATAGATCTACTTTTGAATTGTAATATAGGAAATTGAATAAATAATAATTCTTGCCTCTAGCTAAAGAAAATGCAGACCTCTCACGATCTGCAAAGGCGATTTAAGCGGGGCTGCCGCGTACGCATTTTTCTGGAATTTATCTAGAATTTTTTTCTCGAAAAGTCCGGATTTCCGAATGCTCCTATTGACGGCTCGTTAAACCGACCGATATTCTTTTGCCACTGAATGGATAACTCATTCCGAGAGCTTCATTTTGATACCCTTGAAGTCCCCCTAAATAATAGAAATTCCCATACTTTATCGCGTAAAAGTTTTTTAGCTTTTCAAAAAATGCTAAAAAATTCTCAACGAATAGGGGGACGGCAAATCTTAAAAAAAAACAACTTGTGTTCAGAGTTCCGGCTGGACTGTTATTCGTTCGCTCGTTTTTGCTATTGTGTCCTTATATTCTTTCTATACATTTTTATAGGCCTCCACTGCGCCATGGATTTCCAGAAGCTTGCCGACAGGGAGAAGACCGTCCTATGCAAAAAGTAACTCAAATCTGACATTAATCTTAAAACACCCTTATTTAGATATTTCTTCATCGGCCTCGCTTGCCTGCCACTTGTATGGTTGATCAACTTCATCTGTTTTTTCAAAGACGCTTTCCTCAAGTAAGTGTATTGTGAAGTTAGTCGGGCGTTTTTGCGCTTCTTTGAAGTACTAACAATTTGTTTTAGGCCACGGACACCGGAAGTACTGCAGATTCGCACCTACGTCATCATGTCATTTATTGGCTGTGCTATTTGGCTGGTGATCCTCTCTGCATGGGAAACCGTCTTCCAGGTGAATAAATTTTGGTTTAGAAATCGGTTTAAATACGGTACTTGGTTTTTAATTTAGCTTAGCTTTTAGCTTAGGCTTAACTTAGCTTTAGCTATGCTTTGCCGAAGCCCAGACTTGAGCTTAATTCCAAGCTAAGCCTAAATTAAGCTTTAAATTGCTTCAGGAGGTCAAAAAGACGTAATTTAGGGCTTAAGTTAGTTTAGAGACTCGATCTGAAATAAGGCTTCGTTTGTATGAAGCTTAGGCTTAGCGTAGCTTTTTCAGAGATTCAGAGTTTAAAAAAAGTTGATTGGTGCGTCTTGTAACCCCCCGGTATATTAGCACTTATTTTACCCATGCCGATAATCTTTTATTTTCTATATCTAGTTCCTTTCTAGATCTTCCGTGTGAGAGGGCTACCCTGGACAGACGCGCTGACCTTCACATTCCCGCTCGGACGTGTCTGAACGTTAATAACACTTTTTTGTTTTATTTTGTGCCTATTGATGTATTCATGTGTTGCTGTGCTATTATTGTTCCCCCCGTACGTGTACAATGCCCGCAGTCAAGCTGTGATCTCGCTATGCCATATTTTGATTTCTCCTACATCACGTTGAAATACGTTTGCAAGACATATAAATTCTTACTATGAGCCAAAAAATGTAAACCACACTGTTTTTTTTGCGTGCGGAGGGGGTGCAGGACTGTCGGTCAACCACACGGGCGTCTTCTTTTCTCGCCGAGAACTGGGTTTCGCGGACACAATTACGGGTGTTGAGCCTATCTTCTTGCGGTTGTCGGGGGAAATATCGATGGAGGTTGTGGGCTGCTAATGGGCGATCGGCAGAGCCGCCCCTCCATGCCGATGTTGTCTGCATTTACTGCCAAAGGAGATGAATGGCATCAGTGAGTTAGTAATTTTTTCTGTAAATAAAAAGTTTAGGAATGCCCCGGACGGCGAAACGCAACGATGGCTGAACTGTGGTTCCTATGAAAAGACAGATGGGGTTAGTCTATCATGCGTGCATTTACAAGGAGTGATTGTTAGGTGCCATAGCTCATTCGATAGAGCTTCAGATTCTGGTCAAAACCCCCATCTTTTAAAAAACGGTTGAACGGCTACGGTTATTGAGAAAATTCGCTCTGAAAGGGCCGATTTTGAGCATTTTTGGCCCATGCTAAACAAAATACGAACTTTGAGAAACTTATTTCGAAGACCGTTGTCGTTCAGCGGTTTTTTGAAAGATCGGATTTGCTCCGAATTTCACGCTCTATCGAATGAGATATGTCACATAGCAAGAGTTCAAGATCACCTAAAAACCACTCCTCAACTAAAGAAACTACCACTTCTTTCCAGGAAATCGAGCAACTCGTTGCGGCCGATCGAATGATACTCCCCGATCGACCTGACCTAAACCACGCGAGGAGGACAATCCTGCTACAAAGAGAAAATCGCGAAGAGTTCGGATTCACGATCATAGTTAGTATTTTCCTTCGTAACGCCCCTAGGAATTCAAATCAAGGACATTTGAAGGAAGACATGGCGTTGATACTGTACACGCTATTGACAGTGTCAGGCCGGGATCCATAGCCCGGAAGGCCGGAATGCGCCCAGGTTCGATTATTCATTACAAAACCTTCATTGATTATTGATTACAGGGGATATAATCGCCGGAATAAACGGCTATGAGACGATCGGTCTTTCACACGAGCAATTACATAAACTGCTTTCGTCATTGACGCTGCGATTCGTATTAGTCCATCAGGATGTGAATCGAATCCGGTATTTAGAAGCAAGGCAAGTCAATATCAATATATTCAGATAAACATCCTGGTTTCAGATGCGAAAACTTGCGTCTCGCTATCATGAACCGGGAAAAAGAGCTATCTGATCTAGAGGACTATGAAATATATATCAAGCAGAACAAGCCCAGCGGTAAGTAGCTTCATTAAACTGCATACCACAATAGTGTTCGACACACCGCCTTCGATCTCTGGCTCGAGGATCTTCGCACATCGGAATCGGCCCGCAACCTCGTCACTGTCTTCTAATTCACTGGAAAATGTTGGCTGTCAGTTTGCTGGCTGTACGTTTGATCCAACCCGATTCAGATTAAGAAGGTAAATAAATTCCTAAGTTTTGGAATAGTTTCACAGGCAATTCTCAAACGATAGAACTAATCCTGTCAGCGATCCCGGAAGCAACGAGGATGAGAAGGTAAGCTAAAATGGAAAGAAATGGGTACACATAGGATAACGGGGGGGAAATAACGGGGGGCACTCAAACTTTTTATATGATAAAAGTATTTTTAAATAAGCTTTTTTCGGGCTGTAAAAAAAACTCTTAGTATATTTTTCGGTCCTCTATCGAATGGCATTTTCAAAATTTCGAAAATATTCAAAACGCCGAAAATTTTTCCCCCCCTGTTATCCTATGTGCTGCCCATAGTTTTCAAAAATAGTTTTTAGGCTATAAAACTTTTATAATACATTTTTTCGCGTTGTAAAAAAATCTCTTAGTATATTTTTTGATGTTCTATCGATTCGCGTTTTCAAAATATCGAAAATCTTAAAAATTTGGCTTTCCCCCCGTTATCCTATGTGCTGCCCATAGATTTGGATCAATTTTTGTTTATTCGATAAAAAATTTCATTTACATTATTTCGGGCTGAAATTAATTTTCCTAGGGCAGTTTTCGACGCTTTATCGAATGACGTTTTCAAAATACCGAAAATGTCGAAAATTTCGAAAATTTGACTTCCCCCCGTTATCCTATGTGCTGCCCATAGATTTTCCTCAATTTTTGTTTATTCAATAAAAAATTTCTATTACATTATTTCGAGCTGAAATTAATTCTCTTAGTATATTTTTCGACGCTCTATCGAATGGCACTCGCAAAATCCCTCAGTGATTGCAAATTTCATAATAATGAGTGCCCCCCGTTATTTTATTCCCCCCGTTATCCTATGTGTACCAAGAAATGGATCAACTAGTATTTCAGCACAGTGATTACCGTTCGACGGAGAATATTGGCGGCGAGATGCGGCGTTTTTGGATTCGTGCCGGTTCTAAGCCTATACTGGCCGATGATGGTGAAGTGAGCATCACGTCCTACGATGCTGCAATCGGCGGAATCGTGACGCGGCTCTGAAGTCATAATTTATGGATTATACTTTGTTTTCTGATAAACTATTTGTTTGGTTTTTTTTTGCTGGAGATTCGCGTTGTGCAAATCTCTTGTCAACGAACGAACAATGCGCCGAATTTCACATTTTACACAGCAATTTCTGCAAAATCAAGATCCGGTTCTGTGTGCGGAAAGGGGCTATTGTGCTGTTGTGTGGGTCGTCCACCGTATCCACGATTCCCACCCGTGATTATGCTCTGAAAAGAACGAGTTCGTTGATTTTGCTGCTGATTTTGATAGAAAATTTTCGATATAAATAAAATAACACATACAAATGATGCGCAACCTTCTTGTATCCATTGTCCATCTAAATATCAAAAGCTATTCGACCCCCTCTACTCAAATCCCATCTTGTGGTGTACAATTTTCCGAATTTTCCTTCTTTTACATATCTCAAAGCCAATATTCTGCTTTAGGGATGTCTTTAACGGTAGCGGGCGGACACACCCCGGAAGTGATCATCGGCGAAACCCCTGAAGCCTACAAGGAACACCTCAAGAATTATCTCGAAGAGGTTATTTTGCTTTCCTAGCATCACCATCGGTCATTTAGATTCTGAAGAAACTACTATCGGCCCATGGAATCGTCTCCGTTGGCGTTTCGGGAGGATCAATGCCCCAACTGATCGTTCCCATTCTCTTCAGCATCGAGGGGCTCAACTGGCGACGCATTCGGCTTTTCATGGTAGCTGACTCTTCAAAAAAATTAACGGTCTTCAGGTTGACGAGAGATTTGTGCCCACTGAGCACCCTGAATCAAACTCAGGTAAAAATCGTTATTGAGCGAAACATTTTTTTAGGACAATATCTACGCCTAATGTCGGCCGAGCATCGCCATTGCGTAGTGCCTGTAGAAATCCTTGACAGTCTCAACCATACTGCACAGCAATACGAGGTAACTTAGTTTTTTTTTTCTTCGACAATGTCTTTAGATCAAACTACGCCAGGAGCTGCAGCCGGAGATGATCGGGTTGCGCCAGGCGCGTTATGATCTGCTACTGCTTGGGATGGGACCGGATGGGCACACGGCCAGCCTCTTCCCGAACTCTAGGGTATGCATCGAGCTCCCTTCTAATACCAATTTTTCTTTGAAGATGTTCAAACACCAAGAAGCGGGCGTCATTGCCGTCGACGATTCCCCGAAACCACCCCCAAAGTAATTATCGCCCCTATCAAACAAATTTTATATTTAGGCGCATCACCTTGAGTGCCAACGCTATCAATAACGCGAAAAATGTGGCCTTCTTGATCACGGGTGAAGAAAAGGCGGAGGTGCTAAAGGTTGGTTGCCATTTCAGTTTGCCATTCGGCTCTTCCGATTCGAGATCGGCGTCCTAGTTTTGAGTTACCTCAACGTTGGCCTTTTGCTGTCAATTTATACTTTTTTCAGGCAGTGCTGGATGGCGATCTGCGGTATCCTGCTGCCGGCGTTCGTCCGATCAGCAACAAACTCAAATTTATTATTGACAAACCGGCCGCCAGCAAAATTCAGGCGGTTTAGACCAATAGCTAGCTGCTTCCGCTGATCTAGTTTTGCTTGTGATACCTTTCTGATCTGATACTTGTCGTCTGATTGATTTCATTTTTCTTAATTTGCTCTCTTGTCCTTGACGATGTATACGAATATAAATATTTTCAGGTAAAACGCCAGCGTCTTGCGCACGGCATCGACGTTGAAGAAACAGAAATATGGTCAGGATTATCTTGTGGTTTTGAACTTCTTTTTAGACTCGCAAGCGCCAATTTTTCAACAAAAAGAATGCTGTTCGATTTCGCTTGCTCCCCGGTGGCGGTGCGGCTGGTCAGAGTTCTGCTGATGGAAAGGATGTGAAGGGCAGGTTGTCCGTTTACCCATTGCCAAAACGTTTTATTAGGTTTATACCAACGGAACAGCAGCTGGAAGAACAACACGAATGTGGCGTATTTTTCGATGACGACTACGATTACATGCAGCATCTCCGTTCCGCCGAAGACGTAATGACACCCGAAAGCTTTGAAAGTCAAACGAAATTTAGAAGGCCGAAATGGTGGCTATGGAAATGGAGCCAGTGCCGCCGTCAAATGTGAAGGTTCAGAAAATGCTGCCGCCTCCGATGCCCAGCTTTCTCTTCGGAGGTACAAAGGCAGCTAGTTGAAAGTTTAATTTGTCTTCCAGGTCTGGACAGTATGAAGAGCAAGAAAGAGCCAGCACTCGATCCGGAAGTGGAGAATCTTCTACTTGGTGGTGAAGCCGAGGAGGAATTAGAGGACGACTTTCTTCAGCTAGCCGGTTTGTTTGTCTGGCGTTGAATAAAGCCAGTTAAGGCGGGGCGCTGGATTCTACCGCTTTTTCGTTCCGTGAAGCCGATGAGTACGACAGTGCTGAGGATGAGGAAGAGTATATTGAGGTGAAGCTTCGAGACAGCTCTTTAACCTTGTGTTGTAGCGTCTGGCCTACCGCAGCGGCGCCCGTTATGAATATTCCGGGTTCGATGATGATCAGGAGTCCGAAGAAGAAGACGACAAAGTTGTTCACCGTGATCGTATGGAAATAACTGATAGATCAAAATTCGTTTTTTTACAGCCGTTGCTCAACGTGATATTGACCAAGGCTTTGAGCAATTTATGGACCATGCGTATGGAAGCGAGCAAATTGGCGGGCTGGAGCACGATGTATGAATTGAAACAGTTGACCTGAATTTATATTTTGACAACAGGACCCCCGAATGCAAGGCGTCCTCGACCCTAACAACCCTCGAATCATTAAATTGATTTCTCGCCAGAAAGGGCTTCCCGAATACGATCCAGAGGTTTGAGTGATTCTGCTTTCTTATACGCATTTTAGTATGCCAAAGAAGATGTGCGAAAACGCATACGAAATTGGAAAGAAGAGGACAAGGAGGAAACCGAGATGGTGGAGGTAACTTTTTTTGGGCCTATTCCCGAGTGTTTGGTTTGGCAGTTCACACTGGAATATTGTATTTAGGTGGACGAAGGGGCGAGCAAACGCCTGAAATGGGACTGCGAGTCATTCACCACTCAGTACTCCAACATTTATAATCGCCCGACGCAAATTCGCGAAGCGCCTGGGAAACTAAGCAAAAAGTACGCCCTTCGAATTTTTTTTAATATATTTTGAGCTCTAGAGCCCTGCGTCGTTTGCAAGCAGCTGAGCCAGCAGATACGCAGATGGATGAGGACTGTGAGATGATGGATGACGACGAAAGCGTCATTTCGACGGTATCTACTCTACGGTACGCTAAAATTTAGAAAAAAACTCTTTGTTTTTAGTCCCAAAGGCGAAACTCCCGAAGAAAGACGGGCTCGGAAGGCCGCTATCAAAGAAGTGCAACGGGAACGTCGTGCTGAGAAAAAGATGAATAAGGTGATTAAACTACCGTTATTTTGTTAACACTATTTTAGACCGCTTTCGCTGAAGCAGCACAACGCTTCAAGCAAGACAAGCTGAACGCGATGAAGTATAAGCCAATGGCTTAATGCAACCCTGTTGTTATCGTTGTTATTGATGTCAGAGTCTATCGCGCCAAATTGTAAGCGAACTCTTCGTTTTATTTTCGGCTCCTTCACACGAGTTTCGAATAAATATTTTAACTGGTGTCGTTCTCGGGAATTAGAACAAACTGAACGGCAACATGGAATGAGCTCGAGCTCCTAGTCTTTGTTCGGGCCTGGTTGCCTTGCATTTCAGAAGAATTTCCCAATTTCCCAACTTTCCCCGGCCCTCGTTTCTGCCCCCACTTTTTGACTCCTCCTAAAAGAGGGGCCATTAAGTTCGAGGAGGTAGAACAATAATTGTTTCTGAAAGAAGAAGAAAAGAATCTTTCAGCTAAATTTCTTGCAATTCGGTGGCTTTCGATTGGGTTTTCGGATTGGTCGAGTGGCGCTTCTTCGAGACGTAGGGTATCGGCAGGCACCGTTCGCTCCCTGACTGGATTTGAATAAATTAAAAATAAAAACATTTGAATAAAGGATCTGCATTTCAATCGGAAAGTTGCTATAAAAGCCTGCCGAGTTGAAATAATTTCATATATTCCGAATGCGTAAGCCGGCCAAGAAGAAGAAGTCCGACCACACCGGGACGGCGCCGACGTCCCCGAAGCCGAAGCGTGCGGTGCCGGCCAAGGCCGAAGAGGCAAAAGTGAAGTCGGAACAAAACGACAAACCGGGCCTAATTCACCGTGCCGTGGGCCCGTTTAAGGTGGGTTTTCGCTTCACCCGCCTTCCCCGGAAAATTTCATTTCTAAAGTTTCAAACTAGTAGTCACGTACCGCTCACTTTAAACCCGACAAACGTTTTCAGAGACTTGTCCGCCGTTTCAAGAAGACAAAGGACGCCAACCCGCCCGTCATGCCGCCCAACCAAGTGAAGCCGAAGACGCTTAGTGCTTGCCCCGGCGCCGGCCAAGCCTTCTCGGGCAAGAACGGAAGGACGGAAGAGGCGACGTTCGACGCGATCCTGGACGGGTCGAGCACCGCCAGCGCCCCGAGTACCCCTACGCCGCCCTCTCCGAAAGTCGTCATGGGCGTGGCCAATATGGTACGGGGAACTTCACGGACTTGATAAGCCATACTTATTCAGCCGGTGGCTACGGAGGTGCACTGTATTTTGTGCGACAAGCCTGGCATCCCGGTCGAGGGCCGGCTGATGTGCGCAACGCACACCATCGCCTATTAGTAAGTAGTCTCCTCGAGGTTCTCTAGACGGCCGTCAAGGAATGCTTCTTTACCCTACCGCCAACTTTGCTGCTTTAGCGTTCGACCGAAGAACATCCTCGAATGCGAGCAGCGCGAGGGGTGCACCGTGTTCCGCGAGTACGTGAAGCTGACGCCTCCGCAGTGGGTAGCTTATAAAGTTCACGGCAATTAGCAAATGTCGCACGGTTCGCACGCCTGTATTTATATACACATTCGGTTACGGTATCGGAAAGTTTGTTTCTATTTCCATAGCTATGGATAGAAAATAAACATCGAAAATGAGGCGTGCGAACCGCGCGACATTTGCTCACTGCCAAATTCACCCGCCATGATACTTAAGAGCTTCAAACCTGAGCTTCAGGTTTCAATCTCGTTCGGTCTTGCTGTTCATGAAGCGGCGTTGTTGTCCGCTGTGTAAATGGGGCTGAAGAAGGACAACAACTCGATACTTACAGGCAGGTTGTTTGGCGGGGCGCGCTTTAGCCGTGACAGCCCATTGGGCCGCGTAATACAACCGATTAGCCGATGTTTTGTTGAAAGCAAAACTATTATGAGCGTAACAAAATATCTTGCTTTGATCGCAAGTTGATTTTAACCATAATATTAGCATATCGGATATTTGACTTTATGCAATCTTTACGGCTAGGAATGGTAAAAAACAGTTTAGAAACACTGGCTCCGTTTATATTAGAAAAATTGCCGCCAAAGAGAACCCCACCCCCGATAACGCTAAAGAACCAAATATCTTAAAAAAATGAAAATAAAGGTGAATTTCATGGCGTAATGTATTAATTATCTCATTTTCAGTTTCTCAAGTCTCGTGCTCACCTCTCGTCTCATCTCGTGCTCGACAGCTCGCCGCGCTTCAAATTGATCCTCGCCCCTTTTTTTTGTGTCTTGTGTACAAATCTATCGCGCCAAATTGTAAGCGAACTCTTCGTTTTATTTTCGACTCGACGAGTTTCGAATAAATGTTTTAACTGAGTGTCGTTCCCTGTAATTAAAAGACACTGAACGACAACATGGAATCGCGTCAAGCTCCTGGTACCGTTCTATTTGGCTGGGGCAAAACAATTTCGCTATTTTTTTAGGAGGTTTTCTCAGTGCGATTACATAGAGCATCGAAAACATACCAAGAGGTTTAATTATAGCCCTAAATCAGGTTTCCACAAAAAAGTTCTAGCAAAAGAAAGAACCTCCGGAAATGGGGTTGATATTTCGCTATTTTTGCCATATTTTGAAGATCTTGGGCAATCTGGAAGTATGACATACACTCTCCTAAACTCTTCTACGCCTTTTCGCTGTAGATTTTCTTTTTATTAGGGCTTTTTTTGTAAATTTCGTCCATTTTTTGTTTTCTTTTTCAGAACTGCCCGCCGCAGAGCCGGGCCGACGCCTAAACCGCGCCCCGGCGACTCATATCCTGTGGACCTTGCACCGTAGTCCCAGGGGCATTTCCAAGGGGGCAACTCGCATTTTCAGTCCGGCCTGCTCATTTTCGATGTCCGCCCTCCCCCAAATTTTTTTCTTTTGCAATGGCTTCTCTGCTTTCCGTTTCTTTCTTTGCGCTTTTACCTTCTTACTTTCTTTTCGATCTTGTCTTTTTTCCTCCAAATTCAAATACTTATGCACTTGCCTTTCGAAGTTTTCAGTTTCATAGTACCTTTTTTCAGGGTAAAATGTCGCATCGCAAGTTTTCGGCGCCGCGACACGGTTCGATGGGCTTCGTGCCCAAGAAGAGGTCAAGGACTCACCGAGGCCGTGCCAAGGCTTTCCCGAAGGATGATCCTTCCAAGCCCGTGCATCTTACCGCCTTCCTCGGATTCAAGGCTGGCATGACCCACATCGTCCGCGACGTATGCTCTGTTTTCCGAGAGTCACTTATTATTTTTTAGGTTGACAAGCCCGGATCCAAGGTCAACAAGAAGGAGGTCGTTGAAGCTGTCACCATCATCGAGACCCCGCCCCTCGTCGTCGTTGGAGTCGTCGGCTACATCGACACGCCCTTCGGACCCCGCGCCTTCAAGAGCGTGTTCGCTGAGCATCTGTCCGAAGATTGCCGTCGCCGCTTCTACAAGAACTGGTAAATTTTGGTTCGCATCGTTGGAACCATATGCACAAGGGGGTAATGAATATGGCGATGACGAGAGACTGGTTTCCTAAAGCTATGAGGAGTATCAATCAGTCAATGTTGCCTTCCTTCTGAGCCAGCGTCGTTCATCCCCTTGGGCATTGCATTTTTTTGCCAGACTAAAGCGTGTGCTTTAGGGTCTGGCGACCCTGTATGATAGCCCTCCGCTGTCTTATGACATGAGGGAAAATGAACCTGTTATAAGGGTTCAATTTATCATATAGGTACAAATCCAAGAAGAAGGCCTTCCAAAAGTACGCCAAGAAGTGGCAAGATGAGGATGGAAAGAAGTCTATCGAGTCGGACCTCAACAAAATGAAGAAGTACTGCTCTTCGATCCGCGTCATTGCCCATACTCAGGTACGATACCTTTGGTCGCGGCTTGATTTAAATTTTCGTTTTAGCAAAAGCTGCTCAAGAAGCGCGACAAGAAGGCCCACATCCTTGAAATCCAAGTCAACGGAGGCACCATTGAGGATAAGGTAATTTTCTTACCGGGCATATGGTGCTAATTGATTGGAACGATGACGAGAGACTGGTTTCATACCGTTATGATGAATACTAATCAGTCAATGTTGCCTTCCTTCTGAGTTCCAAATCACTTGGCATACAAAACTAATTCTGTGGGGCTAGATATATTTTCTGCTTTCAGGTCAACTGGGCCCGTGATCATCTTGAGAAGCAAGTACCGATCGACAGCGTCTTCAACCAGGATGAACTGATCGACACCATCGGTGTGACGAAGGGACACGGATTCAAGGGAGTCACCAGCAGATGGCACACCAAGAAGCTGCCGCGCAAGACACACAAGGGTCTTCGCAAGGTATCGTTGTCATTCTGATTGCTGATGTTCATTTTATAGGTTGCTTGCATTGGAGCATGGCATCCTTCCCGCGTCCAGTTCACCGTCGCTCGTGCTGGACAGAAGGGATACCACCATCGCACGGAGACGAACAAGAAGATCTACCGTATTGGCCGCTCGGCTCTGAAGACCGAGGGCAAGAAGAACGGAGCCACCGAGTTCGATCTGACTGAGAAGACCATCAACCCACTGGTATATTTTCTCACTCAGCTCATTATTTTTGTTTAGGGTGGTTTCCCTCATTACGGTATCGTCAACCAAGACTTCATCATGATCCGTGGTTGCTGCCTGGGAACCAAGAAGCGCCCGATCACCCTCCGCAAGTCTCTCATCGCCCACACGAAGCGATTCGCCTTCGAGAAGATCAACCTCAAATGGATCGACACATCTTCCAAGTTCGGACACGGACGTTTCCAAACCGCCGCCGAGAAGAAGTCTTTCATGGGCAAGCTCAAGAAAGATTTCCTCGCAGAGCAAGAAGTCGCCAAAGCCTAATTTGTTACTATTCTCTGTTAATAAATTTGTTGTTTTCAATCGGCTGCCAAATTTCTTTATTTGCAAAAGATTTGGATCATTAGTGCTTGGACCTGAGCGGTTTATTTCCGAGATACAGAGTTATTTGGGCGATAGTATGAGGAAAATGGAAAGTGTGATCACGATTGCAAGGGCAGCAAGTCCGAAGAGGTTCCAAATGACTGTTGTGCCGTGCATCGGCTAAAAGGTCGGGTCGTTGTGAAATGGGTCGGTCGCTTACCCTCTCATGCAGCACTTTTGTATATGTAACAATTCGTCCGTTGTCGTCGTATCTGCCTCGCCCCCGCATCTCCATCTGGTGCACCTTATGTTGCGTTCTGGTTTTCATCCAGTCCAAGATCTAGACCTTTTTCGCTCAATGCAATTTCTCCTTACCTCAAATATCAGGGTTGAGATTATAAGAAGCACCAAAAAGACTAGGAATAGCAAAAAAGCTAGTGAGTGGCTCCACCAGCGTGCAAAGAACCAGTTTGTCGCAATGAAAATGGCGATCACTAATTCGTTTTGTTGAGAACAGCTTATTGGACTTACTGGCGCAGAGGAATCCGAAGATGCCTAGGATACGATGCGTCCAATTGAAAATCGGCCTTGCTCCTGTGTCTGGAGCGCATCTCATCAGTGCCATCAGCGGGTTGACGATAGCAACTAGGGCGGCCATCGCGCCGACCTAAATTGGCTCTTTCCTTCGCCCGTGAGATATTCAGAAACTGTTGGTCGTGACCTCCCATTCAACTTACCAACGAGTGTACTCCTCCGGCATTCCAATTCTCATCGTCAGATCTGCCGACCGCAGGCCCTGTCCATCGCCAATCTTCGGCCAAAAATATTGAAAGAACGGCAATTATCACAAATAGACAAGCAATCAGGTTCAGCGTGCGATGTAACTAAAGGAGAAGTTATTTTAGGGTCGGAGGAGCCTCACATGGAACCACCATTTCAGTCCATTCGGAGCTGAGCCGGGCCAATGATCACGGAAGAATCTGGCTGCGAATACGGCGAGCGGGATGAAAAATAGCCATGCGAACAGCATCAGGATTCCTGGAAATTTCCCACTTTAGCCGACGTTTTGGAGCATAAATCAGCTGGACGCGAGGCGCAACATACCATGGAATCGAATAAGCCAACTACGGACGCTCATTGTGATCCAGGGCCCAGCGGAAGCGCTTGGTTGCTGGAATTACGCAAGATTGAAGCGAAAGCTCGCGGAAATTTACTGTATTCACTGTTTGCCGTTTGCCGATGTTATGCTTTTCGGTGGAGACATGTGGGAAATCCGGGGAGGTTGGGTCAAGCTTGTGGACACCGAGCACTGAAAATGAAAATCAGCAGAGTTCTTCGGGGGTGCTAATAGAGGCTAAAACTCACATTCTGGCTTCCGCGCCTTGCCTCTTGCCAAGAAGATGGTGTGATCCTGATCCAGGTTGGGGAAGAATGCGCTCGGACCCGGGCTGATCTAAATACCAATTAGTTTAGCCAATTTATCAAAAAAATACGGATAATTATCAAACCAGTTTTTTCGGCCCAAGCCTAATTTTTTTGTAAGTTTAAATACCTTTTGTCGAATCCTACAATATAGACTGTTGTCATCCTTTTCAGCGTGGACCAGTTCAACTTGAGAAGATTCGGCAGTCTAAAACTTTTCGAAACGGATTAGCTCGTCACCGTTTAGAATGCGTAACACAAGGATAGCTTTAATCCAAATCGGGAAAATTTACTTTTATGGTCCCCGTCCGAAAAGTGGTTTTTCGTGTCGGAATCGATAGAGAACTGTTCGAAATGTGGTTTACAGTCGAAAAAAAAGGGACGGAAAGTTGTTTTTAATAGGAAATAAGCAGTTTTTTACGAAAATTTGAGGACCATAAAATGGGGTACGGGAGACTGAAGTTTATGCTCCTCGGATGAAAAGCAATTTTTCTTGTCGGAATCTATCCAGAAATGTTCAAAATATCGTTTGCAGTTCAAAAAAATCGTCGGAATGAATTTTTTTGGGAGAAAATCAGTTTTTTCACGAAAATTTGAGGACCATAAAGGGGGGGTACGGGGGACTGAAGTTTATGGTCCTCACCTGAAAAACGTTTTTTCTTTTACTAACTCAATAGATTATCGTTGGAAATGCATAGTAAATCGAAAAAAAGTGCCGGAAAGATGTTCTTGGTCTCCTCAGGCTTCTGAACAGCGTGCGGTACATAGCATTGTCAGGCAAGGCGGGCCGTCGCTTCGGATGGGCTGCCGCTCCACCCTTCCGAAATCGAGGCGCCTGGGCGCTGCGCGCTGCTCGGGCGCCCCGATTTCGAAACACTGTACGAGCTCGCACCCATCCGAAGCGACTAGGCCCCGGGTGGCACGAAGCCTTATTTTTAGGCTAAAATTGGGCTGAATGAATTTTTGTAACAAAATATTTTTTGAAGCTAATAAAGGTCTTTCCGACGATTTTTTTGAACTGCAAACGATATTTTGAACATTTCTGGATAGATTCCGACAAGAAAAATTGCTTTTCATCCGAGGAGCATAAACTTCAGTCTCCCGTACCCCATTTTATGGTCCTCAAATTTTCGTAAAAAACTGCTTATTTCCTATTAAAAACAACTTTCCGACCCTTTTTTCGACTGTAAACCACATTTCGAACAGTTCTCTATCGATTCCGACACGAAAAACCACTTTTCGGACGGGGACCATAAAAGTAAATCCAGCCTCCAAATCTTAGGCTGACCTTTTCTTCGGGTTCCTGCGGTGGCTGGTTACTTTTGCCGAAATTGTAAGAAACGTGTGCTTCGGCCTTGCCATTCTCGTCAAAGACACATTGAGTGACGGCATCATCGCCCTGGCATAACCGTCGTTTTTTAACTGTAAAACGTTTTACCATTAGATCATCCTTGGAGAAGCCGACGGCCAGATAATTCGTGCCTGCCGTGTAGTCCGTGCTGTACATCTCCATATCGACGTAATCGTCGGCAACAGGTGCATAGCTAATATCTCGACAGCTGAGGAGCACAGAGAGATAATTTACCTGAAGATGTTCTTGCATACATTGTTCTTTTCACAGCCAGCCGGCACGTAGATGCACGTTTTATGGTTGCCGCATTGTGAGGCGTCGAAATGGGCATGCAGTTTCTGCAACAAAATAAGGTGTGAAATATTGAGGGGAAATAACCTACAGATCCGAGCGACAGCAATAGGATAAGCCAGCGCATTCTGAAAAAAAATAAGCTTGTATCCGAAATGATGTCGCCAATCAATGAAGAGGATAGTGGATAGCACTGGTTGGAGATAACAACATGTTGTGATCAAGAGTTGACTGGAATCTCGAGAATTCAAGGGATCGGCCGACCAATTCGTCGAGCTGTTGACGGCGTTGTTGTGAAATGAGAGAATCCCTGGCCGGTTACCTTTTGCTGAATTAGTCAGGGCGGCCTTGAAAAAGCCACTTTCGAGCACCTCAAAAAACGAAGAAGGATAGACGTTCTGAGGTAAAGAAAGGAAGGAGAGATTGGACTGAACGGTGGAAGAGGGTTTGTCAAGCTTTGGTTCTGGACTGTTAGCGCGGAGGGGGGGGGGGTTTAGCAGGGGGAAACCACTTTTTGTTTTTGATAAATACCTGTTAATGATATAAAATTTATTTTTATAGTGTTTTTAGTAGTTTTTGATTGCTAGAAAGGCATGAAAATATTTTAAAAATTTTTGAAAGTTCCAAAATTCTATTTTTTGTCTCTTTTTCATACATTTTTTGACCAAAAAGTGAAAAATTTTCGGAAGTTATTATTATTTTTATATTGTTTTGATATCTAAGAACTATGTAAAATGCGATAAAAAAGTTTGAATTTTGTTATGTGACTGTAGAGAATCACAGGGAAAATTTGGTTCCCCGCTAAAAATCCTCCCCTGCTAACAGTCCAGAACCGTTCGCTATAAATCAATACAAATCAGGCTGCCGAGGCGTTAACCACGCTTTTTAATAGACGTATTAGAAAAAGGTGCTTTCGCAGACTGTGGTGCGGGGGAAAGGCGTGAGAAGGCGGTCAGGGGAGAAGTGTCGAAGAATGGAACGAGGAACGGATGGATGGGTGGACGCGCACTCTCGGCCATTCACCCAATACAATCTTTTCTGCCATTTTCACGATTGAGAGATGGGTCGATCTTGTTGTGCTCCATTTCTCTTTTTCTCTCGGGATCCTTGCTCTCTCGCAATCAATTCGACAGATCCGGAAATATGGATGGAAAATCCGGGTAAGGTAATTCGTCGCGCTAAAATAGCGAGTCTCCAAAGTGCGGTCTTCGCTAGAAAGGGCTGAGCGATCGTATCGTGAAGATGCCTGTCTGCCCGCCATTCCCATAGCCGAATACCCCCAACCCTCAACCCGAAAATCCACTCTTAATCGTTTTCGATCGATGGAAAATCTATCAAAATGAGCCCATATGCGCAAAATCTTTCGGGGGAAGTGCGAAAAAGGACTTGAAGGGGCACAAAAGCTGCATAACGAGCGGCAGTACAGCATAAATGCTAGACGTTACTTTATCCACCCGCCAGCCGAAAGTTCCCAAAAGTTTTTCACGCTAATTTTTTATATTACATTTATTTGGGCTGTAATCCAAACTCTTAGTGCATTTTTAATGCTCCATCGAATGGTGTCGTCAAAATCCGGACAAAATAGTGGAAACCTCGAAAGTTTGGGAACTTTCGGTAGAGGGGGGGGGATAAAATAAATTCTAGCCATCATAAAAGCCAAAAAAGTGGTTCGAAATCAGGGTCTACTGTTCGCCAGAGTAGCAGTTCGGTCCCGTCCTTGTGAAAAAATTACATAAAATGGTAAAAATTTACTTTACCCCCCAGCCGAAGTGTCTCAAAGTTTTCGATATTTACGCTATTTTTCGGGATTTTCTCAACGCCATTCGATACAGCGTCGAAAAATTTACTAAGAGTTTTAATTTGCGCTTTCAACAATGTAAAATAAAAACTTATAGCCAAAACTGGGGGGGGAGGGTAGAGTAAACTGTAGCCCACAAAATGATCTTCTTGCTTTCCGGGGTTCAAAAATTGGGCGTGCCGGTGGTGGCTAATGAGAAGTGTTGGGGAACCGAGGCTGTTGGGGGAATCGCGTTGGTTGCCTGTTTATAGGAAAATGGCCTTGAAGAAATATCCGCCACCGCGCTTACCCAAGGCCGATACGCAGACGAATCGCGGAGGCATCCCTCCGAAAACCACCGCCACAACACGAAAAACATTGGGATTAAAGGGATTGTGAAGTGTCAACTTTGTGTAAGAGAGTGGAGGTCGAGTGGGGGCGAACAGGTAAAAACAGCTAAGGGCAATGGCAATTGTATGGCACTTCTGTGGGGTATTCAGGTAGACCGGGCGGCTAAGGGAAAGTGAAAAGTTATTGAGAAGGGCTGTTGCAGGTGACGGAAGGCACAATGCCAATCGACTCTTGCCCAGCAGCCGGCAAAACGGCTGGCTAGATCGGGGCTGCATCCCACCCTTGAACGTCGATGCTTTATTCCGAACGTGCGCTTCTAAAGAAGAAAATATTCGTTCCAAGAGACGGTACTAATGCAGTTAGGGGGGGGCAGTTCGGTTTTTGACTACGAGACGCCCCAAACGCCGTTTTTAAACTCTAAGTCTTCGGAAAAGCTAAGCTGAGAGTAAGCTGGGCTTCGCCTCATACAAACGAAGCCTGAGCTTGCTTGAGACCCGAGGTAAGCTTAGCGGAATGATCCCATTTTGACCTGGTAAGGTAAGCTAAAGCGAAGATAAGCTTAGCTTGGGCTTAAGCTGAAGTCTGGGCTTTGGCTAAGCATATTTAAAGCTAAGTTAAGCCTAGGCTTAAGCTAAAACTAAGTAGCTTAAACGGAACCCCTCGTAACCCCTTACTACCAATTTCGGACTCCCCCTTACTGCATAAGCACCCAACAGACAAACATAAAAGCAGCGCTCTGCCAGTAACGTTAAACCAATTGCCTCGCCCATCTCAAAACACAGCGCCATTGAGATCCACAAATAACCTTGTTGACTGTACCGAGAGGCTAATTTCTCTGTCAAAATTGCTCTCAATCAAAAATAGATACCCACGCCCTGCCATGCCCAAATACAGCCGACCTTCTCACTAGCTAGAATCTTGTCAAATTGGCGTCATGCCCCTGAAACAGGTTCCTGCCATGATGCTGCTGGTGAGGACTGATTTCGTGCATCATTTTCTTTCCAAATCAAAATTATTCGGAGGGGTCATAAATTATGAAGCTATCACAATTATTACCAGAAGGAAGTAGGGGAGAAATTGACAAAGCTGGGAATTTTTCGAAATGCTCAAGCACCAAAACAGCACAAAGCTAAGAAACGGCAAAAAACTTCCACATCAGAATTATTCGAAGGGTCTCATAAAATGGGAAGCTATCACAATTAATATCAGGAAGCAAGGGAGAAATTGATAAAGTTGGGAATTTTTCGACATGTTCAAGCACCAAAACCAAGAAACGAGCGAAAAAACTCATTGCAGACATCTTGGATGATTAGTTGAGGCAGGAGCATAGCCATCGATCAATATATTGTCTAAAACGATGTTACTAAAATGAAATATACACAAACTTGGCGAATGGGATGTAGGTAAGCGAATAGTAGGCCATGGCAACATATTGGAGGATGGTAAATATCAGCGCAAGTGGTGTGTTTTTCAACACGAGCCCCGATATCTAAATGAGATTTAATGAATCTAGATACAAAATCATACCAAAGCCATCATAATGAACGCAATGTAGGCGAGACTGGCCACCCAGCGATTCGCGGAAAACATGTTCTTAAGCTGCTTCAATGGTCCCATCAAGAAGCAAGTTCTAAAACGTTTGCAATCAGCCCTCGAAAAGAATGACCCACCCGATTAATGACATAATACTCCCAATCGAGGTGAGCACACAAAATCCGGCGAGACTAGAGATCATCAAGAGGATGCTGGCCTAAAAAGCTATTAGCACGGCAACAAAACGTTCCTTACGCATAAAGAAGCGATACAGGAAAGAATGAAGCAACCGGCGAAGCATTGGATTCGCGTGTCCCAGGCTAGACTGCTCCCATCCGACGGCTATAACGGCAACAACATAAGCATGTAACCACTCACAGTGGGCGCAGCCTCTGGGGTCGCTTCAACGTCATTTGTGAATTCATTGGGCCGTGAAGTTTGACGAAAACTGTCGAACATCTAAAAATCGGATATTTATCGCTTGTCTGATTATCAAGTAGCTTGAAAACAGAAAAGAACGATCCCCCTTTCAAGTTATCACCAGCAGAATTAGAACAATTAACGTATCGCCTAGAACTAGGCTCAAACTACTATGACCGGAATTCAGGGGAAAAGTTAAAATTCGGGGTTCACTCAAAATTTTTATGCATTAGAAAAATTTAGCGATGTCGCGACGCTTTTGCCTATATTTTGCTTCGCTACGGGGGCCTAGGGGCGCTTTTAGAGGAGAATACGAAAATATTAGCTTGGGTGCAAGAAGAAAACGTTACACATTAAAAAAAAATAAAACTATAGTTTAAATTTAAACTATAGTTTTATTTTGCGTAACTTTAGCACCCTTACTGCTACATTTGGTTCCTTTGACGGGGGTTGCGTAGTCTGTAGTCTGGTGTACACCGGGATTGCATTACGCCGTGAAATTCGACTTTATTTTTATTTCTTTTATTTTATTTTATGAATTCATTTTATTTTTCTATTTTTATTTTAGCATACTAAATAGCTTAGGCTTAGGAAGTAAGCCGAAGCCTAAGCCAAACCTAACCCTAAGCCCTAACGCATTGAGTTGAAATTGAAACCTAGTTGCTCAACTGTCAGGGCCTTTTGATCTTTCCGCGGTTCCCAAATATGAGTCCAATAATATGTGCACTTTTCAGGTTGATCAATGAACTTACCAACTGATCTTCGACCCACGGGAAGCGGTGCCCTCTATCTATCCATCGTCGGCAGAAACGTAATCACCTTTTAGCCATTTACTCTTTGTTTCAGAATACACCACTATGGTCAGCACTGGCTGAGGGCGCTCAGCGTAACGCCTACAACATCCAGATGTTTGGCTATTCTTCCCTGGACATTGTCGATGAGAAGGTGAAACAGCATCTTTGCATAATTTTCCGTTTAGTGTATCAAAGCGACTGAAAACTATCTGGGGCAGATTTATAGCGACTACTTTTTCAAGGTATTTTTTGAAAGCAAACTATTTCTAGTGGGCTTTTTAGACATTTGCGTATGTGAGCAGCACCGGCGTGAAGTTTGTTTTTGTGACGGACACAAAATCGCAGGGACTAACCGTGGGTTCGCAGACGGTGCTTATTTACTTGTTTTTTTTTAGGATCCGGAGGTGCGGTTATTGTTCAAGAGGCTGCACACGGCATATTGCCAAGCCATCAGCAATCCTTTCCATCAAGCAAAAGCCCCGATAAAGTCGAAGTGAGCGTTTATGGCGGGTTCATAACGTAGTTTTAGATTCCTGACGGAAGTGGCTGACCAAATATTCGCCCAATGAGCTTGTGCCGCTGGAACATCCTGAACAAAGTATCTGTGATTTCACGCCAAACTTCGGATAAACATTTCTTGTACAATAAACGGGAACGATTGTTTTGTTTAGTTCTATGCCCGTTGGTACCGGCAACACTGTCTAAGAATTGATCAAAATTCGTTCAATTGTTTTCTAAAACAAATTATTTTGATCGCGTCGAGCGTTTAGGCGCGAATTTCGATAATCGTGCTCTAACTATGAGCGTTGATGGCGGGGGTTTCAGTGGTGTCGTTCGGATATCGAACGTCAGTGACTTCATCGCTCCGTCAAAGGTTTGCTTACCTCCTTCCCCTACCTATTTTTGTAGAGCTGTATAATCCCGCTGAATGAAAATACGCAAACTGTCGCTGTGGAGGAACCATTGGTGTCAATTGGTAGAAGAAAACGCGAGAAAGAAACTGAGCCCCACGACGTCAAGAAAAAGGCGAGTTTGAGCTGCGTGCCGGTTCTATAGCTTTATTTAGGCAGTAAAGGTTACGTTGAACGATTGTTTGGCCTGCTCGGGTTGCATTACCTCCGCGGAGACGGTTCTCATTGATGCTCAGTCATTAGCGTCGTTGTTGTCGGGCATCGAGAAGGTATATTCTCAGATTTTTGTCTGTTAATTATAGAGTTTAGAGTACACTTGCGGTCATTACCGTTTCGCCCCAATCCGTCTGTTCAATTGCATCACATCGTGGGCTATCGACTGCAGAAGCGGCACGGCGGATTGCGTCTTATTTCTTTTCCAAGGTTTTTGTGCAGCAAGACTATATCAACCTATTTTTAGGGAGTTCGTTTTGTGCTCGACTCATCAATTGGCCGAATTTTTGCGCTGGAGCGTGAATGTGAGGAAGTTGAGAATCGATTGGGCAACGGGTAACTTTATAGCTTCGAGCAATAACGCCATTTCAGGCCAGCCATTCTCTCATCGATTTGTCCCGGTTTTGTTTGTTATGCGGAAAAGTCACAGGGGGACCTCTTGGTGCCGTTGTTGAGCCAGGCAAGATCGCCACAGGTATATCATCGGCTTGTCCTTCATCCTCTTTATTTTCAGGCTGTGATGGGAGCCCTGGTGAAGAACTATTTATCACGCCGCAACAATACAGCTCCATCTGACATTTTTCATGCAACGGTTCGTAACATCTGCGCTGTCATGTTGCACAGGGGTTATTGCCATAATGCCGAATCTTCAAAGCGCCCATTTTTAGAAGGTCGAATCTTCATAATACCGAACTTTAAAACTCCGAATTCCAAAACTCCGAATACTATTTTGGTGGAGAATCATGATTTCATTGATTTGCGTATGATAAGTGTTTTAGTTTATTACATTTTAGTATTCAGTTAATTAGAATAGTTTTACGATTCGGCATTATGAAATATGGCGTTATAAAAATTCCGCGTTAGAAACATTCGACGTTGTGACGGTAAATCGTTTCTTAGGTGATGCCATGTTTCGACAAAAAGCTCGAGGCATCTCGGAATGATTTTTTGTTGGAGGGGAATGTGCATGAGGTGGATTGCGTCGTAAGTACAGGTCTGTTGAGCGTGGCGTATTCTCAATGATATTTCCCTCAGGCGAACTCGACTCAGTATTGGACGAAGTTGACAAGCTGTATGAAAGCGTTGAGCCTGGATGGTTAGGCGATTTTGGCAGAGGTGAGGTTCTCGTTTGCATAAAGTTTATTTGTCTTTTAGGGAATTTGCTGGGTGGGCAGGGCGGTACGTCGGGTGGATACGCTAGCGCTGTGGTCTCTTCTTTGATGGAACGAAATCCAAATCTGCAGGCGGAGAGCAGCCAACCGTACACTTAGAGTTGTAATCGCAACATGATTTGTTTTAGCCAGAAGAATCTCGAAGTTACCCGGCTCACCGAAGATGGAAAGAAACCGCTGGTGATCGCGAAAGTGTACGGCTTCAAAAATATTCAGAATATGGTAAGAACATTTTTGCGATTGGATAAACGAGAATTTAGGTGCGAAAGTTGAAAACGCGTAAATGTGAATATGATTACGTAGAAGTGATGGCTTGTCCGGGAGGTACGTTCTTATTGATAATCAACATTTTCATATTTCAGGCTGTGGCAACGGAGGCGGCCAAGTTCGGCAGGAAACTGACGCTGAGCGAGAAGCCGCACGCATTCGGGTAACAGGAAACCGGCAGCTTCACCTTTTTTTTTGTAGGTCGAGGAAATGTACGGCTCGCTAAAGGCCGATGGCTGCGCAACAGAACTCCGACAGTCAATAGCAACCGATTGGGGCTCAATGGATGAGCGATGGAGGGAACGTCTCAACACCGAATTCCGGCCAATCGTCGCGAAATCGTTGAACATGGACTACTAGACGATAACCATGTTGGCCTGCATTGCCCCGCATAGTTGTGATAAGTGTAGATTTTGCAAATTCGTTGGATTAAAACTTTATCTGGACGTGAAAAGAAATTTCGGCATAGAAGTGCATACCGAAACCTGCCTTGTTAGGTATTGTGGCGGTCACTACATCATTAGTAAAGTGACGCCGTGTATCTGGTATAGTTCTTGGAGTTTATCAGGCTAGCCTTCGTGAGCAGCCGTCAACGCCCTAAATTTGGCCCAGCGGCCAATGATGTTATATATGTTTATAAAGCCCGGTCCGTCGGGGACGTGGTGCTAACGCAGAAGATTTATGGGCGGGCAGAACTTGGATAAATACAACGTCATGAGCTATCGTAAACGGTGCAAAGCGTCGGCCGCGATAATAAATAATGAGCTGGGTGGCATGCCACGGGGGCAGCCGAACGGTTAACTTATGGCGGTGCACAATTGCAGAACAACAAAAGGTGAGTGCTGCGCAGGAGAAAAATCGGCAGGTATATTCGGGGGGAGGGAAACAGCAAGTGAAAAAGCGGAAGAAGGACACGGAAAAGATATCGAGCTATCACAGGGAAGGCACGGGTCAATGTTTGTAAGACGGGGTGAAGAAGTTAAGCGATTCGACGAGACGAGGCTGCAGTTTTACATGTTTTCGTACTGGTCGATGCGTCGCTTCGTGTTACCGCCGCGGATCTGCCTGAAAGGAAAAAACACTTGTGATTAGTTCGACAGACAAACCTGAGCGTCTTGTACTTGTCCCTGCCGGCCCTCTTATTCTCCATATGAAGGACATCATAGTCGGTGACTCCACGCTCGTCCTTCACGCCCTCCAACTCGCGGGTGAGCATCTACAAAGATCAGTAATGACGAAAGAAATAAAATTACGTCGAGCTTCTGCTTGATGGAGACGTTCTGTTCGGCTGCCGTGACGCGGTCAAGCTCGCGCTGAGGCATGTCGGCGTCCGCGTCGGTGGTGAGTTCTAAGGCACAGTTTAAATATGCAATGAATTGTTTACCCTGATGCCCATTCTCGATGTGATCATCATGGTCATCGTAGTCGTGCACAGAAGAATGCACTCGCACCTAAAAATTGAGTAAAGAATCGCCACCCAATCGCTACACACAACGTAAAATCTAGTGAGCTATTATAATTAGAAATTCTGGAGGGGTAAAGATCAAGCTCGGAAAAAGGCATGAGAAGATCAGCGCCCAGCATGCAAGACTCACATCGTCACTTTCAGCGGTATGGTCATGTACATGCTTATCCTGAACATTACCTTCAGTATGACGAGGAAGGCCCCAATAACCGAAGATTTTAGAGAGCCAATGACCACTCGAAAAAACCTATTCGTACCTCGGTGTATTTGTGGACCTCGGTGCGACGGACGTTCTCAATTTCGCTCTGAAGGCGCGTCGTTTCCTCCTGACGACGGTTGACCTCATCACGCATCGAGGTGATCTGAAGAGAGATTAGATTAAGCCATGAAACGATGCTCACCTCTCCCTCCCTGCGGTGCACCTCATCTCGGAGACGACGGCGTTCCTCTTCACTCATAGCACGCTCGGATTGCAGACGCTGGGTCAGATCGAACAGCTCTTGCTCCTTGGCCTCGAGCTCATCCTTCGCCTAGAAGCACACAAAATACTCTCGGGATACAAGGCCTCACGATCTGCAGTTGGCGAAGCTGCTCCTCCAACTGGCGGATGCGTTCACGAGCCTCGGCGAGGTCAGCCTGTGCACGATCGTAGGCAGCCGCCATCTAAACGAATAGAAAGTAGAATGCCGATCCGCGCGCAAGAATTACCTCAGCCATGCGGTTCTCCGCCTCGCGCTGGCGCGCCTCAGCAGCCTCACGAGCGTTCATTTCCTGAAAAAGTTGTGGGATCGCATGTTCGGCATACCTTGCTGAGTCGCTCGTGCTCTTGCTGACGAAGAGCCTTCTCTTCCTTGGCCTGTTGCTTCATTTGCTGAACCTAAATTACAAAGGAATTAATAAATGATACAGTCAAATTGCCTCAATGGTGTCCGGCTTCCTGCGGCGCATGTACAGCTCGTGATTGCCCATGCAAAGAGCAAGAATGCGCTTGTTGATGCGAAGGCGCGGGGCATAGAAGATGAAATCGGAAGCCTTCTTGTCGATCGGCTTGATCACAAACTTCTTATCGTTGAAAGAAATGTTGCGGATCTCAGACCACGGGAAGCCGACCTAGCAGATAAAGTTTTTGGCGGAAACAGCAATGATACCTTTGGTGACAATCGGTCAGTCTTTTCGTAGATGTTCAAACCGAGCGCGTCGACGCCAAGGTAGAGTTCAGTGCCCTTCTTGTTGCGGATGTCAAAATACTAAACAAGACCATGATAAAAATCCTAGTCCATGCTCACATTGATGCCGTACATCTCCAGGTCCTGAGCAATTTTCAAGTACTCCAACATGGCCTGCTCGCGTCCCATGCCACGTTGATCATTCCACCTATTTATAACGAATGATAAAAAAAGGATAATGTTCCAACCAATTCATGATGCGGCGCTCCCACTCATCTGGTGACAGCTTGAACTGGTTGACGACGCGCTGCGGGAGAAGACGATCTTGTGTGAGGAAGCCTGGGCCCTGCAGCTCAGGGTTGTAGTCGCCGTACTTCGCCTAAACGAGGGAGTCATGATCGAAACATTTTCGATACCTGCATGGCGTATGCAGCCAGCAACACCGACGACTCCGGTGCGCAGTAGACCTCATCGGAAAGGATGGCATCCTTCACTTGAAGATAGAAGAGACGCTATAAAAAATCCAGTAAGTCTTTTCATACATCTATTGCACACATTCGGGGCTTGTCATTTCCCGTTCGACCGCCAAAATATAGGGTGTTGACGAACGATGAGGTGAATGCCTTGGCGACCCTATTAGTCATGACGGCTGATTCACTGACTCCGCAGCCCTGCTAGACCCCTCTGCATCCTTCTCGCCAAAAAAGGCCACGTATTTTACGAACACGACATCGACTGGATCGACAGTCGTTCTTCCAAGCGACCCAGCTCTAATCTATGCCGGTAGTATACGCGAAACCAGCAACCATAGCTGATAAGAGCTTCAATCCGATAGTAGTGTCTCGGGCAACGCGGCGGCGCCGGCGTAGCGATTCCCCCCACATGAAACCCCAATTTGTATGCAAAATTTTAGCGAGCCGTGGGAAGGAACAGGTAGTAGTGGGGCATTCGGAAAGGCACCCAGCGAGCGGTTTAGCGGGGCTCGGTACAAAGGGCTAGCAGGTCAACCAATTAAATAGCTAGTTGAAGAACATAAAGTAGAGAAACATATATTACCAAGGTGACGTCTTGGATGATTTCTTCAGAGACATCTTCCGGGTAAAACTTGGCGCGAAATTTGAACTGAAGCGTGGTGTCCTTCTTCACCTCTTGCGAAAGCACCTAAAATACGTTAAAAAAATAGGTGGATGAAAGTAACCTTCTTGTTCAACTTCAACCAAGTGGGAAAGCCCTTGTTGTCGGTGTATTGGAGACCGAAATACCAGATCTCGCGGAGTCCGATTGTTTTGACCACCTAAAAGGAAATAGGTCATCATAGGGGAAATATAGAACCTGGTCGAAGAGCTGCTTGCCGGTGGTGCTCGGTTGGATGGCAAACTCCAACTCGGCGTCCATTGTCGTGACGCGAACATTGATCTGAAAATCCAAATTCAGTCCATGCGATGTCTTTTTGGGCTCTTTTTGTACCGTACTCGCCTTTTCCCCCTTTTCACACACACAATTATCGGGGGTCCTAAGCACGCAAAAGCGGGTGAAAATGGGGGAATGGTCAGGAGGGAAGGGGTGAAAGGAAAAGCGGGACTGTCCTCTGAAAAACAACGGGTGGGGCCCGCGTCTAAGGCAAACAGTCGCCGAATTTGGAGAATGAAGGTGATGGGTGATCGGATGTGCCCGCAGAAACCCAAGATTGCGTGAAAACCTGGCCAGCTAACTCTTAACCCCTGCCCTGTTTGCTTGCATCGCTATTTAGGGTGGATTGCGAACAAGCGACCTTGGGATTGCCGATGCAAACATATAGGGCACGCACACACACCCCCTGAAGGGATCCTTTGCGGACAATATTCTCGCATTGATACCATCTTCGAGGATTCCGCGACACACCCTAGCCACAACTAATTGTCCCCCCTCTAGTTCTCCGGCGCGTTTGTCATTCCTTCTTCCCAAGCTTGTTCAACCAAAAAGCCGGGTAGCTGATAAAGCGACGGAGGAGGGCCAGCGCACCGGGGGGGAGGGGGAATCAATTCAGGGTTAAAGAACAAATATTGGTCCTGGGAATGGTTAGGAACGCATAAAGCGAATTGAATAAATATTGGTGGGAAAGAGGGCGAGCATTGCGGTGAATAGCTAGATTTTCAATCCAATAGAAAATCCCTTTCACATTGAATAAATTGAATTCCCAAATGAATTCAACCTCACGAGGTCCAGAAAGCATTATTTCTGACCTAGGAGATCGCAAAAAATGATTACGAGCCAAAGGTTACAAGCTGATTCCGGACGAAGGATAATCTAACCAAAGATGACCACAAAATAATCTAACCTCGGGTCCCATGGCTATTTATGCCTCGCGGTCCAATAGAAAATGAAATCGATTTAGAGGTGATGCACCCGTAAAGAGTGATCGAGGGACCGCTGAAGTCTAGGAAGCCCGAAACAGAATAGCGCCCGAAAAAGGAAACGCGTGAATGGAAAGGCGGCCCCGGCTCCGCCCCTTCAGAATGCAACCCCCGTGGCGTTAGCTTTCAGATAGCAAGAAAAGTGTGGGCAGCGCCAATTTTGCTTTTGAAAACGAATGATCGACGGAATTAGAACTCACCGCTTTTTTCGACATCTTCGCCAATCACCGAAGAGGCCCAACAAAAGTTCTTCTTGTCTTCGAGCTGAAAAACAAGCATTGAAGAGAAATCCTTCGAGAAGAGAAAAGAAAGAGAAAAGGTAGGCATATCACCCTCGTATCGACATGCCCAGCGGGTGTTTGCTTACCCAAAAAAAAGCAATGAACACTGACGAAAGGGCGGGCGGGAAAAGGATCGGGGAAACGAGCAAAATGGATTGAGGGAATAAAAGCAAGTAAACATTGCGCTAAAAATGGCTTGGTTTGGTAATGAGATGCTGAGAACAAGCTACCTATGGGCAATAGCTTTAGCAAGCAAACTGTTTTGTTATATTTTAACTTCAGGCAGCACGACAGGAATGAGAGGAGGAAAAAACGTTGTTTTAGAAAAAATGGACGAAAAAACGTGGTTTTAGAAAAAATGAAAGCGGAAAATGTTTTGAAAAAATGAGTGCAACGCACGGGCCGGTTTTTCGCCCTCAGGATCCGTGAGTCCAGGGGCGCGCCTTAGCAGTGACAGCCGTTTATGCCGCGTAATGCAACTGATTACTCGATGTTTTGTTGAAAGAAAAACTATTTTAAGTGTAACAAACTATATTGCTTTGATCGCAAGTTTATTTTACCCATAATATTATTATACTAACGTTCACGAGGGCGCATTGCATATAATTTTGCAGGTCGACGCTTTGCAACGGGCCGCTCTATCCTTACTTTCTTGCATGTAGAAAACAAAATACTTGGAAAGCATCGTGCAGGAATCTACAGGAAGACAATATCAAGTATGTCGTCGAGTCACCTAGCTTCTTGGCTCGATCGCACGGCTACTACGAATGCTCCAACAATAAGCGCGACGCTGAAAAGCTTGAATATGACGAGGATGGATCAGGATTGACAAAGGCATTCTAAAACCAGATATGCGACTTGTGACTTGATGGTATTCAGCAAGAAGCTCTCAGGCCGCACTTCCAAGCGATGCACGATAAAAAGTAGGGGTTACTATGCTCACATTTGTCGAAAACGCAATTATGAAACGCTAAGGTTTTTCTGGGGAACGAGGAAGTTTTCAAACAATGGGTTAGACTGCCAGAATGCAAGTCCAAAACGTAGGCTGCCGTTCTTTCTTTCGAAAGTAAATTTCCGGTTCACACGGTTATTAGCGTTGTACCTTACTCTAGCGGGTATTGGGCATCGGCTGACATTGTGGAAAGCGAGCAGGATAACTGCACTGTCGTGGTTCCGAATTGCTCAGAGCATATTTTTACATATATAAAATACTTTCTTCAGAGGTGCCTGCACGATGCTTTCCAAGTATTTTGTTTTCTACATGCAAGAAAGTAATGATTGAGCGGCCCGTTGTAAAGCGTCGACCTGCAAAATTATATGCAATGCGCCCTCGTGAACGTTAGTATAATAATATTATGGGTAAAATAAACTTGCGATCAAAGCAATATAGTTTGTTACACTTAAAATAGTTTTTCTTTCAACAAAACATCGAGTAATCAGTTGCATTACGCGGCATAAACGGCTGTCACTGCTAAGGCGCGCCCCTGGACTCACGGATCCTGAGGGCGAAAAACCGGCCCGTGTGCAACGCTCCAAATGATTACAGTCATTACGTAAAGTGTAATGAGTACATTGAGTGATATTTGTCCGAAAAAAGTTTGCGCTTTCAAAAAAATGAGAAAAAATCTAAAATTAAATGTAAAAGTGATATGAAGGAACTTTTAGTTGATCCAAAAAGGCAATGAATCAAGCAGCCGCATACCTTGAAAAGATACAAGAACCTAAAAGCCGCAAATTCCGCAGGGATGAATCAGCCGAGCCGTCTAAAAGAGATAGCGCCAAGAAAACCACAACAACCAAATAACGCGCAGCAAAACAGCTTTTTTGCGCGAGTCGACGAAGACGGTGGAATATAGGGGGGAGAAGGAGGGAGTGAGAAGACACGAAATGGTACGAGTAGCGGGAGAGGGGCCAGAGGCGCTGCAGGGCTACGGGCTCAAGACTTGCGCGCGAGACTCCTCTGCGTGTTCTTCACGGCGCGCATCGATCGTCGCCCCCCGCACCGTTCGCAGCAAGGGTTGCTTGACCGTCCCCCCGCCGCCGCTCTATACGGCTTCAAAGCGGGCTGGCGCGCAGCCAGGAGACTCATTTTACGAATAGCCAAAGGGGGATTGAAACCTGAAGGTTTGAAACACGAGGGTCACGTAATTAGTTATTTTCGCTGCTAAATGACATCGAAAGAAAAGCGGTTCTTTAGGATTCGCGCGGGGGGACCAATTTTGGTCCTGGCAGTCCCGATTGGCCTATTAATCAAATATTAAGTGTTTTTACATTGTTTTTAGTAAGTTTTAGCTATATTTAAAGTAGAAAAACTTTCAAAAAAACTTCGAAAATGCTCGAAAGTCGAAAATTTGGTTATTTTGGGGCGAAAAAAGAAATTTTTCGGCCTAAAATTAAATGTTTGATAAAAATTTGTATAGTTTATATGGTTAGGAATGGCTAAAAACAATTTAGGAACGCATCCGCTATTTATAAAAAATTGGTCAGCCACCGCGAATCGAAAAGAACCGGAAAAGCTGTTTTAGGAACACAATATTGCCCAAATCTCGCATAACATAAAAAAAGTAAACAGCGAAGGAATGCAATAGAAAAAGCCTGAATGAGATGCCTCCATGACTCATCAGGTTGCGCTCGCCACCCGGGGCTCTATCGATTTTGCATAAAATTTGTGCCGGTAACAGCGGCGCCGACCGTCGAGGGGTTTTTTGGCGGGCCATAAGCCGGCATAGAATCAATCAGTAGGGGACTGTGGGGGATTGGACAAGTGCGGTGGCGGGGGTCGACGGGGGGAGAGTGAAATGCGCAGCTGTGCCCGTTTTTGGCGCCAAAGCCATGGTATAGTGCGGAGGCCCAGCCGTTGCTTGCTAGGAACTCTGGGGCAAAAACTTTTCGCCATTGGGGCAAGTGCAGGGAAAAGTTAAAAGGAGAAAAAGGAAAACTGCCAAGATCCCTAAGAATTTAGAGAACAGAAACCGGAAGCAATTTGGCAACCAGGGTGTATTTTGATTAAAACAGGCGTGTCCTTCCATTTTCAACGCGAGCTTCTCGCTCTTGAGGGTAACCGACCCAGATTTTGCCAAATATCAGCTCGGATTTCACTAAAAATAGAGCCCTGTGAAGGTAGCAAGGAGCACGTAAACCAAGGGGAAACTTCAAAGCCTAATCACAAAAAACTACCAGAATAGATTCTCGGTATCTTGGTCTCAAAAGATGTTTCGTAGAAGATTTTAGTCTTTTTGTTTTTCAGTTGTTCTATGAAATTTTCAAGACAAATCATTTTATGGCAAAAATTGGGGGATTATTCCACTGATGGAGTACAAATTACACCGCCCCTGGACAGTTCAGCGTCCATTGGAGCGCCGCGTACCGATTTCCTATCCGTGGAAAATAACCGAAGAAGGTGACTCAAAATGACCAAAAAAAATTTGCCCCCACCCCCAACTTAAATAGTAACAATTTTTCTATCGCTAGTCCATTGGGATTGCTTGGAAACCCGGAAAGAGGATAGAGTAGCCAGGGGCAATTTGGGGGGATCGCGTCGGCAGCCGGAGTATAGGGGAAAAGCGTTCTATATAGCTTCAAACGGCTCAACTTCTTCGGGTGGGGAAGGCTGGTGCGTGGGGGGAGGGGAGCGCGGTATAACGCCGGCGGCACGTCTCGGGAGAATTGGAAAAGAAGTTATGCAAATATTTGTGCGAACCGTCATGCTTCTCCTGGCCTTCTTCGCCCCCCAAATCCAACGCGGGCGACCAACGAGGGCGCGCCGCGCTTGAGAATTTTGTGCTAGGTGGATGTGGGCAAAAATATTTATTTCTGGTCACAATCATAAATCTCTGTCGAAATGCTGGCCGTAAACAGGAGTACCGCGGAATAGGCACCGGTTTTAGCCTGAGGAGAAAAGTAAAGGCAGAGGCGCCTGGGTTTGCGTTGAAGGTGAACCACGAAATCAAGGCGCACCAAACGAAGCTTTAGATCACGCGAATACCTAGCATATTGAAGCTCAACAGGAAGGGGTCAATAAAAAACAGGGTGTCCCAAAAAAAACGGCTCCATCGTATGGGGTGGATTTTTGGGACACCCTTACACATTGAAATGATTAGAAACATGGTGCGATGACTAGAAGAAGAATTTGGATACACGTATCGAGGGTCGGGATCGACGGGATTAGAAAGTGCACTTGAAATGGAGAGGAGGACGAGCAGGGGGAGGGCCGGAGGCGCATCTATGTTTCCGACGGGGCAATCAGGTCAACCAGGGTCGACGGGATGCTAAAATGTGCTCCATTAATCCTCAATACGGCGCCTCATAAGCGGGTGCTTAATGACGGGTGGGTGGGTGGAAGGGTAGGGGTAGGCCAATGTCGGCTGTGAGGGTAATTTGCTCGTTTTTAGAGTGTATGTGCAAAATTTACCCTACAATCAACTATAATAAAAAAGTAGAGACGTCCGTCCGTCTGTGTGTGTGTGTGAAGCCGAATTCAACTCGAAGGGGAAAGGAGCTAGAGCTTAGGTCTCTTCGGATTCGGATAGAGCGTGGTCAGAAACCCCCAAACTGATAAAAAAATTACGAAAAAGTTTTTGTTTAAATTATTAAAATTAACTTTGAAAGTGGCGCCTTAATAAAACGAGTGGGGGCCCCTCTCCAGGGAGGCCACGCCCCTTTTCTCTTCGCCCCTCTTTCCCAGGCCCCTTCGCGCGCCCAGATCGCTTTCTTAAGTTACTTTAATACTTTTTAATACGTTTTAATTATGTTAATTAATTATTTAAAGTATCTAAAGCCATCGGGAAGGTATTTAGGTAGTTTTTGAAGGGGATTTCAGCCATGGGGGGTATCTAAAGCCATCAGGAAGGTATTTAGGTAGTTTTTGAAGGGGATTTCAGCCATGGGGGGTATCTAAAGCCATCGGGAAGGTATTTAGGTAGTTTTTGAAGGGGATTTCAGCCATGGGGGGTATCTAAAGCCATCGGGAAGGTATTTAGGTAGTTTTTGAAGGGGATTTCAGCTATGGGGGGTATGGATGGAGGTGGGAAAGGATGTGGTGGAGTGGGACATGTAGGGTAGCCCGAAGGCCAGATGGTTGCAGTCGCGAAGCGACTGTAACCATCTGGTTCGAGTATAGTTCCGCGTGAACATACGTAGCGTCCGTAATTCCGTATGACCGTAAATAAGTGTGTTTCGTTTTGGGGTTTCTCGCAAAAAACTCCGTTCACGAAAAGTATGTTTGCAATTTCTATTGAAGATTTGCCCACATTTCGACTACTTCCAACATTTTGAGTGGTTTAATGAAAGAAATTGATGCAGGAAATCCTGAGAACCGCTTCTTTTGGCTTACATAGCTTTTGCGGCGAGAGGCAGGGGACGCGCGTTAATAGGGCGTCATTTGTATTGGTACGTCGCCAAGTGTACCGGAGCTATCCTCGGGATTTTAAACTAGTAGGAAACGCGAATAAAAACGGACAGTTCAGTGGGAAAGAAAGGTGTGTGGCACTCCGTGCGGTGCATCCGCCCGTTTACCGTAATGCTGACATCATGCGTAGTCCTTGTGAAGAGCCGATCCGCCGCATCGTGTTCTTCTCATCCGAATGCAAGTCGGGGATACTGTCCTCGGAGAGCCTAGAATTCATTTTGGTTACCCTCAAATGGCCACGATTTTTTGAGAATAAAAAAAACAATGCGCACTCCAGTAAGCCAATGCAACAAGGCGGGAAGCGTTAATGTAAAACAAGTTTCGAGAAAAACACGATTGTCCTACCTAGACACTTGCACTGTTGTCAGGCTAAAAATGGACTACATTGTTAGAAAATAGGTAGGCTTGAGGGAGCTATTTAAGTTGAGTGGCCCCAAGGGCGTCAAAAAAATTTTGTCGATCGGGGGTCCCCGATCGGCCTAGAAATCAATATTCTGGGGTAGTTTTGTGCGCTGAGTACGAATTTAATACTTTTAGACTACAAAAATTTAACTTTAGACTACAAACTACAAAAAATCAAAAATCGTCAAAACACGCGGAAAACACATTTCCTGGGCCGTTTTTTGCGCTGAATCCTATTCTTGGTAGCATTTGCGGCCAAATTGCATAATTTTAAAGTGGGAAGTTGCGATAGGATTTTGGGAAGTATGATCTTCCTGAATTCAGGATGCGTGCTACGAATGACACCTATGTACCATCGGGTCCCGCAAGTCAAGTGGTACGGTAACCACCTATTAAAGGCCGGTTCGGAAATTAATTTCACTTTTATGCGAAAGCATGAATGCTAGTTTGAACCAGCTAAGGGGCTTCACCTATTTGGACCTTGCAAGGCAGGTAGCGTTACCGGACGACCAATTCTATGACTGGCTTGTGAGCCTGGGACTGCTTCACGGCAATCGCACTTGTCCCAAATGTGGCTTACAGGTCATGAAAGCCACTGGTTGGAGTACGCGATACTGGGTCTGTAATCACCGGGGTTGTCGTACCGGTGAAACGAAACCCAAGATCGGATATTTCGTCGGAACCTTTTTTGAAGGTCTAAAATCCGCGAAAAAGTACTTCCATTATTCGTACTTGTATTTGCACGAATTTGGAACCATGGAACAGGCTGAAAGAGAAGTCGGTATGGGCGCGCCGACTGCTGTGCAATGGTCGCAATGTCATTGCGATCGGCAAATTCTTGGCGCCACATGAATTCACTGAGATAATCACTATATCTCTCATTCGTGGATGTGTTGAGGCGGCATCCCTACGGTCCACAATGGCAATGGTGGACCGTAGGGATGCCGCCACACTGTTACCAATCATTGAACAGTACGTTAGCCCAGGAACCACCATCCATTCTGACTGCTGGGCCGCCTACGGCGGAATCGCTAACCTGCCGCAAGGCTACAATCATCTCACGGTCAATCACCAAATGAACTTTGTTGATCCGGTTACTGGCTCTCATACTCAATCTGTTGAGAGTCAATGGAACAAGTTCAAAAAGAGGATCAAGAAATCAAACGGCCTCAACACATCCACGAATGAGAGATATAGTGATTATCTCAGTGAATTCATGTGGCGCCAAGAATTTGCCGATCGCAATGACATTTTCTACCACTTTTGGTCACACGTTGTCACAATGTACCCGTGTGAATAAGCCAGCCGACCCGGTCAAACTTCCCAAAACCCTATCCCAACGGCCCTCTTAAGGGCCACAAATTTAAAAAAATATGCAATTTGGCCGCGAATACTAACAAGAATAGGATTCAGCGCAAAAAACGGCCCAGGAAATGTGTTTTCCGCGTGTTTTGACGATTTTTGATTTTTTGTAGTTTGTAGTCTAAAGTTAAATTTTTGTAGTCTAAAAGTATTAAATTCGTACTCAGCGCACAAAACTACCCCAGAATATTGATTTCTAGGCCGATCGGGGACCCCCGATCGACAAAATTTCTTTGACGCCCTTGGGGCCACTCAACTTAAATAGCTCCGGCTTGAGACCCAACTACGTGCTCGTATTCGAAGGAGCCGATAAAGGTTGAAAGCGCCGAAATGCCTTTTCACTAGAAAAATCCCCTCTAGGCGTCCGCAGTAATGTCCGATTTCGACGATTTAGGTATCTATCGAAAGCTCTCGACGAGCTGAGGAGATATTTTCTTTCCGATTTTTCGAAATTCCCGAATTTTTATGACATTTACTAGCATTTTTGTGAAATTCTCAATTTTCGATGCTTTTCCCATGCAACTGTTTTTAACAAAACCCCCATTTTCCAAATTTTCACATCTTTCCTGGCAGCCCAAGGTCGGCTTTTTAAAAACATTTGAGAAAACACAGCTTGGATGGGACTGAAACCCATTAAATTGAGTTTTTGCACTTTGCGTAATTTACCCCAAAAAAAAGATTAAAATTAGGCTAAAATTTGGGAATTTCGAAAATCGGACAGAACAATATCGCTCAGCTCGTAGAGAGCTTTGGATAAATACCTAAATCGTCAAAATCGGACATCACTGCGGACCGCTAGAGGGGGTCTTTTTGGGACACCTTGTACGCGTTCGAATCATCTGACATATATCGTGCGTTGGACGCACCTTGTCGTTGATGATCGGCGGGTGAGCAGCAGCTGCTGCGAATCTGAGGCGAGCAGTGTCGGGCCGGCCTTCAAATCGGGTAGGCAATCGAATATGATGCAAGCCCATCTTGTTGTACGTTCTAAACGAGGGTTGAAAATACGAATTTCGTTTGACATCATCTGATTTCTAAAATTAGCGCCTTACCATTCCAGACGACAAAACATGCCGGCATCAGTTTTCTCACGAAAAACAGATGATAGAGGACGAAACCGAACGCGCAGATGCCCAGCCCCAGCGCTGTCACTTTGAACTCCTAGAGAAATTGCTGTTGTCTGTTATTTATCACCCACCTGGAAGATCGGGATGATCACCAGGGCGATGGTGATGATCAAGAAGAGGATATGGCTGAAATATTGTCTTCGATTGACCAAAAAAAATTTCAAAAATTCTTAGCCAATGAAGGCCCACATGGAGATGGGCATTCTGACGGCCTCCGGATGGACTGGAATCCGGTTCTTCCGGATCAACAGCAACGCGGCAAGGGTGAATATGCGCTGGGCCCAAAAGCCGAACATCGCATAGCCGAGAAGAGCGTCGAGATCCCCGACAAAACAGATCGCCATCGCAAGCGCAGACTGAAAGGAAAAAAGTTGGTGTTAAAGTACAGGTTGTCGAAAAAAGACCCCTTTTAGCGGTCCGCAGTGATGTCCGATTTTAACGATTTCGGTATTTATCGAAAGCTCTCGACGAGCTGAGGAGAAATCTTCTTTCCGATTTACGAAATTCCCGAATTTTTATGACATTTTCTAAAATTTTTGCATTTAGAGATTTATGATATTTGCGACTGAAGCCGATTAAATTGAGTTTTTCACGAAATGTAATTTATGCCCAAAAAACCATGAAAATCGGGTTAAAAACTCGGGAATTTCACAAATTGGAGAGAGCATTTCTGCTCAGCTCGTTTAGAGCTTTCGATAGATACCTAAATCGTCGAAATCGAACACGGCTGCGGACCGCCGGAGGGGGGATTTTTTGGGAACCTCTGCAAATGAAGAAAGCCGCCTGCCAAGACCCACCTGCGCAAATACGGCTACTCTTGGACTGTCCGTCTCGGTGTTGACGCAGCTAAAGCATGCTGGCAGTTGTCCCTGCTTCGCTGCTGCGTACATGTATCTAAATCGGGCGACGAATTGCCAGGCGTAAGCCGACCGATTTACCTTGAACCAGAAAATAAATTGCTGTTGATCGAGCCGACGAGTAGGATGCCAATCAAAAATGGAATCGAGTAGGCAAACGGGCCAAGAGTTGCCTGGGCGAACAGCTGAAACGAGACATCGTAAAGGATACATATCCCAAAACCTACGGCCGCGACGGCATTGCTGCTCTTCACCGTCTCCACATCCAATACCACAAAATAGGCGACGTTGATCAAGACGTACACCGCTGTTACTGTCGCGATACCTCCGAGAAGCGCCATTGGCACATTTCTGTAAAAGAACAACTCGCTAGTCTCTTAGAAAGCGATACCTCCTTGGGTTCTTGATCTCGCCGGAGCCGTAGTTGAGCACATCCCAGCCCGAATAGGCCCACAGTCCTCCATAGAAGCCAATAATCAACGGTCCGGTGCCCCAATTCGACCCCTTCATCGGCTCCTTGAGATTACCATCCCAACCTGGAATTAAAATTCAAAGAAATCGTTATGTGGATGAAAAAAATTCCTTTCTAAGGTCCTTTAGGCTTCGTGATCGAATATAAATTGTTTTTACATGGTTTTTTTAGTAAATTTTAACTATATTTAACCTAGAAAAACTTTCAAAAGTTAGAAAAAGTCGAAAATTTGGTAATGTTTGGGTCGAACAAAAAAAAAATCAATTTTTCGGCCTAGAATTATTATTTTTTCGTTAAAATTTGTATAGTTTTTGTGCTTAAGAAACGCTAAAAAGAATTTAGAAACGCATCCGCTATTCATAAAAAATTAGGCTTGGGCCGGTAAAAAAAATTGAGTTTACCGTTTTTTAACGATACCTTTCCAAAACCAATAATACAACCCGGTGACGATGATTAGGAAACAGGAGGCCAGTTTCGCAAAAGTGGCAAAGATTTGGAACCTATAATAATTATAACTTATGGTAACAAAGGTGCCTACACCAACCTTGCCGCAAATTTGCTGAGCGAGAAAAAGTTCATCCAGGTGACGAGGAAGAGCAGGCTGAAACCGAAAAGCTTTTGGCACAGCGGGGCCCATTCATCGTCAATGTCGTACGCCTAAAAACCTTGTCGTTTTTAAGAAAAATAAGGGAAAAGTGGCAAGGGAATGTAAGGCATATTGCCCTGACCTGTCTGAGACCTTCGACGATATACTGGCCGAAAGTCTCCACGCAAATGGCCACCGTGCACGGGTATGTCATCAGAACGGACACCCACATGAAGGAGAAGGCTAAAAATGGGAAAACGGTTTTAGGTGGCGGCCCGGTTGGCCGGTAAATAAAATAAACAGTGAGTTTTAATAAAGTGTTTTTACATTGTTTTTGGTAGTTTAAACTATATTTAAAGTCGAAAAACTTCAAAAAAGTTAGAAAAATGCTTGAAAAAGTCGAAAACTTGGCCATTTTGCGTCGAAAAAAATTAGTTTTTCGACCTAAAATTACATTTTTAACGAAAATTTGTAGTATTAGTCGTAATTGGTAGTATGCATAAGTTTTTAGATAGTTATATAAGGTAGAAAAGCTTCCGCTATTTATAAAAAAATTTAGGCTTGGGCGAAAAAAGTTGGTTTCTGACTTACCAACGCTATACCATTTCACGTAGCAAATATACGCAAAATCACAGCCGGCCTCTCGGATCGATGTACCCAATTCGATGTAGACAAGAGAACCTAATAAAGATATTCTCCTGAAAAAGGATACTGAAAACTTGCCCAGAATAGCTATAGCTGCACACGCGACCCAAATGATGAGGGACAGGCCGACGCTATCTACGGATCTGAATCAGGGCATTATAAGAAGAAGTACAAATGCGGTGCAAGACTGGGGGGGGGGGGGCGTTGACTACAAGACCCCAAATGCCGTTTTTAAACCGAAGCCCTGGAAGTAAGCCAGCCTAAGCCTAGGCAGCCAAAAACCACTGAGCTTAGCTAGGCAGCAAGCTTAGCCAAGCTAGCCCTAAATGACCCATTTTGACCCCTGAGGCAATTTAAAGCAAAGAAAGTGGCTGGGCAAGCACGCCAAGTCTAAGGAGCAGTTAAAGCAAGTCAAGCCAGGCTGAAGGCGAAACCAAGTAATTTAGAGCGTCCGCCCTTACTACCAATTTCGACCCCCGGTGCATTAGCGCCCAAATGACTACCTGATAATAGAAGCCGGGGTGATGAAGATGCCAGAGCCGATGATATTGCCTACCACGTAGGAGGCGGCCCCCAGGAATCCCATCTTGTGGGATTCGCTCATCTTCCTGAAAAATATAACACTTCTAATTATTTGCGCGTAATTAGAAATTCGAGAAAATTCAGACTGAAAATGGATAAGAAGTCTCTGTATAGCCAATGGTATTGACACTGAAGAGAGCAGCTCCTTCATGCACATTCCAAAGTTACGTGTGGCCCACCCCGGGGTCCATCAAATACTCGGTAAATAAGGAGGCCCTTCTTCTTGCATCACCATGACCACAAAACGGATATTCGCCGGCGAAAGAGTATTGGAAACCCCTGCCCCATGTTCGCCATGGTCACATTACTATAAAAATTTTTACTATAAGCCAAAATTTGCCAGAAAATTTCTTACAAGAATTTAAAATGCGATGATATCAAGTCGCCATGCCCGCATGTATTACGGGTTTCAAACTAAAATAATTCCTTTTTCGCTGTTTTTTTTCGATTCAAAAGTACTGCAGGCTGGTTCTACAGAGAAAGAGCTACATTTTAGTATCTTTTACAGCTCTGTGGATCTAAGGAGCGTCGAGATACGGAAATTCACTTTCGACTAGGAAAAATTAATTAAAGGAAACCCAGACTTATAATTAGTATAAAAAATTCCTAGCAATTACTAACGTAAGAAAACAACTTTTTTTACAGTAATTCGACCATGGCAAACATTTTAAGAACCGCAGGCCCTGGCCGGAGCAGCGACGTGGATTAAAGGGACCGGGAAGTCCGCTAACCTTTACTGAGTAACGGATCGCCCCTCTCCAAAGCGGATCTCCGTCCCAAAAATGCCCCTCGTGGCTGCTCATAAATCGGTGTGTGATCCGACTGACGTGAGGAGAAACAGTTGGCCATGCCCCGGGTTGGGCCCCGTGTTCCCCTTTTCGCTTTCTCAATAAAAAGAAGCCCCCATTTTCTTACTGCAGCCCCAACAAACCCCCGATTTCCAAATTCTTGACGCTCGACAGGGGGATCGTCGAATTCCAGCCGTCTTTTCGGGCAGAAATATCGTGAAATTCCGAACCCAGTAAAAAAAGAAAAAATATTGGCAGAAATAATGTGAAGGCGGGGGAGGGACAATTGGCTCCTCCGTCGCTGCTTCATTTCAAAAGACAAAAACGAGGAAGGCCCTCTCGGACCGAGGCTGGCAAAGGGCCCGCCAGATCTCAGCCCCCATCAAACAAATAGAAAACGGTCTCATCCGGGTCGGCATTTCGCGCACTTCACGGGGCTTTACCGCAATTTGATAGGGTGTCAGTGTCTCCACTGCCTAGCAGATCATTATCAATTTTAGGTTCTTTAGGATTCGCGCGGGCAACCAATTTTTTTCCTAGCGCTCCGGATTGGCCTGACAATCAAATATAAGGTGGTTTTACATCATTTTTCGTCAGTTAACTATATTTAAAGTCGAAAACTTCAAAAAGGAAAAAAATTGTTTGAAAAAGTCGAAGATTTGTTCATTTTGGGTCGAAAAAATCAACTTCTCGACCCAAAATTAAATTTTTTAATGAAAATTTGTATAGTTTTCGTGCTTAGGAATAGTAAAACAATTTAGAAATGCATCAGCTATTTATAAAAATAAACTGCTTTGTATAATAGTGATGCAAAAATAAATTAAGAAAAAGAAATCCATGAAATTTCCGCGCAGCTCAATATTGCTACCGGGTCTCTTTAGAATCAAAAAAACTTCGTGGAGGCCGATGAGAGGGATTGCGTAATGCCCCTACGTATGTGCATGGGCCAATGCAGAGAGGGCCCAGGGCATATAGGGGCCCACCAGGGGCATTGGGGCCCACGGCGAGACCCCAGGCTCATCGATTCCCAGCCATCCACCAAAAGGGGAACCCTGATTATCCCACCAACCAACCCGCCGACCCGGGTCGCCCGGAAATGCGCACCAGCATTTTATTTAGAAGTCCGGATTATTAGGTATCTTTGATCTTTAGGTAAAAAATCAGCCCCCTCCCCCCGATAACGCGAAAGTACCTCTACCCTCTACCGGCCCGCAGCGATGTCGGATTTTTACGATTTAGGTATCTATCGAAAGCTCTCGACAAGCTGAGAAGATATCTTCCTTCCGATTTTCGAAATTCCCAATTTTTATAACACTTACTAACATTTTTGCAAAGCTGGCTGTATTTTCGCTGCTTTCCCCATGCAAGTATTTTTAACAAAAACTCGATCTTCTAAATTTTTACATCTTTTCTGGCAGCCCAAACTCGGCTTTTTCAAAGGCATTTGAGAAAACACAGCTTGTATGGGACGGAAGCCGATTAAAGTGAAATCTTTTTTGCAGAAAATTGCGTATTTACGCCCAAAAAAAACAATGAAAATCGGGTTAAAAATTCGGGAGTTAAAAATCGGTGAAAACAGATCTCTTCAGCTCGCCGAGAGCTTTCGATAGATACCTAAATCGTAAAGATCGGACATCACTGCGGACCGCTAGAGGGCGTCTTTTTTGAGAAACCGTGTAGAACCACGGCCCCAGCCGAGACATTACCCCTACCCTCACCCGTAACAATTAACGGGGCGCTAATCGAGTGGAATTGCCGCACGCCGCTAGAAATTGTTTTTTACTCTGCCGCGGAAGTAGAGTGCGGTCGATACTTTACTATCATATCTCCCATGAATTATCAACCTTTTTGAAAATGCATTGATCAACGAAAATCGCCCAGGTAACAAAAGAAAAACGACAAAGAATGGGTTGATTGATGCGGAGCCGCGGGGCTGGGGCATGGGTTCTCGGTGAGACACAGGGTTGCGGCTGCTGCTGCTGCTCACTTCCCGTCTACGCTGTAAAATCCCGGGGCCCAGTGAGCGGAGAGTGGCCCAGCTTTGATGAGACCCAGGGGCCAGTCGCGAAGGCAGAGGAGAACCACCGACATGCAAGAGGAAGGTGCAAGGAGGTCAGGTCATTCAAGGCATGCTGATCAACCGTAGGAGTTGATCACGCCCAAAATTAGCGGCACCAAGGCCACCAAGGCCCCAAGCAACGCGGCACTCCTATCGACTCAAAAATGTATGGACCAAAACTTCTAAGCTTTATAAGTTTAAAACTAAAGTGAATATTAATAAACACTTATGACAACTGTGTAGAATGGCACGAGGCGATTCTAATGAGACCAAGCACTAAAAAACTGAACTCGAAACGTATCAAAACGAAGGCGGTTTTTGTTGGCGACTTTGTGAAAAGTGGTATTTCGGAGGGCTAACTTGCTGTCTTTGGTTTCATTCGAACCGTAAAATTCTACTCTGCAATAATTGATGTGGAGTTTTCAATATTAAGTGGTTTTGAAAAAGTTATAAAAGCTTAAACTTTGCCCGTTCCGGCAAATTGCCGTTTTTTGGCCTGTTTGATTGGACATATGATAGCACGTTTTACTCTCTTCAGCTTCAACTGGTCTGCTTTTGCTTCAACTTTTTAGCTTGGCTGCCCGTCACTCCATCCTGAAATCCCGATAATACACTGATTTGCCATCGAAGTGCAGAACCAAAAATAACAGCGGTTGAGCAGGATAATTTATTCGGACACCGGCATAGTTTTGCCCGAGTATTCCATAATTACAGGAACGAAACGATATCACAGTGGAAAGAAGGGAATAGAGCTATCGCATGAATTCACTGGGCCCGACATTGAAAAAAAAGAGACGAAACATAAGCGGGGAAAATTTACCTTTATGGTCCTCGCCCGAAAGGTTTTTTTGGGGCGGGAACGCTCTAGAAAAGAACAAAAAGTAGTTTTCTTTGGAAAAAAAAAAGGGGTTAGGAAATGAAGAAAAAAAGTAAAGGGAAATAATAAAAATAAAAATATAAAAAGGAAAAAAAAAAAGAATTTTATTTGGGGGAAAAGTTGGAATAAAGGAAACATAAGCGAAGTAACGTCAGGAAAAGTCTTTGACTAACTATCGGCAGGAAAATCAAATACAAATAAAAGGAATGAAATGAGGCTAATTGAGGACAAATTTATACCCTAATTCAGAATCCCTGTGACCATGGCATGGACGACGGGGACGGACACGGGGTATTCGACCCCCGTTGACAGCTTCGCGATCGCCTAAAAAGAATTATTTTACAAGGGAACATTCTAAAGTCACGGTGGGATTTCGGTATGGGCCCCAGCCTATCTTTTTTTTTTTTTTGCTGAATCCGAATCTGTTTTCAAAAACCGCAAAACTAACGTAATTTTTGCTTAAAATGGACCTAAAACGTTATACCTTTTGAATCAGAACCATTTCGCAGTTTTTGAAAACAGATTCGGAATCAGACGAAATGAAATCCCACCGAGACTTTAAGAGGTGCCTTGCTAGGAGGAAAAACTGCGGAACACACCTGCAATTGGTTGCCCAAAATGTCAAAAACACTGGGCTGGCCGACGCGCACATAGACACGAGTCGTCTCGACGGTGTGCGAGGCCACGTTTGGCACATCCCATTGTTCAAAGTTCAGCCACCTGAAAGCAGCACGATTCAAACCATATTAAAGTACGTACCACTGCTGTCGAGAGTCGAGTGGAAGAGGCGGCGTCAGTGGCATATTGTACTAACGTTCGGAATAAAATTAAAAGTCAAGGTCGTTGTACCTTTGGCAAAAACTTGAAATACACTCCGATACATTCATTCTCATCGTTGTGGACGCGGATGTCGACCGGGAATTGGCACAACCTATGATATTGACTGTTTGATAGAAAAAGGGAAAGTGTAACCTGTTCCTCTCAAAGTCATGCTCGACCTTGGCCACAGATGCCACCGTAATATAAACCCCAGGTGGTCGGTCAGGCGCCTAAAAAGCGGTAAGATTTTAGAATCTCGCCATTTCCGAAACTCTCAATTTGAGAATCTCGCATTCTGGCACAGGGGCGCTGCGGATATCTAGCTAGTCCATGGGAATTGCGAGATTTTGTTACCAAATCTTAAAAAGCAGATTAATCCAATCCTACCGTATCTTCGAGTGGCCATTGGATACCCGGCACACGAAGATTGGCTCGAGCGAACGGATCAGCCACGAGAGTCTCGCCAATCAGCGAAATTACCTGCAATAGAGAAGCATGTACATTTAAAGGAACACAAACTTGTCCCTGGTTGTCGACCACTGACGCTTTCCACAAAATCGCAATGAGGAGGGATGGCCGGTAGGACGGGCTATTAGCAAGAAACCACCGAGGCAACGGGAACGAAGGACAATCGGCGAACTGAAGAATCCATTAACAAGGTAGCTATTACCAGGTAAGGTACCTCTTGTGATAGCCAAAGAGCCGACCCATAGCCCGCCTGAGAACCAGTCACATTCACTGGCAACGAGTCGGCTTGACCCGAGTCAAGTTGGGCTGGAATACTTTTGATGACGCCTTTTCCGGAAGCGACTTACAGCCACGCATTCGAACCGGGCGTAGCGAGAGAGCATTAGGGCTTTCCGTCAAGCTACCTGAGCCGTTGAGTTGGACCAGATGTGCAGATATCTAAAAGTAGAAAACATGGTGGGTAAGTCAAAGGAGGAAACTCACTCGTCCAATTTCGATCCTGGCAAGGGCCGCATCTGAAGCACCCATCGTATTCCTCATCTCGAGCGTCAGTAGACCATACGCTGGGGCTAAAATGTCATAGTTAGAAAAATGCAACGGGATTATTAACCGAGAAGTATGGCTTGTGCGGCAAAGAGCGTCTTGCACCGGAGCGGAACCTAAAATGGTGTAATTTTTGGGAAACACTACGTGGTGTGGTATTGGTTCTGGGCTGTTAGCAGGGGGGACCACTTTTGTAGTTCCACCTGTTGATTATGTAAGATGCATTTTTATAGAGCTTTACTAGTTTTTGGTTGCTAGAAAGCTATAGAAACATTGCTAAGCTTTGAAAATTCAAAATTTTGAACTTTTGTTGACCATTTTTCATACATTTTTGCCAAAAACTAAGAAAATCCAAAATTTTATGTATTGAATATATTGTTTTTACATCTAAAAACTATGTAAAACGCTATCAAATGGTTTATATTTTGTTATAGGGCGGTAGAGAATTACAGGGAAAAATTTCGTTCCCCCCCTGCTAACAGTCCAGGTCCTTTGGTATTTATGAAAGCGTATAAAAACCTACCAAAATGCGCTGCTCGCGAAACGCCCCGTTGCTGCCGCGGTAGAACAACAGCAGTGCCGTGGTGGTGTTCGAAGGCTCTTGGGGCACGCGAATATCGACGAAAATACTGAAATGGAATATTTCTCGGTATCAGCCTATCACAAACCGTCTTGATTGACCCTTGGCCAGCGCGAGGCCGGGCAGCGGAATGACCCGCACATCTCCATTGTTATCGGAGCGCTGCGGGCCCTGGTATTGCTTGGCGCCGTTCTCATCGAAAAGCCCTAAACGAAATGAAATAAACGTTAAACTAGTGACAACCTCCAGTGACAGAGTCCGTCCCGTCGGTCGACATGGCCACCCCCGATATCGGCTCATCCGAAATGTTTTCCAACTGAAAATAACCAATTAATTACTGATTCGTGCTATACCTTAAAAGATATTCTGAGGGCCTGCCCGCAGTAAACGAATTCGGGGAAAGGCCGTTCCATCTGGACGTCCAGCAAGGGCCAGCTTGTCCGAGATACTTTCGGTGAAAGGCGATAATCGTTGGCGTATGTAACTGCTGATCTCTAAAAAAAGTTAATTAGCAACAACCAATTTTTTTCTAGCGGCCCGGCTGGTTATATATAATATAAATAAATTATAAATAGAAAGTTCTTTTACAAAGTTTTTAGTAAGTTTTAATTATATTTAAAGCAGAAAACTTTCAAAAAACAAGTTCGAAAACGCCGAAAATTTGGTGATTTTGGGTCGAAAAATCAATTTTTCGACTTAAAATTAAATTGCTGAAATAAAATTAGTATAGTTTTTATGATTAGGAATACCTAGAAACAATTTAGAAACGCCTCCGCTATTCATAAAAAAATTTCTGCTTGCAGCGAAAAAAAGTTGGCCCTATCGCGAATCCTAAAGAACCGACACAATTTTCTTACATGTTCAAGCGTTTTGTTCAATCGGGGGCCCTTGAGCACGAGCGGTATCCGAGCCTTGACCATCGTCTGCCCATCGCCGGCGTCAAGATCGAGCTGTACCTCACTGACACGGAATGAGGCCAATTCGAACAACGGTCTCAGCCACAGCTCCACCTAGGAAAGAAGGTAAATAGACGATGTAGACTAACAGTTGTGCTGCCCGATGGCTGTAGATTGACTTCATCAACAGTGTGGCATTCTAGGAATGGGTTCAGAGCTGGTGGGATGCCTTCGTGGAATTCGACGTCGCTAACGCCAAGTCGTAGTTTTCGCACCGTCAATGGCGTTCCTTTATTGGGAAGTAAAAAAATCAGGCATTGCACCGACCTAGTGGATTCTTGACGTTCAATATCACACGGAAACGCTCGCCGGCAGGAGTGTATCTTGTCAATGTGTTATCCGTCATATGGTTTGACACGACACACAACGATCGAAAAGCCGATGAGGGCCCTTAAAGAAAGTGATACAAAAAATTGTTGAGCTAACCGGCCAGCGTGTAGAAGGCGGCACGTTGGATATCATCCCATGGGTGTTCTTCCGGATCATCACGACTGCTCCTAGCCAACTCTGCCGTCACATCAGCACTGCTCGGACGTTCTCCGCAAATCACGGTCGTTGATTGGACGTCGATTAAAGGGAGTTGCAACTGGATTCTTTCTTGGGCGTCGAGGCCGAAAGTCTGCAAAAAATGTGGTGAAGTGAAGCCGGTATACGAAACTTAGGTTCTTTAGGATTTGCGGGGGTTTCCTAGCGGTCCCGGTTGGACTAGTAATCAATCTTTTTACATTGTCTTTAGTAAGTTTTAGCTACATTTAAAGAAGAAAGTTTCAAAAAGCTAGAAAAATTCGAAATTTTGGTAATTTAGGTCCAAAAATCAATGTTTTGGCCTAAAATTAAAGTTTTTCATTAAAATTTGGTTCACCTCCCGAATTCTAAGAACCAACATTTATTAATGATAGCAGCGGCTGTACCTTAACGAGTCCTGCGAAAATGGCAAAATGTTCGGATTGCTGCTGAGCGTTCTGGTGATCAGCAGGTCGCAATAGGCGCGTAGCGCAGGCGAGCGCCACTTTCCCGTCACGCCCATCCTTTGCCACACTTTTTGCCAGATGATCCTGGAATGGACATTTCTCAAGCTATCTAGTTGCCACCCCACCTCAGCATAGTCCCAATTTCTTTCAAAATAGCAGGGCAGTGCAGAGATGTAGGCGGTCGTGGCCAAATGCGAAAGGCCGGCCTTCAGGAAGCGATTGCCAGCAAGCACCCTGAAAAGTGACGTTTAAAAAGCTTCCACCAGAAGCGCCTACCGGTAAAAAGCCATTTTCCGCCGCATATTCGCCTCACCGAATGCCATAGTAGCGTACCCCAAGATGACGGCGACGAAATGATCAAATTTCTACAAAAGAAAAATGAACGTTTTAGAAGTGTTAAACTACCAATTCAGTCAGCCGCGACAGTAGAAGGGCCGCCTGGACGTTCATTTCCAGTTTCTGCAAAACTTCGACCGCCTGCAAAGCACAGCGAAGGGCACATGTGTAGGAGCTGAAACGGGTAAGAGTCAAGGGTGTTTTAGAGGGTTGATGGTTCTTTAGGATTCGCGGGGAGAAGTATTTTTTCGGCCCAAGTCTCAATTTTTTTTCTATGAACAACAAAGGTTTTCTAAAAGGTTTTTAGCTATTCCGAAGCATAAAAACTATACAAATTTTAATTAAAAAAACTAATTTTAGTTCGAAAATTGATTTTTTTCGACCCAAAAATGGCCTTGAATTTTCGACTTTTCCAAAAATTTTTCAGCTTTTTTTTATATTTTTTCGACTTTAAAGATAGCTAAACTGGCTAAAAACAAGGTAAAACACTTTATAGTTTACAGGCCAACCAGCCAGGAAAAAAGTGGTCACCCCAACGAACCCTAAAGAACCCGATTGACTTACACAGTTGCGCTGTTCGTTAAAAAGTGTCCAATGGCATTCTCGAAGTAGTGTACGGGGAATCCCTTTGTCGGCATTGATGGATTGGAGAGAAAATAGGAGTATGCCGACATGTCCTGCAGAATTTTGTCAACGATTCACAGCCAATAATAGGTTTACCAGCGCGGCAGCGTTGTGCAACCAGGCATTATCGCCGGCAAAATCCTTCTTGACAGACTGGAAAAAACTGTTTGCAGCGAGGTAAAGGATTGGCTACCTGATATTGAGCATGCGCCTTCTCGTACAGGCCGAATTCAAACAGCAAATCGGCGAGTCGACGGCTTTGCATTTCCACGCTTTCATTGGTATACCTGACGAAAATTATAACGTTCCTTTTTACGAACTCACGAAGTGCTAGCGGTATTCGTTGCAGCAGGAGCGGCAAACCATTTCTTCATATTGGCCGTGATACTTCGAGGGATACCGCGTCTCTGACCTATAGCCTCATTCAACTGACGCATCAATCGCTCGACAAAAGGTATCTAAATGGAGCAAATAAATGTCTTTTTTACTTTTAATATACAAGGTTTCGATCCGTGAACTCTTGGAGCATCTTTGCTGTCGCCTCGCGATCGGCGGTAGAGACGTTAGGCTGAAAAAAGATGATAATTATTAGCTCTATCCGGGCGAAAAAGCTCATTTAGCATTTTAGAAAAGTTTATGATTTGCTTCAAGCCGAATATTACCTGAATAGCTGGTTGAAAAGGAGCAGGGGAGACCAGCGAGTCGTCCGACCTCGTTTCGGGTAGAATATAGCCCGGGGAAATCGTTGAAATCACCGTCGGCTGAGGAGAAATGTATTTGAGGTGATTCTTTCCGAAAACCTGGTTTTTCTTTTCCTCAGCTCCCTTCGTCAACAGCGCATTCCTCGCACGGGCCAGTCCTCGACTCAGAATTTCCGCTTCTTCGCTAGCCTCCCGCCAAACATCAATTAATCCTAAAAGAATACACATAGAAACGTCTAGCGGTAAATTTTACCGCTGCCGTCGCCGTTTCCTATTCGAAGTAATTGGCAAGAATCAGCTCCATATGTGGCACACATTTGCTTATAGATATCCTGGGTTCTAAAAGCGGGTTTCATAGAACTTGCCCGAAATTTGCCTACCTTGCTTCATCGTCTTTCCGGGAATCGTGTACGAGGAGGTAATGCTTCAAAGTATTTGGCGTCCTCCATTTCGGCGGCGCACAATGGGAAGGGGCCAGCAAATTGCCTTCAGAGCCCGAGCCATGCTAAGATTTGCATTATCAATACAAAATTAAAGCAACAAACCTGTTGGGTGTGCTGTAGTTGTATCAATTTGCTGAGCTCGCCCATCGGCTGGTCTTCAGCAGCGCTGACGACGAATACACAGGCCAGGTATGTGCGAAACGTTTCATACTCGCACGGTTCCACGAAACGAGAAAAATAACGCTCGAATTTCTGCTCGCTTTCTTCCAATGTTGTGCATTTAAGTAGAGCCTGAAGTTTATTAGTTTGTTTGGTATTGGAAGACAATTCAAACCTCATGGATCGTCGGGGGCAGAACCGTCAAAGACAGTAGATAACCTTGCTTTCTCAAATCACGAAAGTCAAGAGAAGCTTTCCCAGGGGTCGGTGGATTGCCGAAAGGATCCTGAACAAAATTAGCTCAACCGCAAAAAATTACCCGTAGCGAAAACGACACATCCGAGAATGGCCGGAAGAGATCGCTGTACGAGCCAAGTCCACTGCGCTTCAACACGTCGTCAGCATGATCGGTGGCCAAAAGGGCGATTGGGATGCCCTGGAAATATGCATAATTTAAACTAAAAAAAAGACTCGCCTGTTTCATGTCCTGCTGGCCGGGCGCACTCACAGGCGACGCTCACGGGCAACACGGCCCTAAAATTAAGCCATTGGAAGGGGAAAATTGAATTTTAATTTTATTAAAACATTAAATAACGCTATATTTAATTTGCACGCACGTTGTGGATGTTGGGTGTTTGATTAAATAAGAGCGCGCGAGGTGCGGTCGTTGCGAGTCGTGCAGCGGAAAAAGGCATGAAGGTAGCAAAAGTATGGTAAAACCGGGGTTTTTTTTACGGTAAATCAAGATAAAAATTGCTAGAAAATGGGCGTAAGGTGCGTGACTGAGAGGATTTCAGATTGGGCTAAAAGGAAAGGAAAAGTTCGATTTAAAGGGGGCGCGTCAGGGAAGGCTTTGCTTGTATGGGTTTGTTTGTAGTCAGTTCTGGGCTACTAGCGGGGGGACAGCTTTCTGTTTTCCACCTACACCTGTTGATGATAAAATATGTATTTTTATAGAGTTTTTAGTAGTTTTTGATTGCTAGAAAGTTAAAAACAATATTTTTAAAAATACGAACATTTTTACCTTTTTTCGTCATTTTTTTATACAAAGTCAAACATTTTCGAGGATGTTCTTTATTATTTTATATTTATTTCTAAAACTTACGTAAAATGTTTATATTTGGTTATCGGGCCGTAGAGAATCACAGAAAAAAAAACTTGGTTTCCCCCCGCTAACGGTCCAGAACCATTTGGTCTGCGCGTTTCCTCGGATTTCAAGGTTTTTACAGGGATGACAGTATTTTCTGACTGTATTTGTATAGTATTTTCGTGTGATTCAATACATTATTGACAAACATTTATTGAGATCCGGGGGTGATAGGAGTGGGATAAGGCACTTCAACATGGGAATTGGAATTATAGGACGGGGATTTCAACGAGTAAATGACAAATAGATCTTGGTCAGGGATGGATTTTCAGGGGGAAAAATGGGGGGAGAATTGGGCATAATCATTTGGTTTCATTCGGACGTCTAATTTTAAAGTTTGGTCTGGGAGGGGAGGTATCGTTTTTGTTTTGTTTAAAAGAGGATTGGTGGTAGTTGATTCATATTTTTGTATAATGAGATATAATACTTTGTATAAGGATATAGAGTAATAGGAGTGGGGGATCTAGCACCATCCATCTGATGCTCGATCGGCAATGATTGAGGGTTTACGTGGCAATCGAAGGCTGTGAACCCTCGGGGGCGGCTCCAGGCTCAGGTATTCGCCAGGCTAAAAGTATACGATTAATTTTGCATGCCAAACTTTTCATTGCCGCTTTTTAGTTTTTTCGAGGCGACAGTACATACATTTTGGTCAGAATTTAGGCGTCATACCAAAGATTTTAATAGATTTATAGTAAAATTTAGCTATATATGAATGGGGAGAACTATTTAGGAAACTTTAAACAGTTTTTAAAACTTTGAAATCTTTCACCTAATCGATATTTTATATCTTTAAAAGGTTTTGTAAGGTTTTTACGTTCAAAAGAGTCTTCCCTCTTCCTGGAAATAGTAAAGCACCGCAAAAAGTCTCAATGCTGATAATTTTCTTTCCAAAAAGAGTTCAAAACGCGAGCGTTGCAAAAACACTCAACTTTTCTACCATAACCAAACATGCTCATGTGCAGCATACATTGTTTTATATCTGTGACCCATGCAGCACATCATCGGCAACACCAGGAGGTTGTTGAGCAAAGGCAGTCAGAAAACACGACGATAGATGGGCAGGGCGGGCGGGGGGTCACGTGTTCGACAACTGCTGAAAATGAGCACGACCTTCCACGGGCGACATCCCTATGCAGTGACTACACACTCCTATGGACACACTTTTTGGATTGGTTCCCTACAAAGTTAGCAAGAAAAAACGTCAAATCAGGTCAAAACTTCAACGCCTATCATAAAATAATCATTAAAAAAAATACAGAATAGATTTTCGGTATCTTGGTCTCAAAAAATGCGCATTTTTTTTCGTAGAACTTTTTAATATATTTTGTTTTTCAATGTTTCTATGAAAATTTCGAGATAATCGTCATTTTTAGCAAAATTGGGGGATTTTTCAGCATAGAGAGTACAAATTACACCGTCCGTGGACAGTACCGCGTGCATAGGAGCGCCGCGTACCGATTTTTCGATTCGTGCCTTTTGATTCGGGGATGGGATAGCGTTGCTTCACCAACCTCTTGACTGATGTTTTGGGCGGATTGACTGCGCTTCCGCATCCGCGTGCTGTTGCGCACCCTGGAACCGCTGGGAGCCAATGTTTTCAGGACGTTTAAACGTACCCGGTGTGAAGAGTGGACGAGTACGAGATGAAACGCTCAGAGACGGCATTCCGAGTCGAGCAATTCAGCAAAAGTTTGATTTCCTGGGGTTGCACAAGTGAAAACAATTGATGGTGCTTCCCACCTTTTTCAGGTCGAATGAAAAATAGCCGTAGAGGTAGGGCGACAGCGCCGAGTTGAACACGGCGAATGCGTAGATGAATTTGCGAACCTCCTTCGGGATCCTGAAAAGAAAGAAGAAGAAATGGTGCAAATTCGAGCAGAAATACGAACCAGTGTTTGTTGGTGGTGAAGTGGAGGAACATGATGACGGCATACGGGGTCCAACAGAACAAAAAAGCCGAGACGACCACGAAAGTCATCCTAAAAACGGATTTAGAACCGTAGAACAAAGAACTCCAACTGGGTTCCAAGCCCAAAAATTACCGGTCTAAAGGTCCTAAGCAACGCGGCGCTACTATCGACGCAAAAATGTATCGGGCCAAAACTTCTAAGCTTTATAAGTTTAAAACTAAAGCGAATCTGAAAAAAACTTGTTCCAACTGTGTAGAATGGAACACGGTGATTTTAACGATACCAAGCACTAAAAAATTCAGAATTCAGAAAGTATCAAAACGAAGGCTGTTTTTGTTGGGAACGTTGTGAAAAGTGGTATTTCGGAGGGCTAACTTGCTGTTTTTGGTATCATTGGAACCGTAAAATTCTGCTCTGCAATAGTTGGTATCGGGTTTTCAATATTAAGTCGATTTCAACAAGTTATAAGAGCTTCATGTTTTTAACGTGCACGCCCGGCTCCTATGGACGCTTTTGCTCCTCCCGGCATATTGCCGTTTTGGCCTGTTCGATTGGCAGCGGTTCGTAGAAAAAACTGACCGTAGAGTCCTGGAGCGTGCACGTTGCAGATTGTCGCCGCCATTTCGGCGCAGCAGTCCGCCCTTTTCGTTTTCTAAAATGAAGAGCCGCGTTGTTGTACCTTCAAGCACTTCTAACCATTTTTGCCGCAATTCTTATGTGATATTTTCCACAATATCAACGAGTAGCAGACGACAGTCACGAGTAGAGGCGCGAAGTAGACCTGAATCGTTTCTATGATTTGCAAGAATCAGAAAGTACCTGGATAATATTGACGATAGAGTACCAGTAGACGACGACATTCGGGATTTCCTTGATGAAGTTGCGGGCCACGCATTGCGAAAACCACGGATAGCAGGGGTGAGAAGTGGTTCGGAAGAGGTAGAACTAAAAAATAAACATATAGAAAAGTTGTTTCTAGACTGTTAGCGGGATTTTAAATCGTTTTAAATATGAAAACAATAAAAAAAATCAAAAAATTTGGCAAATTTTTGATATTTTGTTCAAAAATCTATGAAAAGGACCACGACGGTCCAAATTTCGAGCAATCAAAAACCACAAAAAACACTAAAACTACATAATATATCATCAACAGGTAGGTAAAGGTGGAAAAACAGAAAGTTGTTCACCCCCGCTAGACAGACCAGAACCAAAACGTTTGTAGAACTGTAAGAGACCTGTGGTGCACTGGTGACAAATGATACAATCCAAGCGATCACCACCATTTGTTGCACAGATCTGTAAGCGAAATATCGGCTGCTTTTTCATATGCCCTTACCTCCTCGCTTTCATCGCGTATAATGGGAAGAAAATGGAATAGAATCGATCCAGCGAAATGCAGATCAGCACGTTGGCCGAAAGGGCGATGCCGAACACGTCGAAGAATTTGCACGTACGGCACAGCTGAAATATTTTTCTTGCCACTTGCTATCCGCTTTTTTCTAAAATAAATGGAGGAACTCTTTTGAAACTGGTTTTTACTTTCTAAACGGAAAAACGTCAAAAACTTCATTAAAAACACAAAATATGGGTCTTTCGATCCAAATTTCAACTAAATTTTTCTATTTTTCTCGCGAGTGCGGGCCAAATAACCTACAAAATCGCCTCCATTCCAGGCAATCATATAGTTGTGCAGGACTTCTTTCGGCATATAAAAGAAGGTGACCATCAGGTGGGCAATGTTCATATGCAACAACAATGAATGGACGCGTCGCACCTTCACTAGTTGATTCCTGAAATCGTACAAAACATTAGTATGTTCGCTTTTAAATCTTTAGATTTTTCAAAATTTAAAGAATCTTTTTAATAACTTTCTAGCATTCAAAAACTACTAAAAACGCTGTAAAAATACATAATATATCATCAACGGGTGGGCGAACAAAAAGTGGTTCCCTCCCCGCTAAAAGCCCCTCCGTTAACAGTCCAGAACCCTTAACCCCCCCCCGTAAATGCCAAAGCACCGTGATTTGACGTACCTGCATAGAATAAGAAACATTGTCCCATTGCCGACGAGGGCAATGATGAATACAACAGTGTAGACGACGAGAATGAGCAGTATCGGCAGTGTGAACGACATGTCCGGCGGGGGCTCAACGCGACATCGTGCATCCAGCTGCAGTCCGTACTCGTTCCAGGTGGTGTTCACGATCCGCGCCCACATCTGATCGGACATCATCTGAGATTGGGGACGCATCCCGCTGAAAATCGGTGGATTAAAATTACCGCGAGCCAAAGAGAGAGAGAGAGAGAGAGAGAGAGTATAAGCGGAAGAAAATGGGCTTAAAATGTGCTCTAAAAACCAAAAAAGAAGTCCTTCTGGCGTAGTTTTCGGCGCTGGTTGCGAATAGCAACATTACGAAGCTCTAAAACTTTGTTTTGTATTAGAAAAATCAATTTGAAACGGTTAACCTGGAAGGGTGAAAAGTACGCTAGCGTTCCAAATGACTTATTTTTGCTACTCTGGTGTACTAAGAACGGGTGAAACGCGCGCGCTTATCAGAAAAGGAAGGTTCTGGACTGTTAGCGGGGGGGGGATTTAGCCGGGGGGAAACACTGAGCTTTTTCCACCTGTTGATGTTATATTTTGATTTTCCAAGTGTTTTTAGTAGTTTTTGATTGCTAGAAGGTTAAAAAATATTTTTAAAACTTTTAAAAATTCAACAATTTTCACCTTGACATCAATACGAAACATTTTTGAGTAAAAAGCCACCCGGGAAAAGTTGGTTTCCCCCGCTAAAATCCCCCCTCCCGCTAACACTCCAAAACCAAAATTAAAAAGAAGCAAGAGAAACAATCCCTATAAATTTTTGAAAGCCAAAACTTTGATCGAAACCATTTAAAAAAAGGTTTTCCGCCTCGCGGGGTCCAGCCGGAAATTCGGCCAAACATGAAACGCGTGAAGTGCCCACGGGGCATGTTGGATTAAAAAACAAGAAGGGCTTGGGCCCCCCGGCAGCGGCACTTTGGGACACCCCGGAAGGAATTATACGGCGCTACAAATTAACGACCGCACATTTCGCGCCCAACACCTCCCCAAGTGTCAAGTGTCAAATGAATGAGGGGGCTGTGACGCCGTCCAACAACGATCGGTTTGAAATCTGTAGAAAAATAGAGTTCGATAAACCTTGCTTTCTGCCACAAATGTTTATTGGTACGATACGCGCCTATGGACGCTCAACTGTCCACGGACGGTGTAATTCGTACTTTCTAAGCGGAAAACCCCGTTTTGCTATAAATCATGGTTTATCTTGAAAGTTTCATAGAAAAATCGAAGAAAAAAATAGATGAAAATGTTCTACGAAAGATTGCGCATCTTTTGAGACCCCGATACCGGCGAAACTTAGCTTTTCCAGAAGTTTAGGGTTAAAAGTTTCGAACGTCTTTGAGTCAAAGTGCCCCCCACAAATGCACTAGCACCGAAAACTGTAAACCGTCAATTTAGAAGTTTAGACCCGAGCGGCCTACCGAATTCCTATGAACGTTCAAACCCTGTGCGCTCGTTTCGCTCATTTCGCATTTCGCAGATCGGTGATGCACTTGGAAATGTCTCTCGAATAGACCAATAACGAGTGCATTTTTTCGCGGGTTTATTGCTTGATATTTGGGCGTGTGGCCGGCCTTCACCATCGGAAATTGGACGTGCCCCGGCTCCCGGATATTCGGGTCGCTGCGCAACTTGGAACACCGCTTCAATCGGGGGTCTTGAATGGGGGATTTCCATTGATGTTTAAGGGACAGCAATTAAAAGGAATATTTATGGGGGAAATCGGTAGATTTTTCCTGGTTAGGCCCTGTACCCTAAAATCCGGAGTATAGTTCCTGTACACTTTGACGACGTACCAATACAAATGACGCTTTAATAACGTGCGTCCCCGCCCTATCGCAGCAAAAGCTATGCAAGGCAAAAGAAGCCGCTCTCAGGATTTCCTGCATCGATTTCTTTCACTAAACCACTGAAAATGCTGTAAATAGTTCAATGTGAGCAAATCTTCAATCGAAATTGCAAATTGCCTTTCTTAAAGGGCTGCCGACGGCATAAGTCAATCGGTTACGCGCGGAAAAGAAAATGTCTCTGCGCCTCTCCCCTGGGCGCGCTCTCTCCCCTGTTGGCTACTTGCCAATTTGTTGATGAGGGGGGATCGACAAATGCCATTTTTTTTTTGGGGGGTGGGGGAGGGGATGGGCAACCTCTTCCGTAGAATAAAAATTATTTGGTAAAGACTTTACAAAAATTCATTTTAAAAATAGCTTTTTCGACCAAAATGTTAGCATTTTAAAAACTTTTTCTGGGCTTTTTTAAACAGCTTTTCCGTTTGAAACACTTCTAAATTGTATTATTTACGTAAATAGACTAGGATGTTGAAAGGGATGAGATCCATCGGGTTACTCGTACCCCTCTACCCCCTCGAAACCCCCCTCCCCAGATCGTTGCTCATATTTCGGGCCCCGTGTCATCTTCTCACAGACACAAATTAGTTGGTGAGGGGCGACGGGGGTACGCGGGGCGCCACGCAGAGTTTCATAATTTGAGCCCTCATGCCTCCCACCCCTCCAATTATTCACCATCAGCAGCGTAGGTCGGGAGGTCTGATGTGCTTTGGCCAGTGAGTTAGAGGGTTTTCGGGGCATCAGAGAAAGATCGGTTCTGGACTTTTAGCGGGGGGGGGGACAAATTTTACCATGTGATTCTCTCGGCCCTATAACAAAATATAAACCATTTTTATAGCATTTTACATAGTTTTTAGGTCTAAAAAAAGTATATAAAAATCATTAAATTTTCGAAAGTTTGTGACTTTTTGGCCAAAAATGCATGAAAATTGACCAAAAAAAGGTCCAAATTTTCGATTTTCAAAGTTTTCAAATGGTTTTTATAACTTTCTAACACTCAAAAACGACTAAAAACACTATAAAAATACATAATATATCATCAACAGGTAGGCGCAGGTGGAAAAACAGAAAGTGGGTCCCCCCGCTAACCATCCAGTACCGGAAGGGGATGGATGGCTACCTTAAAGTGAGATGGAGAACTCAGAGATAGATATTTGAACTTTAGCGAAAACTAGTCATTCAAAAAAGATCGACAAGGGCCGCCAAAATTGGTGGTGGACACGGGGCAGGGGCGGCCATCGACACCTTTTTTGGGCCATAAATCGCCTACCTGGGGGGGGCTCACATTTCCGAGAATCGAGGGGCACGCGAGCATGGACGCAAAATGTTGCCGAAAATGGGCGGGGGAGAAGGGCGTAGGAGCAGCAATTTGAGCCTGAGCCTAAGCATGCAAGCCTAAGCCTAAGCTCAACCCAAGTTTAAGCCTACCACACAAAGTCTTCGCCCAATCTAATTGTTAGCGAAATCTAGGCCTAAGTCTAAGCCTAAGCCTCAACAAATCCTAAGCCTAAGCCTCCGCTAAGCCTAAGCTAAGCCTAAGCCTAAGCGTAGGCCCAAGGCTAAGCCTAAGCCTAAGCCTAAGCCAAGCCTTCGATGACCCACCCAAAATGGAATGTGGAATTGGTATAATTTGCCTGTTTGCCGAATAATCCGAGGGACGCGGGGCCCAGTTCGAATGACGGTGGGGAGGGTATTGTTGGGGGCTGTGCGCCGGGATTAGTACAGAATATAATGGGTACGGGTGGGCGAGAGAGAGAGAGAGAGAGAGAGCGAGTGAGAGAGAGAAAGGGAGAGACAGAGGGAGAAACAAAGCATGTTAATATCTCAAAATGTCCTCCCAAGGCCGCACGGATGTTGAACTTGGGGCAAACTAGAGCTGGTCTCTCCAAATTGGAGACGTGGCAATACAAATGACGCTCTAATAACGTGCGTCCCCGCCCTCTCGCCGCAAAAGCTATATCTAGGAGACAAGATTCGGTTCTTAGAGTTCCTGCATCAATTTCTTTCACTAAACCACTCAAAATGCTGGAAATAGCCGACATGTGAGCAATACTTCAATCAAAATTGCAAAATACCTTCCGTGAACGGAGTTATTTGCAAGAAACAGAACAAACGAAACACACCTCTTTACGGCCATACGGAATTACGGACGCTACGTACTACACCCGGGACTTTAGGGTAGTATTGAGCCAAGAGTAGCACAGCGGAAACCCCTCAATTCCATAGGTAAGCAACGATCACGTCTACACAATCGCCAATTTTGCGCGTAAAAATAGCGCATTGTAGCCGGGGCGGGGAGTGTTGGTCCGGGGCAGTGATGAGCCATTTTCAGGGGTCCCATGTGGCACAATTAAGAAAAATGAACCGCCACGAAGAGGGGCGGGCCCTTTTCTAGATTAGCAATAGATTTCGGCTGGGCCCAAAAAGGCGTTGATGGGCTGAAAACACGACTAGAGCTGCGTTGTTAATTGTTTGAAGAGGCGTTCCGCAACGATTTTGCAACAGAGCGAGCGAGAGCGATAAAGTGAGAGAGAGAGAGAGAGAGAGAGAGAGAGCGAGAGCGGGGGCGGGGTGAGAATGAGAGAGGTGAGGAAGAAATAGGAGAAGGAGAGAGGGGGGGGGGAGAGATAGAGAGCGAGAGAGATAGAGTAACAGTGAGAGAGCATAAATCTGAAAGCCTAATGAGCTAGAGGAGCTCGGGGTGGACCTAGGGTTTGCTAACGAAGTGGGGGTGTGGCTGGCCGGGGGAAAGATTCTTTTACAGCTCCACCCAAATATCGAATACCAACCACGGTTTGTAAACATTAGATGGGGGCGGGGGGCCGATAAATTATTTCGCTGTTTGAGGGAGGGACAACAGGGATTGAACTGCTCCGGCAATACCGGAAAGTTTGCGGTGAAGCAATGAACGCTCCCATCGACGCCATGGTAGATGGGGGCGTACATTAAAAGAATCTTGAAAAAACCTGAAGAGAACTGAGAGAAGTGGAGAACTTGAAGAAAAAAAATAGGGGAAACAAGCGCTGGCAAACTCACTCCCTCTCTCTCGCGCTCTCTCTCATTCTCTCTCTCATTGTCACTCTCTCGCTCTCTTATTCTCACTCTCTCTCTCTCTCTCTCTCTCTCTCTCTCTCTATCTTTCTCTCGTTCTGACTCTCTCTCGCTCTCTATCTCTCTCGCACGCCCTCTCTCTCTTTCTCTAGCTCGCTATCTTTCTCGCTCTCTTTCACAATCTCTCTCTCTCTTTCTACCTCTCGCTCCCTCCGCATCTGCGTTGCGTGCCGCGGGCGAACAGAAAACCCCCTCGAAACTGGCCGCTGCGGCACAGGGATGCGCACTTTGCCTAGACGACAAGAAATATGAGCACAATGGGCACCCATCATCATCATCATCTTCTCTTCTTCTTTCTTGGCCATAGAGATCCAAATCCCGCGGCGATGGGGCCGCCCGATAAAATGTCTCGAGATGCCTGCGCGGGGAGCACAAAAGAAAGATTCGATGGAAATGGATATCCTCGAGGCACGTGTGGACGGATAATCTTACAAAGAAGAGACACGGCAACATCAGAAAATGGGGGTACGGTGGCGGCGGACGGGCCCTAAAAAAGTTGGTTTTGGACGCTTGGTTTATCGAACAAAGAAACACATAATAAAATATCTATGTTGATTCGGGTTTGGCTTAGGTTTAGGCTTATACTAGAGAGAGAGAGAGAGAGAGAGAGAGAGAGAGAGAGAGAGAGTGAGAGAGAGAGAGAGAATGAGCGAGAGAGAGTGAGAGATACAGAGAGAGAGAGAGAGAGAGAGAGTAAGAGAGTGGGAGAGAGAGCCAAAGATACAGAGAGAGTGAGAGAGCGAGACATAGCGAGACAGATACACAGACATAGCCGCAATCACAAAGCCCTGCTTGAAAAGTTCATATAACTATAGGTATCCCAAAGAACTATAAAAATTAATGCAGGGATTCGGTAGACGCTCAGTGCGGTTGCGTGTGTGTGATAAGTGGATTGGTCCATGGCATGGGGGGGGGGGTGCATATGGAGGGTGGGATAATTCGATCTCCTTCTTCTTCATCTGCTTCGTGTTGAGACGGTCGTCCTCCTGAGGAATACATTAAGGGGAGGGGGAGGGGAGATGGCCCATCCCTCTACACCCATTAATCTAATATACATATGGACGGGAGGGGGAAGGAGGAAAGAGGAGGACCAGATGAAGCCGTGCCATCTCCCCAAGGGACCCATGGTGGGGGACAAGAATTGAGATTCAGCCCCCCGGCAAAACGAAGAAAACATTCTGATGGATTGGTTCGTTGGGTGGAATGTGGGAATGCTGAGGTTACGGTAGTTTTTCCATTTTAAGGGATTTAATGAGGGGTTATGATCGTGGTCGAGGAACAGGATGAGTGATGGTCTGGGGTGCGTATTTCAAAGGTTTAAGTGCCAAAATGAACGGGTTTGGCTGGGCTTTGGGATAGGCGTATGCGTAAGCTAGCTTTGGTCTCAAGCTAAGCCAAAGCCTGTGCGGCTCTGGACTGTTAGCGGGGGAGGGGATTTTGAGCCGGGGGGGCGAAATTTTTCCCTGTGATTCTCTACGGCGCTATAACCAAATGTAAACCGGTATTATAGCATTTACATCGTTTTTACATATAAAACAATGTAAAAAAATAACAAAATTTTTCGAAATTTTTGAATTTTTGGTCAAAACTATGAAAAAGACAAAAAAAAAGGTCATTCTTTCGAATTTTCAAAATTAAAAAAATATTTTTGATAACTTTCTAGCAATCAAAAACTACTAAAAACACTATAAAAATACATAATATATCATCAACAGGTATGTATAGGTGGAAAACCCAAAAGTGGCACCCCCGCTAAAAAACCCCCACGCCTCCCCCCACCGCTAACAGTACAGAACCTCTATTCAATCCTCATGGTCAATGCCGAGTACACAAAAACCTCTTCGAGTAGGATTTTTGCCGTTGCCGAATCAGCTGAACCAGATATCGCTACGGTAAGGGGGTGTGGGTGCTTGAAAAAGTAGCGTGGCCGTCTCGAAGGCCCTTGAGGAAGCAGGCAGAAGAGGAGGCCGGGGAATCCAATTGGAAACACCGGCCAAAGGGCGTCAAGCAGGGAACAGCATTCAGCTGGAATCTACACCTCAAAAGGCGTGAAAGTCAACCTAAAATGAAGCCACTTCAAAAAGCGGATTTGAATGGATGTTCGTAGTATTGAAGCACATAACATCAAACATCAAAAGTTGCGCATATGACAGGGATCGAACTGGGGGGATATGGCTGGTGGGAACAGCACCAATCACCCAAAAACCCCGAGTATAGTTCCGGTGCGCTTTGGCGACGTACCAATACAAATGACGCTCTAATAACGTGCGTTCCCGCCCAGTCGCAACAAAGCGAAGCCAAAAGAAGCGGTTCTTAGAATTCCTACATCAATTTCTTTCAGAAACCACTCAAAATACTCGAAATAGTCAACATGTGCGCAAATATTCGATCGAAAATGCAAAAATACCTTTCATGAACCGATTTATTTGTAAGAAACCGAAAAACGAAAGACACCTCTTTACGGTCTTACGGAATTACGGACGCTACGTACTTGGCACCTAGCTACGGGTGTGTTCTAGCCCGGCTTCGTTGGCTTCCTCTGCCGAAGAAGCTTGAAGCTGGAAACAAAAGTAAAGAGTTCAATAGCTGAGGTTCTTTCTCCTTCTGCTTTTTGAGTTCCGTGTCTACTCGTAATACAATTTGGGGGTCTGAGCTCTTTCCTTGACTCTCCGACATCAGCTCTTCGGGCTCTCATTTTTCAGTGTCCGTCGGCATTTCCCTCACTTTCACCCGAGCTTAACAAATATTTTCGTTCATTCCAAGCAAATAATTCGCTTAATACAATGAAATCGAGTTCGCAGGCAGTACAGAGTTAATTCGCGGAATCATCACAATCGAGTTAAGGTTAAAAAGTTGGGTATTAACGAGTGGGAGGCGTTTTCGACATGTACGCGGCGATACGGTCGAGTTCGGGGCGGGCCACAGATCGGAGGTACACCTGGAATCGCGCATTAATGTAAGGCCGGGAGGTTAGCAAAGATCTTTAGGGATTTCTGACAAGAAAAATGTTGATTTACCATGACGCCCCACAGGAATTCGGCCAATCGTTCGGGGTCCGTGTCGGTAAGCGCCAAGCGATTCTGGAATTCGAGGGCTTTTAAAGGAATTTTGCGCTCCCAATTTTATACAATCGGTCCACGCTATAGCAGGCCTGTTTCCTGAAGCGCGGATAAGGTCGCCCTGGGGGGAAGAGGGCCTGTCCCTTCCCGATCCCATCGGCCCGTTGGCTCAATGGTTTTGTTTTCGCCTGCCGCACGCAAGGCCCGGGTTCGACCCCCGGCCCTGCCAAGACTTTTTGCTTTTTGAAAAAAAGATGGTGGATTAGAAGGTTTTTTAAAGGGACGGTGACAGCAGGTTAGAACCCCAAAAAAACTTGCCACATTCGGTGGGTTGATCCGGAAATAGGGCGTTTTCGTGGAGAGGCACCAAGCCGCCGCCTGATCCAGGCAGGCCGTGTCACCGCTTGTCGACTCAAAAAATCGATTTGCAAAATTTATAGTGAATTTAAAGCCAATAAACCCAAATAACTACGATACCTGGCTGACAAAGACATCGAAAAGGTTGCGTGTCGTGCGCATGAAGACTGAAAATAAGCGATTATTTGATGAATTGCAAAAATTAGAATGCTGTGAAACTGGCACTGGGCTGTTAGGGGGGGGGAGGGGCTTCGTTTCTATCTAGCCTATCGCTAATACTGAAAGCTGCCGGCTGAACCCCTTGAAGTTGCCGGGCGTCACCCACATCGATCGAGAAAAAGGCGATTCTTTGGCAGATCGCCAAAATGGATTCCGGAGGTGCGGCGGGGCTCATTGTATCCGGTGCCGAGCGAGAGGAGAAGCCCAGGCCGTCTAGCGTCTTCGGCCTATAAATTTCCAGGATTTTTCGCATTACCGGGGGGGGGAGAACTTTTGCATTTTTGCAAATGGCTTAGCCTTACGCTTAGCTTGGGCTTAGCTTAGATTTAGCTTAGGTTCAGCTTAGACTTAGCTTAGGCTTAACTTAGGCTTAAGTTAGGCTTGGACTTAGGTTCGGGCTTAGGTTGGGCTTAGGCTTGTTAGGCTAAGCAGACCAGGCTTGCTGTTGGGTTTAGGTTTAGGTTCTTGGCTTAGGCTTAGGTTAGGCTTAGGCTTGGGGTTAGACTTAGACTTAGGCTTAGGTTAGGCTTGGGCTTGGGCTTAGCTTAGCAAAGGCTTAGGCTTGCAGACCTGCAGTCGATGAGTATGGTATTCGGTGAGGAGAGCGAGACTCGGGTTCTTTGCCAAGACACCACCATCCGACAGTCCACTCGGGGACATTGGCAATAGCAGGGGGGCCGCACTGAAAAAGCAAAGAGGAGGCTACAAACTTAACGTGTACATCTATTCAGCTAGAAAGTTTAAAAACGCTGTAAAGCTTACGTAGATGCGAGTAGCGCCTCGATGACCCTCATTCGACTGCCATCCTCATCGGGGTGAGCCTCAGAGTGGTAATTACTGTAAGAAATTGAGATCCCGCTCCAGGTGGCGCTCTACCGGAAGATGTGTAGCCGCGGGGGGATGACGGCCCCGTCGACGGCTGTGCAGATGAAGCTGGAAAAGGAGGGAGTGAAGCCCGGGATCGTGATTTCCTTACTTGCATGGAAGATCTCCCAGCTGGACACCACCCAGCTCGCCGGAAAGGGAGTTGCGAAGAATCTACAGAAAATGAGCTTGGAGCTTGTGCTTAGGTTGCCACAGCTTTGGCTTAAGCAAAGAATCGGATACCTCTGCCCTGAGCGATGGACGCTTGATGCGCGGGTCAAAGATGCGGCGCGTCTGCTGGAGAAACACGCGGAACAGCTCGTCGGCAGGGCGTTTGTCTGAGGTGTGCTCCCTTTCTCCTCTTACTATCTCCTCCCTTTCTCTCTCTCTCTCTCTCTCTCTCCTCTCTCTCTCTCTCGCTCCTCTCTCTCTCTCTCTCTCCTCTCTCTCTCGCCTACCGTACCCTTTTTGGTGATTTGGCGCGCGGCGCTGGCGGCGATGATGGCGCCCACGCTGGTGCCGCCCACCCAGGCAAATCGCTCGAAAAACTGGGGCACCGAGACGGCGAGTCGGATGCACAGCTCACGAATTGCCTGTAAATTGGTATTTCCGTGAGGGCGATAGAGAGAGAGAGAGAGAGAGAGAGAGAGAGAGAGAGAGAGAAAGATAGCGAGAGAGAGGGAGAGGGGGGGAGGGGGGGAGAGGGGGGGGGGGGGGGAGGGGGGGGGGGGGAGAGGGGGGGGGGGGGGGGGGGGGGGAGGGGGGCACTTACAAGTATCTGTGCAGCCCCTTTAATTCCGCCCCCATCCAACGACAGCAGCAAGTCGGGCGATTTCTGAGGTTGAACTTGTTGCAGAAGTGGCTGCACAGCTTGACGATGCCATCCGATTGGTTGGCCATCATCAACATCTCCTTTCCCATCATTTGCCATCGTCCGCAGATCTTCGAGAATCCTGAAGTGTTCATCTCCAGTTCTCGCGTACAGTGTCGTACTGTTCAGTAGCCTTTTCGATTGGTGTCCGCCCATGTCCATCTACCGTATCCCACGGTTTTTTCCCGGCCTCCATCGTACAGATCAGACGCACACAGCGGAGGGCATTTTTCTGAATTTTTGAAGGGGAAGAAGGCTCCCAGGAAGGCCCCCCATGGCGGGAAGAGAGCCTGGCCCCGTCCTGATCCCGTCGGCCTGCTGGCTCATTGGTTTTGTGCTCGCCTGCCGCGGGCAAGGCCCGGGTTCGACCCCCGGCCGTCACGCGGCATTTTGCTTTTTCATGAAAAACGGGGGAGTTAGTGAGCAGAAAGTTAGGGTACCTGGACGGCTTTGTGAAGAATCGTTCCGCCAGTTGGGTTGAGGGATGGGCCTAAATCTCGGCATTCAAAAGTGCAAAGCTACCGTACCCCGACAGTAACGCTCCAGAAGCGCCCCCACGTCATCGTTTTTGAGGATTTCTTCGATTGGGGGTGGCTAAAAACGATCGTAATTATTTTTAGTAAATTTAAGCGCAGCGTAAATTGAAAGGAAAATTGAAAACCTTCATTTAAAGCCTTAAAAGACTCATACTTTTTTCCGGAATCGGAAACGTGGCGGCCCGTTTGGCGATGAGGTCGAGAGGGCCCTACAAAATTTTTCAGGAAAACAGCAGGTGGGCCCACATCTTATTCGCGCGCAGTCGGCGCCACGAGGCGAACTTTTTGCCGAAGAAGGCAGATAGCGAGCCGCTGTTGACGAGTTTCTAAAAAACATGTCAAAGCCTGCCTTAAATTGGGCCCACCCGAAATTCGACCCTCATCGCGAATGGGCGACCAAGAATGCCTATTTTTGGGGTATGTTGAGATGCAAAATAGATGCATCGCAGATCAGAGATGGAAATCATCAAAATTTGGCCAATTTTTTATCGCTTCCTTACTCAAGATCTTTCGATAATAGCGTACAGCTCAAAAGGAGACGATGTTCTTCGCTGTTTGAGGTGAAGAGAGAGAGAGAGAGTGAGAGAGAGGAAAGAGAGATAGAGAGAGCAGAGAGAGGGGGGGGGGGGGGGGGGGGGGGAAGCGAGAGAAAAAGGGAGAAAGATTCAGATGTGGTGTCTCCTCCCAAGGGACCTCTTCACTTCGGCGGCCAAAATTCCCCGCAGCAGCCCCGACTCATCCTCGGGGGCTCACCGAGGAGCTCGAACAGCAAATCAGTAGTCTTTCTTTATTTTCTTCGATTTCTTTCATAAACCAAGTTCATTAAAGTGACTAGGAAGTCTCGGCGCCCCTAAAACGATCTTAATTTTTAAAATAATCATTTTAAAACATTTTAAACGTTTGCAGAAACCGAACTTTCAAAAACACCCCGCCTTTCTGCGGCCCAACCAAAAAACCCCCAACCAGTTGTCCCGATTGTTAGTTGGGGGGAGCGGAAAGAAGTCTTCTGAAGCGAGCGTTCTTTCCCGTCCTCTCTCTCTGTCTCTCCCTTGAAAAGCCCCAAATTCTGCCTTTCTGGCAGACTAATCGACCTCTTCCTCCTGCTCCTCGCGCCTCCAGGCGAATATTCTCACTTTGTCCAACTTTTCCAACCTAGCTGTGATTCTTTGAAACCCTTTAAAAGCAGAGAATTCTGAAAATCTCTTGCCCTTGCTCCATATTTCCAGCATAAGCTCCCATCCTTTGGAAACAGGAGGAACACCTGAAAAATTGGGGGAGCAGCGAAAACAGCGCAGAAAAAAGCATGAAAGCGCCGCTCGGGGACCCCCGGGGTTGTCGAGATTAGGTTATGGAAAGTTTTGGAGGAAGGAAGGGGAAGCCAACCCTCCACTCTCTAGTCCCACCGTATAGACAAACCCATCAAATAGTGCCGAGTGCAGGGGGATTAATTCAAGGGCCAATTCGAGACGGACGCTTTCACCCATTTTTGAATACACCCGCTAGGTTACCTTACGCTCTTTTTCTCCTGAGTCGGCAAACGTATCTTCAGACGTTAGCGTAACTTCGGATGATGGGTGCGTCTACGTTTGGGCCTAAGCCTAAGCCTAAACCTAAGCTTAACATGAGCCTATTCCGAAACTAAGCCGAAGCCTATCGCCTAAGCCTAAGCCTATGCCTAAGCCTATGCCTAAGCCTACTTTTAAGCCTAACAAGGAGACGTTTTTAGGTGGGCACGGAGTTTCGTAACGAGACCTAGCTCATTCGAAAGAGCTTGAAAAACTGAGCAAGATCCCATTTTCCATTTCTGCGAAACGATAGCGATTGATTTTTAATAATTAAATTAAAGAATTAGCAGAAATTGGCATGATTCCCCTCGCGCGGAGCGATTTCCTTCCACATGACTCCCCTGTCGGAAAGCCAGGCCCCGTCTTCCCTTCCCCATAGCGATTTGGGCAGTCGGTACGGCGTTGCCCTCACGAAATTTTTGGAGTTTTTGTAGGTTCGATCCCTGAGCCCAGAATTCGTTTTGCTTTTTATTTTAAGAGGCTGAATTTATTATTTATTTTAATTTAATTGTCGCACTGCGTGACATAAATGTTCTGAACAGCATCGGTGTAGGCGCAACGGGCCAGTTGATTTCAATCCCTGAGACGCGAGTGCAACGCTACCGGTTTGGGGCATACCAGAAAAAAAATTGATTTTGGACTAGATTCCACGTTTAGAAAGTGTTCAGGAATTAAAAAGCAAAACGAATTCTGGGCTCAGGGGTCGAACTGACAAAAAGTCCAAAAAAATTTCGTGAGAGGCAAACGCCGTACCGACTGCGCCAAATCGCTATGGGGAAGGGAAGACGGGGCCTGGCTTTCCGACAGGGGAGTCATGTGGAAGGAAATCGCTCCGCGCGAGGGGAATCATGCCAATTTCTGCTAATTCTTTAATTTAATTATTAAAAATCAATCGCTATCGTTTCGCAGAAATGGAAAATGGGATCTTGCTCAGTTTTTCAAGCTCTTTCGAATGAGCTAGGTCTCGTTACGAAACTCCGTGCCCACCTAAAAACGTCTCCTTGTAAGCCTATCCTAAGCCTATTCCTAAGCCTATCCTTAAGCCTTAGCTAGCCTAAGCCTAAGCCTAAGGCTACGCTAAGCCACACCAGATCCACCTCGATGCTGAAGGTCAGCTTCCCCTTTGATGTTTTAGGTTGACCAACCTTGTGTGGGTTGAACAATGGGTTCAGGAAGGAGTTCGTGTTAGTCACAGAGAGAGAGAGAGAGAGAGAGCGAGAGAGAGAGAGGGAGAGAGAAGGAGAGTAGTGTTCCGTAGCACTCCGTTTCCCTTGTCAGACCCATTCATTCATCCGACTCTCTGGGAAATGGGCTTCTCGCGCTGGACTGCGCATTAATGGGCTAGGCTTGGCCGGCTGGCAGAGATCATTTGTCTGTCGTCTTTTCAGAAGTTCTCTGAAGTTTGTCCCCCCATCCTTCAAATCTGGTCCCGTAATAAATGCCGCGAGGGCATATTCGGGGGGTCTTGGAGAATCGCGTGTGCCCCCCCCCCTCCGAATTCCACGCGGAGGGCAGCACAGCATTGTCCGACGGGCAAAATAATGAGTACGTTGTGGCCGTTGGGGGGAGTCCCGTGGTGGCAATCCGTACAAGGCATTCCCCCGTAGTGCACACACCCCCCAATTCTATTCATCCCATTTGTCGGCTCGCAACTTTTTGAGCATAGCTGAAAGCTCAAAAAAATTGGATGGAACGCTGTATCGATTTTACGGAGGGAGTTAAGGTTACCGGAATTTAAATTTTGGGCGGTTTTCGAAAATTAAACCTCGCTACTACCCTCAAATCCCGAGTTCAGTTCCGGGTGAAACGTACGTAGCTTCCGAAATTCCGTATGACCGTAAATAGGTGTGTTTCGTTGTTCAATTCCTGGCAACTAACTCCGTTCACGAAAGGTATTTTTGCAATTTCGATTGAAGATTTGTTCACATTTCTACTATTTCTATTTCCAAAGTATTTTGAGTGGTTTAATGAAAGAAATTGATGCAAGAAATCTTAAGAACCGCTTCTTTTGGCTTCCATAGCTTTTGCGGCGAGAGGTAGGGGACGCACGTTATTAAGCGGCATTTTGTATTGATACGTCGCCGAAGCGTACCGGAACTATACTCGCGATTTAGGGTAATTTTTCGTTTTCTACGCTCTTTTTTATATCCTTTGGTTTTCTCCTTAGTTCTTAGATTCTTCCCAATCTATTTTTCTTTCCTTTGCTACTATTTTCATTTTGCGTCCTTTTTAGGCGATGACCGGCCCATTTTCAAGGCGGGTATCCCCGCATTCTCGAGCTGTGTAATCTTATCCGCTAGCCTGAACTATAGCTCGAGTACCTCCCCGCATCACCGGAAGTAGTATTCCAGTGTATTACCCGGATTACTAGCACGAACTGCTTAGGTTTAGGCTTAGGTTTAGGCTTAGACTTAGGCATGGCTAAGGCATCGGCTTACGGTTAGGCTTAGGCCGAACGCCAAATCAACCCTTTGGGAGGGTCTTTGATTTCTGGATTCCAGGGCGCCGAGACAGGCCCTCACTCTTTCGATTTTGCGATTTTTTTGCCCGGTTTCTGTGAAAACACATAATTCTGCATTCTGACCCATTTTGAAATCCTCACTCAATTTTAAATAGTTTTGGTGTTTTAATCATCAAATTTGGCCCAGAAACAGCCGAGAACGTGATTTCGAGGGACAACAGGCTTTCAAATTTGGCTTCCCGGCCCGGGCAGGGCCTCCGAGTACAGGGCCGTTTTCGGGCCGTCCCATTTTGGCATTTCGTAGCCCCTTTAAGTAGGCTTAGGCTTAGACTTAGACTTAGGCTTGGGCGTGGGCTTGGGCTTAGGTTAGGCTTAAGTAGGCTTAGGCTTGGCTTAGGCTTGGAGTAGGCTTGGCTGAGGCTTGGCTTAGTCTTGGCTTAGGCTTGGGCCAAAAACTACAGACCGACAATTTGCCACCAATTTTGAGCCTCAATTTTTTTTCTGCTAAGTTTTTGGAGGTGAGACGGGGGGAAAAGCAGGGCAGAAGACTCGATAATGCCCTGGGGGCACATCCCTAGAGACAATGCTCCCCCTCACTCTCTTTTTGTGGCCACAAAACGGAAGGGCCCAAAACGGCCGCCGGCCCTAGGGCCCATTTTCCGCCTTTATGCCTTTGTGTTTGGGGGACGTAGTACGCGCACACCTGTTTGCGCACCCTCGAAAAAGCGCACTTTTTCGATTTCCTCAAACTTTTTTTGGATTTTCAGCGCTGATTTTCGGGGGTTTTAGGGCGGAAATACGACGGCATTGCGATGACGTAGTTTGTAGCCTACAGTTTTGATGCCGACATGTTGCTGCTGCTCCTTGTTTCCTGCGTCTTTCAGGTGAGCAAGAATGTTTTTTCTCGTTTTCAAGAATGCTTTCTCGTTTGTCTTCATTTCTCAGGTTGATTTACAAGGAGACGTTTTTGAGTGTCGTCCGGAACGTCGGGGCTCGGACTATGCCTGAATATTGTGCAGAATTTGGCGCTGATCCAGAATATGGTTACCGTTTAGCGGAATAGCCAATTTTCGAAAGTTATAATCGATTTTAACCTAAAAAACTCCGCAAATCGGCTACTTTTGATGGAAATAAAAGGCTTCGGTATCGGTTTAGAAAAAACCAGATACCGTAAATGCTCAATCAAGTGTGCCATCTCAATAAAAATCATTGAAAAATTGTAAATTTTTGATAAATCGTATGCCCATCATTTTACAAAAATTTTTAAAATACCTACCCCCACGGGTACTCAAAATTCCCCCACAAATCTAGAAACCTTCTCAACCAAATACTTCATTATCCTTTAATTTTCATCTAACAAACCTTTCCTACCAAAATTTATTAATTCTTTCGTAGGGATTCCAACTGAGGATGACCCGACCCTAGTGAAATTGCCTGTTTGGACAGGGTCGAACAGGCCAATTATTTTACTTTTTTAGCCAAACTCCATATTGGTACCTTTTTCTCAATTAAGATTTTCTTTAATCTTAGCTCACTATATTTATCATTTCCTTTCATTTTTGAGTTAAATAGTCTATTTGATAGAGAATTTTTTCTGAACAAGATGCTCTAGCTGGTTTTTCCTAAAACCTACTCCGAAGCATTTTATGTCCATAGAAAGTGGCCGATTGGTGGTGTTTTTTAAGGTTTGAATAGTTCATAACTTTCGAGAATTGGCTTTTCCGCCAAGAACGGTAACCATATTCGAGATCAGCGTAAAATTCTGCACAAGATAGGCTTGGTCCCATCCCAAAGTCCCGACGACACTCACAAACGTCTTCTTGTTAGGATTACAAGCTTCGATTTCAGTTTGGCGCCAAAGCGGATATCCAAGGCTGGGCCGGCTGGTCCCCGTGGACACCATGCTCCAGAACTGTAAGTATTATTGTCATTACTTATACTATCGTATTAAATAGTATATAATGCCTTCATATTGATCGTAGTTTTTACGACAAAACAAAATAGCGATAACTGTGGGACATATTCAGTCCCGAGGCCCAATGAATGGACCCCGGGTTATCGGTTGTCCCGTTTTATCATATCCCACACACTTCTAAGGCCATGGCCATTAGGGCCAGGGTCTTAGCGAGTGGTGGTTTTCTACCTGGTCGCCGCGGCGGGGAGTCGAACCCCCGGCCCTTTGCCTGGTAGTGGGAGAGGCTAGCCAATGGGCCACGCTGCCAGGCCGCCTCCTAACAGCTGAGGTTTCTATCCCAGAGCCCTTCACAATGAACAGTCAAATGTTTTTCGCTTATTTTGTTAAAAATACTTAAAAATGCTTAATGAAGTTTTTTATAGTTTAAATAAGCTAAAATAGACAATAGAAGCGTTAAAAGTTCTAACAATTGATCTAGAAAGATGGCCTATCGAAATGTTAAGCGATGAATTAATAAGAAATTAACGGCCTGTTGGTCGTTCAGGCGTCTCTGTATATCATAATTATAGTTATTTTTATGCTTTTGCTATCTTTAAATTCTTTTTAGTGCGGCGGCGGGATGTCACAACAGCTCCGCCGATGCCTAGACGTCAAATGCTCCGGGATTTCCGTTCGGCAACGCGTTTGCAATTCAATGGCAAGATTTTTCTGCTAGTTTTTTTTAAAAAAAAAATTTTTTTTTTTTTTTACTTTATGAGAAAAAGAAGAAAAAAAAAAAAAAATTCCCGGGGGCCCCCCCCCAAAACCAGCGGGAAAAAAAAAAAAAAAAAAAAGAAAAATTTTTTTTTTTTTATTTTTTTTAAAAATTTTTTTTATATTTATTTTTTTTTTTTTTTTTTTTTTTTTTATATATATTTTTATTATTTTTATTAATTATTTTTTTTTTTTTTTTTTTTTTTTTTTTTATTTTTTTTTTTTTTTTTATAAAAAAAAAAAAATTATAAAAATTATTTTTTAAAAAAAAAAAAAAAAAAAAAAAAAAAAAAAAAAAAAAAAAAAAAAAAAAAAAAAAAAAAAAATTTAAAAAAAAAAAAAAAAAAAAAAAAATTTTTTTAAAAAAAAAAAATTTTTAAAAAAAAAAAAAAAAAAATATAAAATATTTTTTTTATATTTTATTTAAATATAAAAAATTTTAAAAAATTTTTTATTAAAAAAAAAAAAAAAAAAAAAAAAAAAAAAAAAAAAAAAAAAAAAAAAAAAATATAAAAAAAAAAAAAAAAAAAAAAAAAAAAAAAAAAAAAAAAAAAAAAAAAAAAAAAAAAAAAAAAAAAAAAAAAAAAAAAAAAAAAAAAAAAAAAAAAAAAAAAAAAAAAAAAAAAAAAAAAAAAAAAAAAAAAAAAAAAAAAAAAAACGTTTCCTGAGTTTAGATAAGTCTTTTTCCAGCGTCATTTATCCTCAAGCTACCTCTTCATTATATTTCTACCATTGCAGGAATGCGACAAACCCTCCCGAACGGCTCGCGATACGGTCTGTGGGGGCGAGACGATACTTTCCAAGCAACAGGTTGGTTCGCTCTTCTAGATTTTGCTTTAAAGGGCAGTCACATCAACTAAATCCTGCTCCTTTCAGTGTGAAGTCGTATGCCGGTCAGCGAGCTCCGGGGCCAAATTCATCTGGCGTGTGGCCGACGGGACGCCGTGTCAAGGAACTACGCATCGCTCCGTTTGTTCCAGTGGCGTCTGCCAGGTGTGTATCAAGTTGAATGAGCTTTAGATTTCTTGAAAAAAGGATAGAGATAGAGACATATAGGGAGCGATAGATAAAGAGGGGGAGAGAGAGAACGCGAGAGAAAGAGAGAGAGATAAGTGAGTGAGAGTAAGCGAGAGAGAGTGAGAGCGCGAGATAGAATGCAAGAGAGGGCGAGCGAGAGAGAGTGAGCGAGTTAGAGCGAGAGAGAATGCAAGAGAGGGCCAGCGAGAGAGAGAGAGAGAGAGAGAGAGAGAGAGAGAACCAGACACCACTTACACCGGAAATTCCAGGCGGTGGGCTGTGATGACGTGATTGGCTCATCACTTCGGATGGATGGTTGTGGAATCTGTGGAGGAAGAGGGGATACCTGTGAAACATCACATTTTGACTGGAGGGACTCGGGCGAGTTCTCGCCATGCCCACAAGATTGTCAACAGGCCGCTAAACTGGCACAACTACATGGAGGGGCATATGATACGGTAAGAGGAGGGGAGCTAGCAGAGAGAATTGGGGGTCGGTTTCCCTAAGATTTGTGCTAGCTTGAGGAACAAAGGCTCAATAAAAACAGGCTAACAAAGATCTTTGACGAACGGCTGGCCGGAAGGGTTTATGCTTGCTTGCCTGCGGTTTCTCAAAAACATACGGGGTATCTCAAAAAGTACCCCCTCCAGCGGTCCGCAGTGATGTCCGATCTACGATTAAGGTATCTATCAAAAGCTTTCGATGAGCTGAGGAGATATGTTTTCCGATTTTTGAAATTCCCCGAATTTTCTAAAATTTCTTACATTTTTGGAAATTGGCTGAATAGATTTCCCATGCTCCGATGCTTTTCCCCATGCAAGTGTTTTAACAAAAACCCCATTTTCCAAATTTTTACATCTTTTCTGGCAGCCCATGGTCGGCTTTTTCAAAAGAAATAGGAGAAGACACAGCTTGGGTGGGACTGAAGCCGATTAAATTGAGTTTTGGCAGAAAAAAATGCGCGATATATGCCCAAAAAACGATAAAGATCGGATTAAAAATTCGGGAATTTCACAAAACGGAGAGAACATAGCTTCTCAGCTCGTCGAGAGCTTTCGATAGATACCTAAATCGTAAAGATCGGACATTACTGCGGACCGCTAGGGGGAGGGGGATCTTTTTTCGGGACACCCTATAGACTTACGTTTTTTAGGATACTCCCCAATAATCCCTGCTTGCTAGCCACCGGAATACCTAAAATAAGCAACTCTTTAGGAATACCAAGTGTCAGTGTTCGTCTGCGTGAATCGAGACTCGGGCCGCGTCGTCCCGGAGCGAATGTGTGCAGATCGAGGGAAACCGACGCCGACGAGAAGGGAATGCCCATTACTCATCTGTCCGTCAAGGTGACAAATTTGACAGAAATTGGGCTGTTTAACGGGATTGGGAAGTACAAAATTCACTCCAAACCCTCACTTTTCAGGTGTCGGTAAGTGTCGGGCCTGTTATTATGGTATTACGATATTGCGGTACCTTTTTGGCTGGGCGCCGATCAGTTTGCTGTGTTTCATTAATGCATCAGATTTTGGACTTTCGCTTCTCCCATAATCACTCGCGCGCTTTGCAGCACTTTTTTACGTTTTGCATGCAAATTGGGCTGGAGAGGGAGAGAGAGCGAGAGAGAGATAGAGAGAGAGAGAGTGACAGAGGGAGAGACGGGAAGGGAGAGACGGGAAGCGAGAGTCATAGAGAGAGCGAGAGAGATAGTGACAGAGGGAGACAGACAAAAAGGGAGAGAGAACGAGAGCGAGAGAGAGGAAGATAGAGAGAGAGCGAGAGAGAGTGACAGAGGGAGAGAGAAAAAGAATGGAGAGTGAGGGAGAGCGAGAAAGACATAGAGAGAGGCAGAGAGTGATAGAGAGCGGGAGAGACAGAGGGAATAGAAAGAGAGAATGTGAGATAGATAATGCTGGAGCGAGAGAGAAAGAGGGAGAGAGAGAGAGAGAGAGAGCGAGAGAGAGAGAGCGAGAGAGCGAGAGAGAGACAGAGGAAGAGCGGGAAAATGTTAAACAACAAAAACATACAAAAATGACAATTTCCGCCTGCAAACTGTCATTTACCGTAGCTGAGGTTTTGACGTGTGCCATCTTTCTGCGAGCATCCCCCCATTGACGCAGCAATGACCAAAATAATCCCTTCAGATGGGTCTCCTCTGACTGGTCAGAATGTGTGCCCGGCTGCGGGACCGGACTACGCCAACGAACGGTGTACTGTGTACAGGCGCTTGCCGGAAACACGTCCATTAATGTGCCCGACAAGTATTGCCCCGCACAGATGAAACCGGTGAGGTTTTTGGGTTTCAATTTTCATTTCAATTTAAGCCCGGCTCCGAGTCGTGCGTCTCGAAATGGTGCGGAACATGGGATACCGGGCCGTGGACGTCTTGTTCGGCTTCTTGCGGCACTGGGACAAGATCGAGGGTGGTAGGTTTTTTGGGGCAGCGTTCTTGGTTTGACCAGAATGAGCAATGAGGACTGAGAGAGAGGGAGAGCGAGAGAGAGAGAGAAAGTGAGAGAGAGCGAGCGAGAGAAAGAGAGAGAGAGAATTGGCCATACGAAATTAGCTAGACTCTCTTTTCATTGCAGGTGACCTGCGTTGGAGGGACAGATTGCGACAAGGTCAAGAAACCACAGGTATGTCGCCTAAGCCTAAGGCTAAGCCTAAAACGAAGTCTTTGCCTCAAACTAAGCCTGTCCCTAAGTCTAAGCCTAAGCCCAACCTAGGCCCATGCCAAGCTTAAGCAAAGCCTGAGCCTAAGCTACGCCTAAACCTAAGCCTAACCTAAGCTCCAAAGCCTAAGGTTAAGCAGCCTAAGCCAGTCCTTTTTCAGGTCCACCAGAGCTGCTACGCCGGAATCCCCTGCAACGTGATCCCGCCACAAGCCCTCCAAGCCGCCGACAATCCGGCAGGACCAACCGAGCAGCCTGGCAGGTTTGAGGAATTCCCATTAAAGGGCTGCCGACGGCATGTGTCGATCCCCCCTCATCAACAAATTGGCAAGTAGCCAACAGGGCAGACAGCGCGCCCAGGGGAGAGGCGCGCAGAGACATTTTCTTTTCCGCGCGTAACCGATTGACTATTCCGTCGGCATACCTTTAATGTGCCCTCCCTCCGATTTCTGTCCCTCTAAATGACTATATGATTTGAGGGGCACGAGGGTCCATCTCAAAGTGTTGGGACCACGGGGGCCAGTAATCCCGGCAGCGCCATTTTTGGGTCTGAAGGAAGAAGGGAGGGGCACACTTGGGCCCCCTGACAAATGGCCCACCAAGGGCCCTAGGGTTTGCAACTATGGCTTTTGAAGGGAAGGAAGGATGTAGATATCGTAGTTCTGATAAAGGGCTGTGAGTCACGGTGATTTGTGCATTAATGGAAAGAGAGCGGGGGAGGGAAAGAGTGTGAGAGAGCGAGAGCGTGAGAGAGAAAGAGAGAGATCGAGAGAGAGCGAGAGAGTTAGAGCGTGTGCGAGAGAGAAATAGCTAGAAAGCGAGAGCGAGAGAACGAGAGAGACCGAGGGAGCGAGAGAGTGAGAGAGAGAGAGAGAGAGAGAGAGAGAGAGAGAGAAAGAGAGCGATCCCCGTATCCCAGCCTTACCAATCCCTTTAAAGCCTCATCCTCCCTTCTGGTCAGCCAACCGGCCCCATTGGCCCCGCCCCCTTTTTCGGGGGGGAGGGGGGGGGGGGCTTTGTATGTGGCCTCGGGGCATCCCCCATTCTCTTCAATGGAGCTTCTTCTCCCCCACTTTGTCTAGATCCCATATTCGAAGCGATGAGACGCCAGAAATTACATGCGCTTTTGGCACTAACAATATTGCTCGGATTTTCCGCTCTGGGACAAGCTTTGTAAGTTGTTCGATACGAGACCGGGAGGGCGTAGAATTCGCATTCCCCATGATCTTTGCATCTCTCCTCTCTCTCTCTCTCTCTCTCTCTCTCTCTCTCTCTCTCTCTCTCTCTCTCTCTCTTTCTCTCCCTTCTCTCTCTCTCTCTCTCTCTCTCTCTCTCTCTCTCTCTTTCTCTCCCTTTCTCGCTCTCTCTCTCTCGCTCTCTCTCCATCTATCTCTCTCATTCTCTCTCACTCTCCCTCTCTCTCTACCTCTCTCTATTTTCCCCTTTTTTTGGTAGTTTGTACCTTTCGTAACTGCCATATGCAAATCCCCCAGTAATCACCATACGAGAATAAAATTGGGCTTTGTCTTCTCCTTCTTCTTCTTCGCGATCCCCCTTATTGTTCGCAGCTTTTCGGGGACCCAGGAGGGGCCCAAGCTCAGGGGCCCAAGATGGAGGGCCCAGATACGGGGCCCTGGGGAATTTTTTCGCGCCTCCAACGTTGACGCCTCTCCCGGGTAGTGAGGCCGATGTTTTGTCAATTTACATGAAGATGGGACGAAAATTCTTGAAAAACTGGGCCTCTAAAGAGACCGGGAAGTGAATGCTCATAATCTGGGCCCTTTGAACGGCCAAAGGGCCCAGAGGGGCCTCCGATTGTGGGCCCCCAAATAGAATCGTGTCCGGGGTGAATGGGGCCCTGATTGGCCTTTACCTTCGGAGGAATCTGAGCATGGGGGCAGAAGCTTGGCTTTAGAGGGGCCCCTGTAGGTAGAGGAGCTTCAGCCAAAGCCTAAGCCGAAACCTACTAGGTTAAAGCCGAAGCCTAACCTAAACATAATCCTAAAATTAAGCATAAGACTAAGTCCAAGCCAAGCCTAAGCCTAAGATTGGCTTAAGCTAGGCCTATGCCTAAGCCAATCCTAAGCATAACACTACGCTTAAGCTAAGCCTAAGCCTAAGCCAAGCCTAAGTCTAAGCCAAGCCCAAGCCTAAGCATATGTCTAAAATTAAGCCTAAGCATGAACATGAGATTAAGCCTAAGCCAAGCCTAAGCTCAAACGCAAGCATGCCCCCTGCCGATCTGCTCAATCTTTGCTGACCCTTTCCTCCAGAATCTCTGCTCGCTACCCTCCCCCCCACCCAAATTCCCGAAAATCCGCGTCGTATCGAGACGAAGGCGTTCACCCTGGGCCCCAACCCGTCCACCCCAATTATTTTGTCATGACGGCCGCGGCCCGGAAATGTCAATGATCCCCGGGATTCCGGGGCATTCCGTCTTTTAGCCCCGTTCTAGGGAGGGCCGAGAGGTGCCAATTATTTGTAAGCCTTCGGGGAGGGAGGGAGAGAGAGACAGAGAGAGAGAGAGAGCGTGTACGGTCCCCAATTAGCCGCATTTATGCAACTACTATTTATGCAACTACCTCCAAATTGACCTGTCTCAAATCAAGCGGAATCTAAATGGGATACTTAATTTGCGGCTAGGGGGCTGTGGGAGTTATTTGAATTTGTTGTTTGGGCGTTAGAAGAGCTAAAGAAGCTTGCTTGCCTGCTCCAAGTCCTCTAATCAATCTTATACTATGATGGATTAGTAGTAGTAGTATTCCGTGAGAGTCTCTCTCTCTGTGTCTCTCTCTCTCTTCTTACTATGGCTATTAAGGGCTTTGCGTGAAGCGAGCCGCGAAGTGGGGGTGGAAGGGTGCTTCGCTACTCTCTAAATGCCACATTAGGGCCCAATCCCGGGCGATGGATGGGTCAATCGGGGGGCTTCACCTATGTCCCCTTATGGCTCAGAGGAGAGAGAGAGAGAGAGAGAGAGAGAGAGAGAGAGAGCTATGGAGAGAGATATGAAGAGAGAAGAGTAGGGCTATTCTAAAGGAACTTGGAAGTATGGCGCGGGGCTCTAAGGCCAGAATCGATGACTTTCGGGGCCTAGGAATGGCCCATCATCGATCATCCGCCCGGAATATGCTCGGCGCCAAGGCTTTTCGAGGTGGAGAGGAATCGGGATAGCGTTTCTTGCTTTTAAAAGCGTTTGGAATTTCGAGGTTTTGAAGAAACTTTTAAACATCGCCCATAGTTGCAAGTTTTCCCTTTTTTAGGGGGACTTGCTAGACCCCCGGACTAAAGCCCTCGAGTGTGTGTACCTTCGGTCCCAAGGGGATTCCCACCAGGCAGGCTACATCTTGAAAAATGGACTGCATTTGAGACTCTTTCTGCCGGACTTCGAAGTCAGAATCTGGGCCCTATAAGTCTAAAAAAACCGGTAATAAACCTCTAACCGGATGTTACAACATTTCCAAATAATTTTTCAGCCTCGACTGGCCGGAACGACGACTTCTAGACGGACAGAGCTGGAGTGGACAAGATGCGGCCGGTGCGGCGACACCTAGGTTTGTCTGGAATTCGTCGAATTACACGATGAGACAGAATTACATTTCGTGTACGAATCCCCCGACTGCCAATCGGAAGCTTATGACAATCGCGACGTTGATTTATTAAGGGCCCATAAGGGATTAGCCGTGTCTATATGGCAGGGATTTCCTTGGTGCCGCGGGGGCACGGTTTAGGGTTTGACCCCCGGGAGGGCGATGGTAACAGATGGCTGGTTGTAGCTCTCGGAGCGAGCACGAACCACTTGTCAACACTCGACAAACACGCAACCCTCCACACCAACAATTATTCCCAATTTGATGCGCACAATTTAGCGGTGTAAGGGGGTTGTAAGGTGAAATGGCCGTTCGCCAAATTTGGCCGTGTTCTATCGGATCGGGACCAAATTTTTACCAGCGATGAGGACCAATAAAAACTATGTGCAGCCGAGTTTTCTAAGCAAAATATTCTAATACAAAAAAGCTATATAGAAGTTAAGGTTTATTTTGCCGATTTCACTAGGTTTTAAACGGATTTCGACCTCGAAATGTTTAGCAAAAATGAAGAGGGCCGTTTTTCCACCCGGAGAAATTTTTTTTAAGAAAATGATGTCTGAAATGGGGGTTTTTCATCACTTTTTATTAACAAAATTGGCAGAACCCTGCCCGAAAATGACGATTTTTCGGAAAATTGCTCAAAAAACTCTTCAGCTTTAATTTGCCTTAAAAAAATCCCTAATACCCTGAATTGCAGGATCGTGACCGGCGCGTGGGGCAGCTGCTCAGCTTCTTGCGGTCCGGGCGTGTCATCACGAAAAGCCGAATGTGTCGCCCTGCACCCAATGACACGCAATATCATCCAACTGCCCGACAGCGAATGTTCCGGTAAATTTAAGCCAATTCTCGGAATTTCATGCCTATACCTCTAATCACGCCAAAAATTAGCGGCAACTTAAGCTTATCGGCACTCCTATCGACTGAAAAATGTATGGGGTCAAAACTTTTACTTTAAACTTTAGAACTTTAAAACTAAAGCGAATCTTAAAACAGGCGATTTCCAACTTGGTAGAATGGAACACCATTCAGTTCTAATTAATTTTACCGCCCCCTTTTCAGCGCTTCCCCAGCCGCCTCTATTTCAGCCTTGCGAAGAACGACCTTGTCCGCTACAGGTAATCGAAATAAGCAGCAAAATAAACAACACCATCGATTAGGAAGAGCCAAAAGATGCGAAAGACAGCTCGCCCTATCGCTGGGAACACGGAGAATATGGACAATGCTCGGCCAGCTGCCTTGGAGGTATGCAAAAACAAATCCCCCAGAATCCATCCAAACTCCAAAAAAAACTCCCGTCAGTGTAACTATGACATTTAGCGATCAAAGTAGCCAAACTCACGCAAATTGGGTATCTTCATATGGGAGTGGGACGCCGCGGACGGGGGTCGAACCCGGGCCCCTACGCTCGCCAACGGAGCGCACTGGCACTGAGCCACAAAGGCAACCAGGAGGGGGCGTGCCGGGGTGTTGGTCAATGGAGAGGGGGCGCAGGGACTTTTGCCCCACCGTTTTTGAGAGCGTTTTGGGGTTGTAATTCGTAGGGATTCATCAAATTTTATTAAAACTTTTGGCATTGGATTTTTTAGTTTTGCAGCCTGGTATTTCCCAAAAATTCACTCTCTAAAGCTCCAAAATTGGGATAAAACTTGGGATTTCAAAAGAGGTGCCCTTGCGTATCAAACGTAAAGTCGTGTACGCTTGTTGAATAAATTCGTTAACTTAAAATATATATTCATTTTAGGGAAACAAAAAGCCGTGTTGATGTGCGTGGAGGTGGCGACGAACCGTCCGGTGTCGTGGTCGCACTGTGATGCCAGGCGAACCCCTCCAGAACGTGTGAAAACCTGCAACACGCAGCCGTGTCCGGCAACTTGGCAGGTTAGCTGGTCTATACAATCATAGTATCTTTTATTTTTTAAGTTTATATTGATTAACATAGTAGCGCCGACCCTTTTCAGGCGGGCCAATTCTCGGAATGTACGGCAACGTGTGGCGGAGGGACGAATACGCGGAACGTCCGCTGTGTACGCCCCATCTCAAAATCAGGTGCGAACCTGGATTCATCACGCCCAAAATTAGCGGCAATAAGGCCCTAGGCAACGCGGCACTCCTATCGACTCAAAAATGCATGGGGCCAAAACTTCTAACTGTAACCCTCTTATGGTCGAAGTGGAAATTCGTTTCGTGAGATAGCACATCTTGTGCAGAATTTTTTGCTGATTCCGAATCCGTTTTCAAAAGTTGCGGAACCCCTCAGATTAAAAAGTTACATACGTTTTTAATACCCAAAATGCCAAAAATCGCTTACTTTAAAGTGTTCTAAAAATTTCGTAAAATACTTTTGCAGAGAGAGTAAGGCGTGCTCCGGGGTAAAAAAACATGTTCTTTCGAATGGGCTACCTCACGAACCCGTAGCTCGAAATTTGTAAAAAAGTTTTTTCGGTGGGGCCATGCCCAAGATGGCCGATTTTCGAAAATAAGGTGAACCTTAAAAAAAAACTTGTTCGAACGTTGTAGAATGGAACACGGTGATTCTCATGATACCAAGCATTAAGAAAACTGAATTCAGAAAGTATCAAAATGAAGGCGGTTTTGGTTGGCGACTTTGTGAAAAGTGGTATTTCGGAGGGCTAACTTGCCGTCTTTGGTATCATTCGAACCGTAAAATCCTATTCTGCAATGACTGATATTTGGTTTCCAAAATTAAGTAGGTTTGAAAAAGTTATAGGAGCTCAAACTTTTTGGCGCCCGCTACGCCCGGCTCCTATGGACGCGTTTGCCCCTCCCGGCATATTGCCGTTTTTGGCCTGTTTGATTGGCCGTGTCATAGACGAGGTCCATTTCAGGTGGAGCCGACTCGAACCTCATCCTGCCCGACAATCAATGCCCACATCCGAAACCACCGGAAACGCAACCCTGCGCGCAAGTTGCTTGTCCCGCCGATTGGGTGGTACGTTTTTCATTCCACCTCGATTTTTCTTGCGAAATTTTTGAATTTAAAACGTCTTTTAAGAGAGCATATTTCAGACTGGCGTGTGGTCAGAGTGTTCCTCGTCGTGCGGCAGCGGTGAGCAACGACGACGCGTCGAATGCGAGGGCCGAGACTCGCGCGGGCGCAGCGAACGTCGAAGCGAACGCGAATGTGCCGCGCAACGGCCCCATCACGTTCAAATGTGCAACCTGGGTTCGTATCAAACTAAACATTTTGAAGTGCTGTTTCAGGCCCCTGTGGCGAGAAGCCGCAACTAAAATCGAACCGCGTCTTCGAGCAGGCCAGCGACGAGAAGAAGCTGACGCTGGGAATCGGGGGCGTGGCCACGCTATATCAAGGCACAAGTCTCAAGATCAAATGTCCGCGGAAGAACTTTGACAAGAAGCGAATCTATTGGACAAAGGATGGCAGACGGATCAGGAATGATGGTAGTGATTTGGCACTAGTTTCTTGGGTTCTGGACTGTTAGCGGGGGAGCCAAATTTTTCCCTGTAATTCTCTACGGCCCGATAACAAAATATAAACCTTTTTTATAGCATCTTACATAGTTTTTAGATAGAAAAACAATACAAAACACAAATAAAAATTTTCGAAAATTTTTGACCTTTTAGGCAAAAATTTATGAAAAATGACCAAAAAATATTTAAATTTTCGAATTTTCAACATTTTTGAGATATTTTTATAACTTTCTAGGGGTGAAAAACTACTAAAAATACTATAAAAATACATTATGTATCATCCTCAGGTGGAAAAACAGAAAGTGGGACTCCCCTGTTACCCCCCCCCCGCTAACAGACCAGCACCGTCTCTTTTGGTAGATTCTCAAAATCGCTGGAAACTTCCAATTTTCAGCTCACATCAAAGTATCGACAAACGGCAACCTCCGCATCAAACATGCTCGACTGGAAGACGCCGGAACCTACGAATGCTTCACCGACAGTCTACAGGTCTTTTTATACCATTTTAACCCTACAAAATTGCTTTAGGGCAACGTCACGCTCCACTTCAAATACCACGACGAGGCAGATAGCGTTCAGAAAGCGCTGGACAGTAATCGCGTCGAATCACATCTGCACCCAAAGCATTCACGGCTCTATAATATCACACGTCTGCAGGTTGGGTTTGAATCCGTAGCTCTTGATTTCCGCTTCAGAACCTATTGACAGAAATCTCGGACGCCGAAGAGCTGCTGAAAGAGCTGAAACCATTCCACTCGCTTTTCAAGGTAAATTCGCAAACTCATCGATTACATAGGTTCTTTTGCATTAACAGGGGACAACTTTTTTTTATTAATTTTTCAAATATAAGTAGGGGAAGTGCTTCTAAATGGTTTTTTACTATTCCGAGACATGAAAATTTACAAATTCGTAATAAAAATATAAAAAACAACGATTTTTCGCCCGAAATTTCGACTTTGTAAAGTTTTTGAGATAGCTTTTCCAGCTTAAATATAGTTATCCTACTATATATAAAAAAATAGTGTCTGTGTGTGTGTGTGTTTGTGTGTGTGTGCCACTTTGCATCCACTTCCGTCTGTCTGTCCGGGGGATATCTCGATAGGGGATGAAGTTACGGGTATGTTTGATACGTCATTAGGTGCGCAATGGTCTTGAGATGACTGCACACATATCAAATTTTACAAAATCAACCATTTTCGACATTAAATTTAAGTTTTTGTGAAAGCTCCTTTGTTAGGGATAATTAGCATAGACCGGAAGTGGTGATTCGGCTATATAAAGGCACAGAAGAAGTTGTTTTTCATTGTTTGTCATCTGAATTCAGGACAATTATGTAAAGTGAAGGATAAAATGGGGTTAGACGGGGCCAGGGTTGAAAAGTCGCGAAGCGGCTTTTCAACCCTGGTATATTACTAAAAACACGATTAAAACACTTTCTATTAGGTTACGAGGCATTTCTAGAGTTTTTCGAGCGAAAATGACCGTTTTTTACCAAAATTTCGGCTTTTTTTAAAGTTTTTGAATAGTTTTCCTAGTTGAAACATAGTTACTTATTACTAAAAACACGATTAAGACACTTTCTATTAAGTTGCTAGTCCCCCCCGATAATGCGAAAGAACCATCAATTATAATTCATTTTTAAGGTCCATTATGATATCGGAGCGTGGAGTGACTGCAAGCAAAAGGCCTGTGGGGTACATGGCTTCCAGGTTGGTTTTAATAACCGAAAATATTGGCTTATATATAATATTACATTTTTTGGAATATAATTAAATTAAAAACATTTTTAATTAAAATTTGACCTCCGTCCAGGTGCGCGACGTGTCTTGCTTGATGGTGATCGAGGGCGGGACGACGAAACGCACCGATATCGCGGTGTGCAGCCTCAGCCCAAGCTCGAAACCCCCAAATACAAGACCATGCCAAATGATTGGATGCCCGAAATGGGAGACGTCTGAATGGACTGAGGTTTGGTAGATTCCAGTTCCTTACGCAGGCTCATTTTCAAAAAGTTAAACTCATAACGTCGAAATTCACAAGCCCCAAATGCGAAATTTGATTTTCTGAAACACGAATAGCAAAAGCAGCCTGTAGTGAGCCTGTAATTAATATCAAAACTACTTTTTAATTTTTTAATTTTAATTAATTATTGATGCGCACGACGGCAATCTAGCCAAAAAATTCCAGTGCGCGCTGTCACGCTGCGTGCGCGACGGTGTCGCCCAACAGCGCCGTATCCTGCGTTGCTTGGCGCAAAACGGCACCGAGGTCGACGTCGACCAGTGCGACCGGTCGAATCGCCCGAAGCCGAAGAAGGACTGCGAGAATGGTACGGCAACATACCCTCGAGAATTTCAGCATTTTTTAGCCAAATGCAAAGCCGAGTGGCGGGCCAGCGAATGGGGCACGTGTACGCAGAGTTGTGGGAATGGAGGCGTACAGGTCAGTGCCTAAAATTAGACCTTCCAAAATCGTTAATCGTTAAAACTAGGTTGTTCAAAAAAAGCACCCCTCGGCATTACGTCGTATTACATCGGATTGCCCCCCAAAATTCGACCAGAGGTGTATCAGCACCTAAATAACAACAATCCTGAGTTATAGCCAGCCAGCTACAGTAATTTTCGAGATACAATACAAATAAATTATATAACGCGTTTTTCATGGGTTTTTCGTCGGGGTCGGCCCTTAGAATCTTAAGTGAAAATGATGCGGGAAGGCCGTTTCATTCTAGAAATTTTTTTCAGACAAAAATTTAACTAAATAAACGCTTATTTAAACAATTTTTACAAACAAAAATCAACCCAAACCATGAGCGAAATGAGGGGTTCCGAGCCGGAATTCAATGCAAATCCATGCTCCAAAAATATAGCCGAAAACTGTTAAAACTCGCTTAAAAAACAGTATTTTTGCTATCACTCGAGAACTACTGTAGCGATCGGGTTATAACCCAGGATTGTGGTTATTTAGGTTCTGATACACCTCGGGTCCTATTTTGGGACAGATCGGATGTAATACGGCGAAATACCGGAGGGGTGTTTTTTGGGACACCCTGTAGACTAAACTTTAGCTGCGCATGCTTCAATGCGTGTGGACTGTTTCCGGAAAAGCGGCCGGCCGCTCTTGTGAGGGCGTCAGAAGACCGGCAGCCGCCCGACCTTGCCCCCAGGTGCTTAAAAACCATCTTAAAATGACCACACTATTTCCAGGCCGGCCAACTACCCACTTGCCCAGCCGAACCACCCACCGCTCTGCCGCTAAAAGGTTGGCCCAGCTACCGTATCCCCTCCGGCGGCTACTACATCATTTAATGCATGTCTATAGCATGCCCTCCCCCGCTACCGTACCCTCCGGAATGCCTTTTCCTCCTATAATTTGCCCCCTCATTTTCAGATGCCTCGTGCGAGGACCTGTCCCGTTTTTGTGACATCATCAAGCTATTCCACTCGTAAGCACTTTCCCGCACTTTTTTATTTTTATTAACAACCCGCACTGTAACCCGATTCCGGTTTTTTATTCGAAAAGCTATACAAGTCGTTTAAAGCGAAACGAAGGTTTCAAAAAGTGATGCTTTCAAGGAAGTTTAGACAGAAACAAGACCGAACTTCTGAAAAATCGTTAGCGTTTCCCAGCGAATATCTGCTAGATAGCCCGATTCGAAATATAGGGTGTCCCAAAGAAAACCCCTCGACAGTTGCCCGTCTTCTATCGTATCGCCACCAAATTTTTACCAGCAATGGGGACCAATAAAAACTATGTGCAGCCGAATTTTCTAAGCAAAATATTGTAAAACAGATAAGTCATCGCTCAATACTAATTTTTTAGGAGTAGCTGGTACCCATTTTTGGCTAACTTTCGCAATTCGCAACCTAGAGTAATTCGCCGAAAAATGATCATTTTCGAGCCGGTTTCTGCCAATTTTGATGATGAAAAGTGGTGAAAAGTCCCAATTTAGCTGTAATTTTCGTAAATCAAAAAATGTCTCCGGGTGGAAAAAGGGTACTCTTCATTTTTGCTAAACATTTCGAGATCGAAATCCATCAAAATCCTAATGAAATCGGTAAAATAAAGCTTAATTTCGATATAACCTTTTTGTTTTAAAATATTTTGCTTAGAAAACTCGGCTGCAGTTAGTTTTTATGGGCCCACATCACTGATAAAAGTTTGGTCTCGATCCGATAGAAGATGGGCAAGTGCCGAGGGGTTTTTTTTGGGACACCCTGTATTCCGAATCGGGCCATCTAGCAGAGATTCGTTGGGAAAAGCTACTGATTTAAATCTTTTATAAACAAACTAAACGTTAAGATAACAAACAATACTTAGCCACTAACTAACCCAAGCCCCCTAGATGCGATTCTGAGGAAGTACGGCGACGCTGCTGCGCTTCGTGCACCAGATACGATTTCCGGCGGCGAACCTGACGATGATGATGGTGGCTAATGCCGAATCCAACAACCCGGGTTAACCCCCTTCCCCCATTCATGCACCGGCACTCTTTCACTTGACCGTATCCGTAGTCTTTTTTTCTCACCCTCTAATCCAAAATAAAAAGATCTCATCGCGCTTCTCAGTCTCACTACTACTGCCTCTCCTGCTCCTCAACAAATTTTGTGCACCAAATAATTGTCTCCCTGCGCTCATTTGTGCCTCGCCATCCCCTATTTATTCATTTTTATTTTTTCTATATTATCTATATTATTAATTTATTTACAAAAATGTGTTTTTTTGATGAAATGATTACGGTAGCCCATGATTTTCGTTGGTAGTGATCGCAATAAACTTATATATAATAAAGATAACCTGCGCAAAATACAGAACATCACAAAAAATTACAAAAACATTGTTCTAAAAAAAACCATAAAATAAAACTTGTAGTTCTGGACTGTTAACGAGGAAATCAAATTTTTCCGTGATTCTCTACGGCCCTATAACAAAATATAAGCCATTTTTATAGCATTTTACATAGTTTTTAGCTTTCAAAACAATATAAAATAAAGAAATCGAAAAATGTTTGACTTTTTGATAAAAAAATGTATGAAAAATGACCGAACAAGGCCAAAATTTCGAAAAATATTAATTTTTTATATCTTTCTAGCAATTAAAAACCGCTAAAACCCTATAAACTACACAAAATATCATCAGGAGGTGGAAACAAAAGAAAGTGTTCAAAAATGTATGAAAAATGACCAAAAAGATCAAAATTTTCGAACTTTTTTGTAACTTTCTCGCAATTAAAAACAGCGAAAAACAAATATAAAAATACATAATGTATCATCAACAGGTCGGCATAGGTGGAAAAACAGAAAGTAGTCCCCCCCGCTAACACTACAGAACCAAAGTTGTTACCCTGCTCCCGATCTGACACTTCTGCCCCCACTTCTAAACACAAGCCCCGGTCAGAAGCACAAAGCATAGTACGGAAATGATACTGGCGTGATATGAAGGCCATAGATAAGGCGCCGGCCAGACTTGTGATTATTGGCGGGTGTGATGATGCGCGCGCTTCTGATCGGCGCCCTTTTCTGTGCCCTAGTGCCCTATTCTCAACCTCTAAATGTCCTCATCTACCAGCCGACATTCGGCCATTCACACGTCAATTTTGTGGGGAAAGTAGCCGATGTGCTCGTTGCTGCGGGTCATCATGTGGTGGGTCCTAGAGCTTATCCTAAACATTAGAAAAACAGCAAAAACTAACGCTTTTTTTCTATAAAAATTATTCAGGTGATCGTTCAAACGCTTCTCGACCCGAAGCTTGGCCCCGGAACAAAGAAAGCTGAGGTAAGAAATTTCGGTTCTGGACTGTTAGCGGGGGGGATTTTTAGCGAGGGGACCAATTTTTTTCCCTGTGATTCTCTACGGCCCTATAGCAAAAACTAAACAATTTTTATAGCATTTTACATAGCTTTTAGATATAAAAACCATCAAAAAAATCAAAAATGTTCAAAAAATGTTGACTCTTTGTCAAAAATGTACGAAAAAACCAAAAAAGATATAAATTTTTAATTTTCGAATTTTTCAAAATATGTTTACCCTTTATAGCAATCAAAAACTACTAAAAAAACACTATAAAAATATTACAAACAGGTGGAAAAACAAAAAGTGCTTCCCCCCCGGCTAACAGTACGGAACCGACGTTTTCTCGCTAAAAATTTTTTTTAGGTGATCCGCCTGGAGCTAACTGAAAAGGGCAAAGAATTGGCTCATGTCGTGGACGAAACCCAGAAAGTTCGATGGATCACGCCGACCTTCTACTTTTTGTCGATGCGCCAGGTGCTAGCCGATTCTAACCTTTTAAAAACTAAATCTAGATGATGGTGAAGTTCCGGGCGCTTAATAAGCAGACCTGCATGGGTAATTTTATAATGAGTGTAAATTCTTAAAAAAAGCTTTTAGAGTTATAATTAAAAGATAAAAAAATAAAAGATAGAGATAAAAAAGCTAGAAAAAAGCAGTTATGATTAAAGCAAGATTGAACTAGGATTTATTTCCAGACGTTTATGGCAACCAAACGTTCATGGATCAGCTTCGGGGCTACAATTTCGACATTGGCTTCACACAGCCGTTTGATGCCTGTGCTCTAGGTCAGTTCCTACTTATGCATTTATTGCACTCACATCTAAGCTTTCAACCATTCTCATTTAGGCCTTTTCCATGCCCTCGGCATCGACAAGTACAATATACTCCTCTCAACACCACTCAGCAACTCATTTGCCTCGCTGGCTGGTGCACCCGTCGCATTGAGCTATGTTCCTGGTCAGTGAAGGCACTACAGGGTCTCACAAAAAAAGAACCCACTTCTAGCGGTCCGGAGTGATGTCCGATTTTGAAGATTTGGGTATCTATTGAAAGCTCTCGACGAGCTGAGGAGATATCTTTTCTCCGATTGTTAAAATTCGCGAATTTTCAAGCCGATTTTCATCGTTTTCTGGGCGTAAATTACGCAATTTTGTTCAAGAACTCAATTTACTCGGCTTCAGTCCCGTCCAAGCTGTGTTTCCTCAAATGCCTTTCAAAAAGCCGACCTTGGGCTGCCAGGAAAGATGTAAAAACTTGGAAAATGGGGTTTTTGTTAAAACACATGCATGGGAAAAGCATCGAAAATTCAACCAATTTCGCAAAAATGTTAGTAAATGTGATAAAAATACGGGTATTTGAAAAATCGGAGTGAACATATCTCCTCAGATCGTCGAGAGCTTTCGATAGATACCTAAATCGTCAAGATCGGACATGACTGCGGCCAGTTAGACGGCCATCGATTTTTTTTGAGACATCCCGGATATAAAAATACCAGATGGTTCCAGTCGCTTCGCGACTGTAACCATCTGGCCTTCGGGTTACCCTTGATGTAATACACCTAACTATCCACCTACTTCTACTAACTACCTAAATACCTTCCCGAAGGCTTTAGATACGCCCCCTAGCTGAAATCCCTTTCAAAAACTACCTAAATACCTTCCCGATGGCTTAAGATACCTCCCCTAGCTGAAATCCCCTTCAAAAACTACCTAAATACCTTCCTGATGGCTTCAGATACCCCCCATGGCTGAAATCCCCTTCAAAAACTACCTAAATACCTTCCCGATGGCTTAAGATACCTCCCCTAGCTGAAATCCCCTTCAAAAACTACCTAAATACCTTCCTGATGGCTTCAGATACCCCCCATGGCTGAAATCCCCTTCAAAAACTACCTAAATACCTTCCCGATGGCTTAAGATACCTCCCCTAGCTGAAATCCCCTTCAAAAACTACCTAAATACCTTCCCGATGGCTTAAGATACCTCCCCTAGCTGAAATCCCAGTCAAAAACTACCTAAATACCTTCCCGATGGCTTAAGATACCTCCCCTAGCTGAAATCCCCTTCAAAAACTACCTAAATACCTTCCCGATGGCTTAAGATACCTCCCCTAGCTGAAATCCCCTTCAAAAACTACCTAAATACCTTCCCGAGGCTTAAGATACCTCCCCTAGCTGAAATCCCCTTCAAAAACTACCTAAATACCTTCCCGATGGCTTAAGATACCTCCCCTAGCTGAAATCCCCTTCAAAAACTACCTAAATACCTTCCTGATGGCTTCAGATACCTCCCCTAGCTGAAATCCCCTTCAAAAACTACCTAAATACCTTCCCGATGGTTTAAGATACCTCCCCTAGCTGAAATCCCCTTCAAAAACTACCTAAATACCTTCCTGATGGCTTCAGATACCCCCCATGGCTGAAATCCCCTTCAAAAACTACCTAAATACCTTCCCCGATGGCTTAAGATACCTCCCTAGCTGAAATCCCCTTCAAAAACTACCTAAATACCTTCCTGATGGCTTCAGATACCCCCCATGGCTGAAATCCCCTTCAAAAACTACCTAAATACCTTCCCGATGGCTTAAGATACCTCCCCTAGCTGAAATCCCTTCAAAAACTACCTAAATACCTTCCCGATGGCTTAAGATACCTCCCCTAGCTGAAATCCCAGTCAAAAACTACCTAAATACCTTCCCGATGGCTTAAGATACCTCCCCTAGCTGAAATCCCCTTCAAAAACTACCTAAATACCTTCCCGATGGCTTAAGATACCTCCCCTAGCTGAAATCCCCTTCAAAAACTACCTAAATACCTTCCTGATGGCTTCAGATACCTCCCATGGCTGAAATCCCCTTCAAAATCAACCTAAATACCTCCCTGATGGCTACAGATACCTCCCCTACCCGAAATCCCCTTAAAAAACAAAAATAATGACCGACCGGATGGAATGAGAGCAAAAAGAAATGAAATCCCCGTGAAAATTTTCATCCACGAAACGCGCGACCTGGCTCACTATGTCCAAAATCAGCCCAACCTCTGTCCCCCACCCCTTTTACTAAGGAAAAAACTTTCAAAGTTAATTTTAATAATTTAAACTAAAACTTTTTCATATTTTTTTTATCATTTTGGGGGTTTCTGACCACGCTCTATCCGAATCCGAAGAGAGCTAAGCTCTAGCTCTTTTCCCCTTCGAGTTGAATTCGGCTTCGGACGGACGGACGGACAGACGCGTCAAGAAAATTATTATAGTTGATGCTCTTTTTTTAATAGGAATGTCCCTTGGCACCGATGAAAAGATGAATTTCTTGGAACGGACGAAGAATGCCGTATTCTACCTGTTCGAGCAGGTTACAAAAAATAAAAATACCTCATGCAGATGTTCAGTACGCGGTGAGGAACATGATGACGCAACTGGATGACTACTTCATCTCGCAGGATCCCACGTATCCAGGGGGCCTAGTAAGTTAGACGCAAAAGTAAATAAGAGTTCTTTCTTAGGCCCAGTATGCCGGCGCCTGTTTCCTGATGCCGAATTCAGAGCCATTATTTGATTTTCCCAGGCCAACCATACACAAAATTGTCAACATCGGCGGCATCTCAGTTCCCCCAGCATCCGCGAAAAAATTAACGAAAGTAAGTCCTAAAATTTTGCACACAAGGATTATAACAGGAATGGGACGAGATTCTAAACCGAAGGGAACACACAATCCTCATCTCCTTCGGGTCGCTCTCAAAGAGCATCGACATGCCCGAGGAATTCAAAGTTGGACTAGTGGAGGCATTGAAAAGGTTCGTGCTTTTGCACTTGGGTTGGGCAGTCCGGTTTTTGACTACAAGGCGCTCCAAAAACCCTTTTTTTAAACTCTGCCTCCGGAAAAGATAAGTTGAGTCTTGGCCTGAGCTTGGTTCGACCAATTAAAGCTAACCCCTAAATTACCCCATTTTGACCTCGCAAGGCAATTTAAAGCTTAAGATAAGCTTAGCTTTGGCTTCAGCTTAAGCCCAAGCCTACGATAAGCCTAGGCTTAAGCTAAGCTAAGCTAACCAAATAGCTTAAGCGGAGCGCCTCATAATCTCTTACTACCCGTTTCGGAATGCCACCCCCCTAACTGCATTAGCACCGAAAGGTGTGTCTCCTCACTACCCATAAACTACCGCTTTCCTCTAGCATTCCCGAGACAACATTCATTTGGAAGTACGAGGACCCCAGCGACGAAAGTGTGAAACGAGGAGCTGAAAATATTGTCTTGTCTAAATGGGTACCACAGACGGACCTTCTCGGTAAGAATTTAATAACTAAAGCAATTAAAGGGTTTAGGCGACCAAAGGCTAACCGGCTTCATCACTCATGGAGGAGCTGGAAGCACCTATGAACTTGCTTTGCGGGGCAAAAAGGTATGGTTGTTATGCTCTCTCACAAATTTTTCAGGCGATCGTGATCCCGCTTTTTGGAGACCAGCACCACAATGCGAAAATGATCAACCGACAGGGAGGGACGATACTTTTAGAAAAGGAGGATCTGAAAGACCAGCCCAAGCTGATTGAGACCATCAAACAGCTTACCGAGGACGCGCGGTAAGGGCAAGTTGCTCACAAAAACCTAATGATACAGAATGGAAAAAGCCGCAAAGCGGTTAGCCGCGACAATCGCTGAACGGCCATTCACGCCCCAGGAGCTTCTACTTAAATACACCGAATTTGCCGCAAAATACGGTAGGGATACTTAATTTTAATTACTAATATCTTAATTTTTTTAATTTTAATACGAGCCTCTCTCATCTAGGCCCATTCCCACAACTCGATCCACATGGCAGACATCTCTCGTTCGTCACGTATCATCTTCTTGACGTTCTCGGGCTCTTCCTTCTTTCCATTTTTGTTGCCACATTTTTGATAGTCTATTGCCTGCGGAAGCTGTTATTTTCAAGAAAGCTCAAGAACGAATAAATCTTTATTAAAAACAACAATAACTCAAACAAATTCACTACTCAGCTATATCTAACGAGGAAGCGCACGAGAAGAGGATGGACAGTACACCCGTATTGCTATTGAATATCCATGGAAACAACACACAACAAAACAGAAGCACACGATGCTAAAAACTAAGGAGCAAGTAATACCACAAAAATCGATTCAAAGGCAGTCGAGAGGCGAGGGAATTTTAAATTCTAAGAAATTTGAAAGGCTAGACGGTGATGGCCGAGTCTTGATAATGGGCCTCGAGTAGTTTCCAAGCCATCGCTGGGTTCAGCTCTTCCATATCGCGACACATCACCCATACGTGTTGTTGGCGGACAGCATTGTTCTAAGAAAATGAGTTGCATCGAAAATTGAAAAGCGAAATACCGGATCGCCAATGACCACTTTGCCTTCCTGGTTTTTCACCACCTTGATAACGTAGACCTGAAAATGATAAAATTAGCCGAAAAGGAAAGTTCGTTCTTTAGGATTCACCGAGGGGAACCATTTTCTTTTCCTGGCGCTCCCAGTTAGCCTAGTAATCAAATATAAATTGGTTTTGCATTGTTTTTAGTAAGTTTTAACTAGATTTAAAGTAAAAAAACTTAATTTGAAAAAGTCGAAAATTTGGTCATTTTCAGACGCAAAAAAAATCAATTTTTCGACCTAAAACTAAATTTTTCATTAAAATTTGTATATTTTTCATGCTTAGGAAAGCTAAAAATAATTGAGAAACCCATCCGCTATTTATAAAAAAAATAAGGCTTGGGCCGAAAAAAAATTGGTTTCCACGCGAATTCTAAAGAACCGGAAAGTTTGCTAAAACGAACCTGGAAAGAGATCACCAGCACCGGGCCCTGCTCAACCATCTTTCCGGAAACCAACTAAAGGGAAATTGTGAATAAAGAACAGTGAAAAAGTCCGAACCTCCACTTTGCTAACATCGATGATCTTACTGTCACGCGTGTGGTAATGGATCTTTTTCAGCTCGGCAATCACGTTAGAGAGCATCATATAAGCCTAAAAGGGAAAAAATGGCCCTCCCTCCAGCAGACAAACCCGTTCGTAACACCAATCCTGTAGAACTTCTTCGTCCATCCGGACAAAAGCCGCCTCCAGAATATTGGGGATGATTTCCTTTTCACAGAAGCGCAACCATTGATTCTAAAAAATTATTATTGGAACCGGTTTTTTAGGATTCGCGGGGAGGTCTAATTTTTTTCGGACGAGCCTAATTTTTTTATAAATAGCGGATGCGTTTGTCAATTCTTTTTAACTATTCCTAAGCATAAAAACTATAAGAATTTCCACTAAAAATTAATTTTAGTCGAAAACCAGGGTTGAAAAGCCGCTTCGCGACTTTTCAACCCTGGCCCCGTTTTGGACCAATGAAAGCGTGCATTTTGCATAATCCGCCCGACCGTTGCTGAAAAAAAGTGAAAAATGCACTCTCTGCTCCTTTATATAGGCTTACCCCCATTTCCGGTGTATGCTAATTGATTCTTAACAAAGAGGGTCTCGGATTTTTCAACAAAAACTAAAATTTAATGTCGAAAATAGGCGATTTTGATAAATTTGATGAGCGTGCAGTCATCTCCAGCCCATTACGCTCCTAATGACGTATCAAACATGCAGCTAACTACTCTCCTTCTTGAGATACTACTGGAACACGCTGACGGAAGTTGCATGCAAAGTGGCACACACACACACACACACAAACACTATTTTTTTATATATAGTAGGATTTGATTTTTCGACCCGAAATGGCGATTTTCGACTTTTGAAACCTTCTTCTAACCTTTTGAAAGTTTTCTACCTTAAATATAGTTAAAACACACTAAAAACTATGTAAAACATTTTAGATTTCATTACTAGGCCAACCGGGACCGCTAGGGAAAAACTTGGTCCCCGCGAATCCTAAAGAACCTTGGAACCAGATCAAAATATACCCGGTCAAACGATGGGTCGACTTTGGCGATCTCGGTCAGTACGTCCGCCACTTCGTTAGAACCGCCTGCAAAAAAAATCGTAGCTAACTTCTGAAATATCTCAAACTCACTAAAAAGGCCAGACACCCGCTCGGTCACCCCGCGAAGAAGGCGGACGCCGATGTTGTCGCTTTCGTCATAGCGGATCTTCCAATCGAGCATTTCTAAACGATATTTAAAACCTGGACCGCGATCTCACTATTGTAATATTTGTTGTCCTCGGTGAATTGACCCCATCCGGCATACCAACGCGACTCCTTGTGCAATTGCACATCGGTGGCCTGGCTGAAATAGAAAATTCAGACAAGCAATCATCTTGAATCTCAACATTCGTAAAAACATACTCGTTGGCAGCCACCGTACGTCGCTCCCATTCTTGGCTCAGCGTATTTTCGCTGCGTTTCTTCAAATTTTCTAAAATCCCAATCAGAAGGCTTGCACAACGGTACCAGGACGACTGTACATCCGAACGTCGGCGATATCGTCGATTTCTTTCTTGACACTTTTGACACCCTAAAAAACAACGTAGTGGCTGCTCTGAATTTCTTACCGTTGAAACGGTTTTGTAGACTTCGGTGTCGCCAACTTTCTCAGCAACTTTCTCGATTTGCTCGGCGGCGACACGGGCCTAATTCGCAGTTTTACAAAGGAAATACCCACTTACTTGCTTTAAAGCCTCTTCCCCCGCCGCCGTCAACTTCTTCCCGGCTTCCGTCTTTTGAATTTCGTGCACAAGCTAAACGGGCCTGTATTTTCAAAAACGACAAAACCGACCTTGGTCATTTGCTCTGTCAGCTCCTGCATTTTCACCTTGATCACCTCGGAACTCTTCACGCTTTCTTTTTCAACGATCTCCTAAAATGGCGTTGTCTGAAAGGTCATGAAAGTCCTCACAAATTTCTTCCTAGCCTCCTTCAGCGCCTCCGTGTCGTTCAATTCCTTCATTCTCTCATTGAGCTTCTTCTTACTGTCCTGGAAACAAACAATAACTACAATAAACGGTGGCAACCTGCAACTCCTTGTTACGCTCCAGCTCCTCCTTGACATTATCGATGAGGTTCCCAAGGAATCCCTTTCGGCCCGGATTCGGGGCGCTGTATAGGCGGGCTTGTCGTAGTTCGATGCAGGGTACTTCTAGGCGCCTCTGAAGCACGACCTAACAATTTTTCGTGATTTTTGACGAGAAGTTGCTGACCTGGGGCGTGAAGATGCTGGATTGAGGGACTGTGCGGCTGACGAGCCGGGTCACAGTTATAGCCCTTCGCATCCCTGAAAAAAATACGGTTGACTCGGGGACTGTTACAATAGGTTTATTATTGAGTTTTAGGGCCATTTGTATAGTACAGCCGGAACAGCCGTTTCGAGATAGTAAGGAAAAGGGAGAGAGAGGCCGAGAAAAATGTTTGCGCTCTCTCCCTGCGCCCACTATTTCTATCCGGCAGTGTTGGTTTTAACGGCTGTACTTTACTAATTGCCTTTATTAATCGGTTTTAGTTTATTTTCTTTTATTTAAATTTTAAAGAATTTTAAAAGAAGTGATGAAAACCACAGTTTTTATTTTGAGCAAATCCAAGGTACACGACGGGCGGGTTATGCGCGTCGATAGGAGCCACCGGAGGGTAAAGCATTCCAAGCTTTCCCGATCATCTCCGCAAAAACTTTTATTAGAAAAAACTTTACTTTTATTTATTATTTATCTTTATCCTTTTTTAGGTTATTACAATGCCTTGGAATATTCACTTTTTCCAGGGATGGCAGAGCGAGCCGGCCGCTTCCTCCTCTACTGGAAGGCCTACTACCACAATTTGATCCGGAAGTTCCCTGAACAAACGATCACGGCCACGATGCTCATCCCGCCCACCATCGGCATCCTTCTCTACAAGCTTGACTGGTTGGTATTTTGATAATTAACTTGAAAAGTGCGTTGAAAGTAGCGAGGGCGTGATTGCGCGTCCAGCGCATCTGCCTTTTGTCCTTCAAAAAATTCGCCGTGCGATCAGACTAACCATTTTCTCGGCAGCTTGTATTATCACGCCTTTGCGTCCTCCTGTATTGAACGCCCGGCGTTTTTATAAAAGTTGACACTTTTTGCAGAGCATTATTTACAGGAGGGTGTTATTTCTAAACCAGTAGGCGTTTTTTAGTGACAATCAAGTTGCCTTCTAGGATAAACCCTATATTGCAGAATTTAGCGCTGATTCTGTATCTGTTTTCAGAGGCTGCAAAACTAGATTTTAAAAAGTTATCAAGGTTTTAAGTGCGAAAAAGGCCTAAAATGGCCCAATTCCAGCATTTTTTTTTTGCCCTGAACAGCTGCATAATTTTTCAAATCTAATCGTTTCTCAGCTTTTGAAATCGGGTTCGGAATCAGCGTAAAATTCTGCACAAGCTAGGCTTGGTCCGGTATGGAAACTCGCTTTTCACTTAGAAAACGCCCATTTGTAAGGGGCTCAAAAGGGTCTTCAATACAAGCTGATCTTTTTACTTTTTAAACATCATAAACGGTTACGCATTTTTCAGGTATTCGAAGCAAGGAGACAAGCCATACTACAGGGGTTACTACGCGGTGTACCGGCCCGACGATCCTCTCGTCAGCTACTGGAGAAAGTGAGAATTTCTGCCCATTTGCAAACTTGAATCTTTTAGGCCCGAAGAATATCCGGCCCCGTATCTCCTGCCCGAACTCAAGTATGCGGCCGGCGTGCAGAGGGATTAGAAAACCAAGCAATAGCTTAGCACATTTTTATAGTCAAGTTATTTGTCCTTTTCTATGAATAAATCTGTACGTTAAATAATGAGTATCTCGCGTAAAAACGATACAGGAGGATTATCCAGGTCGCTTTTTTTATATATTAAATCCTGTATACAAATTCATCGTGCTTTCAGCTTACTCGAATATATAGCAACAGGACGTCGAGGTTGTTCTGCTATGGTCTGCGATAAATGTAAGATAACTTTTAATAACTCATCTACAAAATAATAGTTACCCTACGCTAGTTTTATATGCCCTTTGCAAAAAAAAAATTTCACTAAATACCCGGTACTTAGTCTCAAACACCAAGGCAATCCAAAAAACATAGTACATTTACTAAAATAGTCGAATATATACCCTATTAGATAAATTTAAAATATACATTTTCTATAATTTATCACTTTACCATTTACTTTATCCTTTTCCATTCACTTTTCGACTTCTTTCAACCATAAACACATTTTCTAAACCAAACGCGCCAGACCATTACGCCATGTATATCCCTTTTCTCTGCCCCCTCTCTCTGCCCCATGATACCTACCCCCACGCGGTAACTCAAAAATTCCCCCCCACCACAATCTAGTTAAACCTTCTCAACCAAATACTTCATTATCCTTTAATTTTCATCTAACAAACCTTTCCTACCAAAATTTATCTAATTTCTTTCGCTAGGGATTCCAACTGAGGATGACCCGACCCTAGTGTAAATTGCCTGTCTTGGACAAGGGTCGAAACAGGCCAATTATTTTACTTTCTTTAGCCAAACTCCATATTGGAGTAACCTTTTTTCTCAATTACATGATTTTCTTTAATCTTAGCTCACTATATTTATCATTTCCTTTCATTTATAGTTACCTATGTTTACCCGACCCGTAGGGGAAACCCATGGACGGGATAATCATAGTGTATTCTACTTTCCTAACATTACCTTTTCCTTTATACTTTCCTTTTATCATGTCTTCTACCCAGTCCTTTTACAATTTTCATACTCATTCTCTCAGTTGTAGTCTCCTTTTGGACTCCGCCCTCTGGGTTTTACGCTCTTCGGAGCACCGCCCTTCGGGGTTAAACCGCTCTTCGGAGCACCGCCCCTCGGGGGTTAAACCGCTCTTCGGAGCACCGCCCTTCGGGGTTAAACCGCTCTTCGGAGCACCGCCCTTCGGGGTTAAACCGCTCTTCGGAGCACCGCCCTTCGGGGTTAAACCGCTCTTCGGAGCACCGCCCTTCGGGGTTAAACCGCTCTTCGGAGCACCGCCCCTCGGGGTTAAACCGCTCTTCGGAGCACTGCCCTTCGGGGTAAAATCTACCCTTCGGGGTAAAATCTACCCTTCGGGGTAAATTCCTGCCCTTCGGGGTTAAACTCTCGGTTCCTAAGGAACCATTTCCTTTAGAAAAATCATTATCACCTATATTCTTTTTACCGTTATATTCTCTTTTTATCTTATCTTAGTCCAAAACAAACTTAAATTCTTTAATATACTCCTTAAAACTTCACTTTATCATAGTTTTCAGTTACCCACCACCTGTCTCTACCTATTTCCATTAAACCTGCCCACTTTTAACTAGCTCTTTTCTTCTCTATACCTAATCTCAATGTACAACACAACAAAATTAAACCAACGATTAAGCCGATATATTTAAATTATTCCTTCAAATGAGCCTTAGCCATAAATTTTACAACTATAATATTATTACATTTTCACCCAGAAGCGATGTTATGTTAACAAATCATTACTAACTGTGCCGTTTGGTGATCTGGTTCAAGAGGTTATCGGCATACGTTTAGGTCGTTGGATAACCGCCTTGCTCATTCGGCCTTACCGCTGGGAATCGTATGCTTCCTAGCACGGCGCTGATGAGGCGCAAATTACGACCAAACCATTGGGTATTCTAACGTCGGACCCCTTTGGTATACTTAGACGTGTCAACACTTCAAAACCCTCTCTCTCTTATTATGGGCTTGTTGAGCATAGTTCAACCAAAGTAGGTAGAAAAATTAATTTCATTGATAAAGAATATAGTGATAAAATAGGTACAAAATGCAACAGAAGTAATTGTACTACTTGTAAGGATCTAGAATTTGAAGCTATTATACATAGTAACTCCACTAACTATTATACAAGAACCAACCAATATAATCAACCTAATTGTCAAACACAAAATGTGATATACTGTCTTACTTGCAAAATCTGTAATCTACAATACGTAGGCGAAACATCTAGAAAAGTCACCCAACGTATGTATGGTCACAAATATTCTATCAAAAAGAGAAAATCCGGATTCATCTACGATCACTATCGTACTCATTTTCCTAATGGACAAACAGATAATATGTTTCATATACACATTTTGGATGATCATATAGAAAATCAAGACAACCAGATACGTACAGACAAAGAACTATACTGGATAAAACTTCTAAATACTGCCTATCCATTTGGACTGAATGATAAAATTAAAGGTTACGGAGTTATATCTAATCCCAATGGAAAATTATCCACCCAATCGCCATATTTCGCTCTCAAAATTAAACCACCACCACGTAACAGAGGTATACGCAAAAACAAACGTAAGACTAAATCCTATAATTTTGATTTCAATCAATTCAAACTAACACAACTTAAAGCTAACGAAATTAGAAATATTACACACAATTTACCTAAAAAAATGTACGGAAAATTAACACCTTACTTAGAACATCATAACCCAATTGTCAAAGCTTTTGCAAAAGCCTCTATCCATAAATACAGTCAAATCGAAAACCAAGTAAAACCAAAAAAGAAACATCCTAAAATACGTATAAAAGTCCCTTATCTAGAACCAAGTATAGAACGAATTAATTGTAAAAGAATTATTAAAGAATACCTGAATAAAGCAAAAATAGAATTCAACACTGACTTCCAAATAACTTATGAATATAACCCAACCTTAGGTCAATTATTATTTAACTATAATAAATTTCTCACTAAACTTGGAAACAATCATATTAAACATAATTCTACTCACTGTAATAATTGTTTCGATTTCCAGAATCAAAATAATAGTGTTAACCACAATGGACAAACACACGTGCTTACGGGCGATAGTAATTCACTTTCTAAACACTTCCCAAACACCTATGAAATACTCAAATTAGGCACTAAGTTCCGACCTAGTTTGAATTACACTCAAGAAGATGTAAAATATAAAATGATTACACAATTTGGTAAAGAAATCTCTAAAATAGCTAAAAACGTTAATTTTCAACAAATCAGTAGTGATTTAATCAATTTAATTACTAATTATTGTAGTAATAAAGAGACTACTAAGCTAGACTGGAATGAGATAAGATTATTGCAGAGAAAATTCATAATTACTAGCGTAGATAAAGCCACTTCTAACTTTGCAATAATCTGCCCACTTCTTTACCAACAATTTATTGATAAAGAAATGGGAATACAAAATGGACTTCCTAATGGTAACGAAACTTATATACCATATACGATTGAGAACGAAGAAAATATAATTAAAAGGCATATCAACATACATCTTTTATTTAAAATTATCCCACCAGAGACGCCAAGCCTACCCAAAATATACGGACTACCTAAATTCCATAAAAACCCCATTAAATTCAGATTTATTACTGGTGCATATAATAGCTCAATCAAACCCATTTCTATTACTTTGCATCGTATCCTTAACTTTATACGCCAACACTTACAACGATACTGTTCAGTAATAGCAAATAATACGAACAAAATAGTATATTGGTCTATAAATAACTCCAACCAAGTCAATTTGCTAGAAAATCACGATAAAAATAATATATATATTGCAGATTTTAGTAGTCTTTTTACTAATCTTCCACATTCTATCGTGACACAAGCCATTGATGGTATCCTAGAAATTTGTTTTAAAAACTCTCAAAAGAAATATATAAAAATGGGATACAAATCTTGCTATTATACAAACGAAAACCTTGGTAATAATATCTTTGGAAAAAACGAAATCATGTATCTAGTTAACTACGTATTAAGTAACAGTTTTGTAACCTATAAACAATTACTTTTTCAACAAAAACAAGGTATCCCTCAAGGACAAAACTGTAGCCCTATGCTAGCAGACTTAACTTTAACATATTACGAATACATTTATCTCAAAGAAAAAGCTGATAGCAAGATTGTAGGATACAGATACATGGATGATATACTTATACTTTACAAAAACTCCATTGATATTGAAAAATATCTATCCGAAATTTACCCCAAAGAGCTTACTTTAGAACGAACCAACTCTAGAAATGATTGCGGAAATTTTCTAGACCTAAAAATCTACACTCAAAACAATATAACACATACCGAATTATATAATAAAGTAGATGATTATAAATTTAAGGTCACACGCTTACCAAACTATTGCTCAAACATCTCCTATTCTATCAAACACGGGTGCGTGGAAGGAGAAATTATCAGAATAGCTCGAAAATGCTCCCAACAAAAAGATCTAATTAAACACATAAAACTTTTAATAACTCATCTACAAAATAATAGTTACCCTACGCTAGTTTTATATGCCCTTTGCAAAAAAATTTTCACTAAATACCCGGTACTTAGTCTCAAACACCAATGCAATCCAAAAAACATAGTACATTTACTAAAATAGTCGAATATATACCCTATTAGATAAATTTAAAATATACATTTTCTATAATTTATCACTTTACCATTTACTTTATCCTTTTCCATTCACTTTTCGACTTCTTTCAACCATAAACACATTTTCTAAACCAAACGCGCCAGACCATTACGCCATGTATATCCCTTTTCTCTGCCCCCTCTCTCTGCCCCATGATACCTACCCCCACGCGGTAACTCAAAAATTCCCCCCCCCACCACAATCTAGTTAAACCTTCTCAACCAAATACTTCATTATCCTTTAATTTTCATCTAACAAACCTTTCCTACCAAAATTTATCTAATTTCTTTCGCTAGGGATTCCAACTGAGGATGACCCGACCCTAGTGTAAATTGCCTGTCTTGGACAAGGGTCGAAACAGGCCAATTATTTTACTTTCTTTAGCCAAACTCCATATTGGAGTAACCTTTTTTTCTCAATTACATGATTTTCTTTAATCTTAGCTCACTATATTTATCATTTCCTTTCATTTCCGGTTTCCCATAAAGTCGTTTAGGCCAACCAAAACTGTCCAAGTTAATCGGCGTCGACCCACTGCGAAATAAGGCCCACAACAAACTCGGCGGCGTCATAAAGACCAAGGCTACCGGCTTGAAGAACAAGGCGCTTGGAAGTGACAAAAAGTGAGTACCTATATTTATTTGGTTCTTTAGGATTTGCGGGGGGAGTAGTCTACATTGTTTTTGCACCATTCCTAAGCATGAAAACTTTACAAATTTTAATGAAAATTAATTTTAGGCCGAAAATTATTTATTTCGACCCAAAATGACCAAATATTCGTCTTTTTCAAACATTTTTCTAGCTTTTTTTGAGCGTTTTTCCAACTTTAAAGATGGTTGAAACTTACGAAAAACAATGTAAAAACACTATATTTGATTACTAGGCCAACCGGGACCGCCATGAAAAAAACTGGTCCCCCGCGAATCCTAAAGAATCGTTGCTGGCAGTTGTTGAACAGCCGATCTTATATCGTTTATTTTTAGAGCCGGCATGGTTGGCGTGAAGTGCCGAGTCTGCAAGCAGAATGTTCACCAGGTTCGTCGTGTTTGTAAAAAAATAAACCTTTTTTCCAGGTTGGCTCCAACTTCTGCCAAACATGCGCCTACCAGAAGGGAATTTGCGCAATGTGCGGCAAGAAGATGTACGAGACGTCGATGTTGAAGCAAAGCGTTGTTTGAAGGTTTCCTCTTTCGGGTATATTTATTTTTGATCTTCATTCCATGTGTGCTGTAAATAAAGCTGAAATGACGAAACCATGGTCCACCACACGCGAGATTTATGCAGCAGAAAGAGTGTGGAATATTTGTGCGTTGTGGCCAGGCCCTCCGCAACGCCTTTTTTGGGCGGCTGAGCTCTCCGCATAAGGACATTCTTTTCGGGAGGCGCGCAAAGAAGAAGCCCGCTCTACCTCCCTAGCTATCCAAAAGCCCGGGGGGATGTTCTTGGAGACGGGCGTTTGATGTTTGGGACTGACCGAGCCGTGCCTAGGATCTCCGATTACCGATTTTGCCGTTGACTTTGCCCTTGAGTTTTGTGACTTTCAATTTGACGTTTTTTTAAAGTTAAACAAAAACAGTTACGATGAATTCCGTCGCTTTAGGCTCCTACTCCAGAAAAATTTAGACAATCACCACCCCTGGGAGCCGGCTACTGCTTGGTAACCCAGGCGATTTTTTTTGTCGCGCAACCCGGCCGCAAATTACACCCGTCTGGGCGTCATAATGAGCCGTATGGCTGCCCAATTTTTTGCTAAACTAGCGAGGCCCATGAATTTAGTTCTTGCTCATTTTCTTATTGAGCTTACGAACCGATTTTCCATAGCGAACTGAAAATACTTTATAACATTCTTTTCCACTATGCCGCTTTTTAATAACTCCGACGCGTTCGAGCCGACTTTCACTGAAGAACAGCGGTTCTTTGAAAATATGAATCAGTTTCGTTCATGAGCAATCATTGGGGCAGCGAAAAACCCCCGAAATGGCGTGGCTCTCTTTCTTGACGGGCTTTACTAGTCGTGTAAAACAAATAGAGCCTAGCACACATAGCGCACCGTCGATACGGCCAGTCTCCATTGATCATTTCCGGCGACTGATCGGGTTTTTTTAAACCGGCTAGAGCCGGCTATTTCCGCTCTTCTAGGCCTTTCTGAATATTCTTTTTGCTTTGAGCATCAAAGAACAATATTGTGAACGATTCGCGGCGTTCCCACCGAACAAAAATCGCGTGTTAGTCTTTTTCGGGGCGGCAGCATTCGGCTTAACCTCGGGATTCGGCATGTGTCAGCCCCGGTAATTAACCACCCGATAGAGTTTAGGTTCCCCGACCAGTTTACTCCCGAGCCAGCCAATCAATTCGAGTTCAGTTTTGGGTCCATAGGGTTTGAATTTCGATCACTTTTCTTTTTTTAGACCTGGAACTATGTGCGTTCTGCTGCTTGATAAATTTCTTTTCCCCAACCTTACTAAACTTTTCTCTATCCCCCACCCGCTCTCGTACCCGGAAATGAGCTATCACCTGTGGATCATCACCATCCCTTTGCAGGGTCCAGGGCAAGCATTTTGTTTGAACCCAGGCTGAAAAAGACCCCCGCATTGCCCTTTTTACTTTTGCTCATGTTATTTTTGTCGCCCCTGATCAGACAGGGCGATCGAATGACGCCGAATAATGTAAACGTCGGCCCTGATAAGGAATGAGCATGAGTCACTCGTTCCAACGGCCCCGTAACATGATTACAAAAAGCTTTTGACCTAACGATTTTGGCGTCTTGCAAATTCTGTTTTCCCCCAATTGAACTTTTATGGATAGGGGCCGAGCGGTCTGTTTGCAAATAGTCACACTAGGCGAAATACAAACACCACATGGGCTCTCGGCAACACCGAGACGCTTGCCTTGTACTGAAATGGGTGCTTTGTTTAATTCGCCAGCCTCTAGTCTGTATATTTCCGGTCGAACAGCGTGGGGTGACTATATTCACAAGGCCACCTACCTTTTTCTGATAGCTGCATCGATTTTGCGCGATTGAAGCAAAGCTAGTTGTCGCCTCAGCTGTTGGCTGCCGCGTTTCCTCACCACACATATTTGCACTTCTGGCGTGGGCCCGGTCCAATGTAATCATTTCTCCGGCATTTCGAGTGTCCACCAGTCTTATTTTGAACGGCATCTTTGGTGGTTGCTAGTTTGCACCGGAATTTCGACGGTGCCTGCGGAATTTTTAGTTTTTTAGTTTTCGAAATGACGAACGGAGTGCCGTGGACCAGGCTCTACCCCTTTAAAATCCTGAATTGGTGTGGCCTGCGAAAATAATTTAGAATTTTCTTTTAGTTCTTACAAAGAGACATTTTTGAGTGTCCACGTAGCTTCGAAATGGAACCAAGCCTGTTTTTTACTGATTTGGGGTATGACAAAGCCGCTCGCAGAAGCCCGAAGCAGAGCCCGCACGCAAAAGCCCGAAGACAGAAGCCCGCAACGACAATGCCCGCAGCGACAATGCCCGCACGACAAGCCCGCAACGACAATTGCCCGCAACGACAAATGCCCGCAACGACAAAGCCCGCAGGACAATGCCCGCAACGACAATGCCCGCAGCGACAAATGCCCGCAACGACAAGGGGCGCAAGCCCGCAACGACAAGCCCGCCATACATTTCGCCCTTGGTGTGGAGACTAGGGCCCGGATGATCGTTGTTGTATTTTGTCGTGTGAATGCTCGTTGGCGAATGTTGCCATCGTTTCTCATCCTAACTCATTCCTTTTGATATTCCACTTGGCTAGTTTGTTGGAGCTAGGTAAGTTTGATGACCCCAAGGCGTCAAAAAAGTAGAAAGTCTGCTGTTTTGCAAAGTTTGTCAAAGGAACTACGCTAAAAGTCGTTGCGGGCTTTTGGTAGTTGCGGGCTTTTGTCGTTGCGGGCTTCTGTTTGCGGGCTTCTGTCTTCGGGCTTTTGCGTGCGGGCTTTTGGTACCTGCGGGCTTCTGTCTTCGGGCTTCTGTCATACCCCCATTTTTTTGCTGGTGAAAACCTCGTTTTCCGAATCGAAATAAGAAAGGGATGACGGCGAAAAGCGGCAAAAGTTGTGCATTTTGGGCATTTTTCAAAATTTAAAGCGTCCTAACTTTTGAAATATGATCGTTTCGCAGATCCTAAAAGGTAAGTTTTGAACAGCAAAAAATTCTGCACAAAATAGGCTTGGTGACTTTTACGTAACCTCCTTGTTAGTTTAGTTTACGTTGTTCGCGACAACAGTCCTTATCGGCTTCTCATATTTCATTTTGTAAACAGAATTATTTTTGTAGACCGGCGGCAACTATCTTATCGCCCTAGTCTGCTTTGAATTCCGATGGAAATTGATGTATCTGGTTTTCCACTATTTCTTTATTGTACTTTTATCGCCCTCATACATTTTTTTCAGCCAGTGACTTCAGCTAATGCAACGGAATTGAAGCGGGTCCTTCAACGAGTATAGTGTTAGTTTTCTGATGAAAAGTTTATTTTGATTGATTTCCAGATATGATCTCGATTTGGCGTCAGCTGCGATACCTGCTCTGGAAGGGGTATTTGGTGAAGAAGCGGCAAAAGGTGAGCCGTAGCTCATATTTTCTTTATATTATTTTAGAAATGGTTTGTGGCAGAGCTGGTGACTCCGCTCGTGCTCTTCATCATCCTCGCCATTATCCGGCTCTTTCACTTCGCGACCGAAGGAGTTGAATGTGAGTTCTAAATTCTGGACATTATAAGCATCGTCTTTAGGCCATTTCGACTCAAAAGGCTTCCCGTCGGCGGGCCTCCTGCCCTTCACCCAATCCTTTCTCTGTTCGATCAACAATAAATGCTACCAACGGGTCACCACTGGCGATGAAGGCTTTTTCATTAACGAGGATACATCCAATCAATCCGCGTACGTTTTCAAAACTTTTAATAACATGACGGTTCTTTGGGATACGCGGGGGGAGTGACCCATTTCGACCCAAAATTACCAATTTTCGGCTTTTCCAAACATTTTTCTAATTTTTTTGAAGGTTTTTTTCTTGAATATAGTTAAAACTTACTAAAAACAATTTAAAAAACTTTTATTTGATTACTAGGCCAAACATCAGGAAAAAACCAAAGATTGGTCCCCTCCCCCCAGAATCCCGAAGAACCACATCATCTGCTATTTTTGTCTCCCTTCAACCATTTTTTTTAGCCTGGTCAGAAGTGTTCGCGAATTGACAACCCAGTTTGAGAATATTGGATCGGAACAGGTTAGCGGAAATACCAGGAGCTTTACCCAGATTTTGATACTTTTATAGGCGCTCTTCAACGACATGGTGGGCGTAAGCGTGGCTGTGCTGAAATTTCTCGCCAACCATGAAGGCCTTCGAATGGATATGGTATCTATTTTTATACTACTTGATCTATTTTCATTTCTAGTTGTTCGAGAAGCGCAAAACAGCCAAACACTTCCGAAGTCTTGACCTCTCACCCGAAATGGCCGACGCCATGGCCGGGGCCTACATCACACCCCGAGGAATGCTGGAACTCCGTGAATATGTAGGAGACTGTCCAAAACTAATCAAATTCCCAATAGGTTACCACTCACCAGGGTGATGATCTATTCGACTTGGTGCTGTCCGCCTGGGAAGAAGTGCCGATGTTCTGCAACCGCACTGTTTTTGACGATTCGTTCTCGTTTCCGGCGGGCTTCAAGTAGACGCTTAGTTTTATTATCTGGAAAAACCATTTTCCAGCATGACCGAAGATGATTATCAACGTGTCTGCGGGCTGCGAGGCGCGGATTTGGGCTGGCTGGCCGGAAAGCTGGACCAGAGAGCCGTTAGAGAACAAGTAGGAAAATATGCCGACCTTTCGAAGCAGTTCAATTTTTAGTTCGAGGCATTGGGTCTGTCGCCGAGCCGGCTGGGAAAGTTATCTTCGCGCATCGGCGATATCCTTCACATGTTTGATCCACTCGTCAACATAGCGGAGATGTGGCGCGGTTTCAACGCTAGTGACAAGCAGAGTCTCTACGATCACTTCTTCTGCGGCCAGGACCCTTGTATGTTTTCAGCCGTTGAAACTCGGTACTTTAGGATTTCCGGGGGACCAATTTTTTCCTGGCGGTCCCGGTTGACGTAGTAATGAAATATAAAGTTTTTTACAGTGTTTTAGCAAGTTTTAACTATATTTAAAGCAGAAAAACTTCCAAAAAAGTTAGCAAAACGTTTCAAAAAGTCGGAAATTTGGTCATTTTGGGTCGAAAAAATCAATTTTTCGACCAAAAATTCATTTTTCTTGAAAATTTGTAAAGTTTTGATGTTTAGGAATAGTTAAAAAACAATGTAGAAAAAATGCATCCGCTAATTCAAAAAAATTTATGCTTGAACCAAAAAAATTTGGTTTTCTCGGGATTCCCGCCCCGCGAATCCTGAAGAACCAGAATCCTTTAAAATCAAAATTTTTAGTGAATACGGAAGCCTCTTCGAATGTGCCGCCACAACACAAAGTGACCACAGTGTTCGACAAAGTATTCGCTCCGGTGATCAAGTGGGTGCTATCATTGGCGTTTTGCTTGTTTCAGAAATATCACCGCCGTTCTGAATTTTTTATTCTTTTTTCAGCTTTGTCTCAAACCTAACGCCTGGCCACGATCAGGGCACTAACCAAACCCATTGCGGCGACATCAAATTGCATGACGGTATTCTGAGGCTTTCATCTGAAATTCAAAGCATTTACAGACTTGGCATGCTCCGAACTTGAGTCACAAGCAATCCGCCAGCTTCGTCCGCTGCTCTCCGGCTTTATCCTTGTCACCCCGGACAACATCGCCACCCGGCAACTTGTCGAAAAAGTTTGTTGAATGTAGAAAGTGACAAAAAACGCCGATTTAGCTGGAGGCCCCATTACGGGAAATGCAAAAGTTGATGGACACTGTGAAGCAGCTGGCCGGTATCAGCGGTCCTTTCCAAAAAGTACTTCACGACAGCCAATTGGCGCATGGTCTTGCGGTATGCATGATTTTCCTTTGAATCAAAATTGATTTAGAACCTGATGGACCTTCTCTACAAATATGAATACATTAGTTCCTCGACGGTAGATGAGGTGAAAAAGTTGCTCGGGCCGGAAGGGCAATCCGGGGCTTTCGGGACGAGGTTGGGCGATATCATGAGTACCATCGATAAATATGGAAAGGTCAGTAGTCTCACTTCTGGCATCTAAAAAACTTTGTCTAGTGCTTCATGACGGATCGATTCCGTTTCGTGTCAAATGAGAGCCGGCTGGAAGAGCTGTCGATTTGCCTACAGCCCCGTCAGCAGTACTTTAGTGCTCTCGTTTTTCCAGTTAGTTTCTGGCCGCGCAATTAATCCTCCGTTTACAGGAAATGAACCCTGATGCTACGGATTTCACGAATACTACCGTTTACAAGATTCGACACGCCCAGCAGCTTGTGGACGGTTGGTCCGAGTAAACTCTGCAATAATAAACCTGTTTTTAGGCACGGACAGCATCGCCGACTCGAACAAAAACGTCGAGCCGAGGAACCACCCACTAGAAGATATGAAATACCTGACGTTTGGATGGTCCTTCCTGCAAGAAGCCGTCGATCGGGCTATCATCCGGCTTGTGGCATGTTTTTAATGCGGTATCAATTGTGTTTTTCAGACGAATGAATCCGTCCCTCTCGGCGTATACTCGCAACAAGAGCCCTACCCTTGCGTGCTCCAAGACCAGTAAGCTTTTTCGGGCCACGGTTAATTCTATCTAGATTCGACGTCACCGGATTTCTTTCCTTCTTTGTCGTATTATCATGGATCATCCCTTCGGCGATGCTTGTCAAGAATATTGTTTATGAAAAGGAGCACAAGCTGAAGGTACCTTGACCCCCTAACTAATTATTCTATCAAAACATATTTTCAGGAACTAATGCGCATTATGGGCCTTGGCGACACCATCCACTTCATTTCATGGGCAATTTTGTCGCTGGTGCTGAACATCATCTCCGCCCTGTTGATCACCATCATTCTATGGGTACACCAGTTTTGAACTTCCTAAAACGACAACATTTTACAGGCCGGTAATATTCTTGGCCACACCGACCCGTCACTGCTGTTTTTCTTGCTGACCTTGTTCGCCTTCTCTTCAATAGCACAATCGTTGCTGCTCACGACATTTTTCTCGTAAATTTTCTGGTTATGGATGTATCCGAATTTTCCAGAAGCTCAAACATTGCCACCGCGGCGACAGCACTGATGTGTCTGCTTTTCTCGTTTCCGTTCATGCTGTCGAAGAGCATCGTCTCTAAAGCCTACTCCAAGGCTACGGTATCGTATCCCCCGCTTCTAGACGTCATCTATGTATTTGTAGTTGTTACTCCCCCAATCTGCAATCGGCTATGCCTTCCAAATGATCGGATCGGCGAACAAGGAGGATGTGGCCCAATGGAAATATGTTCACCGCATGGCTATTGCTCGTCTGTTTTTCTATCCATATTCTTTTCAAAACTTATGTTCAGAAATGGACGTGAAAATGTGGGAAGTAATGTTGGCTCTCGGGTTTCATACAATCTTCTTCTCGATCCTGGCCTGGTACATCTCGGCATTATTCCCAGGTTGGTATAGAGCTAACAAGGGGGGCGTTTCTAGTGGCGACGGAGTTTCGAAATCGGACCAATCCTATTTTCTGCGGAATTTTTCGCTGATTTAACCCTTGTTTTCAGGATCTGCGAAACGAGCGAAATAAAAAAGTCATGACGATATAAAAGGCGAAAAACGGCAAAAGTTGTCCATTTTGGGCGTTTTTCACAATTTAAAGTTTCGTAACTTTTGAAATATGGTCGTTTCGCAGATTCTAAAAAGGAAAATTTGATCAACGAAAAATTCTGCACAAATTAGGCTTGGTCCCATTGGAAACTCCGTGTACACTAAAAAAAGTCTCCTTGTAAGTACAGTAATGTTTATTTCTTATTACGCAGCGCATGCAACATTTAGGCGTCTACGGCGTGGGGCAGCGTTGGTACTTCCCTTTCACCCTTCGATACTGGATGCCCCAGCGTTTCAACGTTACCGAAGAGGCTTCCTCCAATTCCGGCGGCCCGTTGTATGACGGTACAAGCTTCGTTTTGTAATTATTTTGCGTTTTTTTGTAGAATCACTTGGCTTTGAGTCGGAACCCCGGGAGGGCGTCTGCCAAGTCGACATTGCCGATCTCACCAAAGTATATTCGAGTCAGGTCAAAGCGGTGAGTTTTACTTATTTAGATCAAAAAATCATTTTCAGCTCGATGAGCTGACGCTGCGGCTTTATGAGGGTCAAATTACGGCGCTGCTCGGGCACAATGGCGCTGGAAAAACTACGACGATGTAAGGAATTTCGTAATTTTAAAAAAACCCCCCCCCTCCAAAAAATTTTTTTTTATAAAAAAAAAAAAAAAAAAAAAAAAAAAAATAAAAAAAAAAAAAAAAAAAATTTTAAAAAAAAAAAAAAAAAAAAAAAAAATAAAATTTTTAAAATTTAAAAAAAAAAAAAAAAAAAAAAAAAAAAAAAAAAAAAAAATTTTTATTTTTAAAAAAAAAAATTTTATTAAAAAATTTTTAAAAAAAAAAAAAAAAAAACCCCAAAAAAAAAAAAAAAAAAAAAAAAAAAAAAAAAAAAAAAAAAAAAAAAAAAAAAAAAAAAAAAAAAAAAAAAAAAAAAAAAAATTTTAAAAAAAAATAAAAAAAAAAAAAAAAAGTTAAAAAAAAAAAAAAAAAAAAAAAAAAAACCCCCCCCCCCCAAAAAAAAAAAAAAAAAAAAAAAACAAAAAAAAAAAAAAAAAATCACCCCCCCCAAAAAAGGCTTTTTCCACCCCCCCTATAAAGAATTTTGGCTTCAGGTCACTGCTTTGTGGTCTCTACGGGCCAAGCTCCGGGACAGCTACGGTGGGTCATTGGCCATTAAAGGTTTGCTATTAGACATTAAAAGTTTTGTCTTACCTGATTTCAGATCTATGGCCACGATATCCGAAAGAATATGCGCAACGTCCGTGATGTTCTCGGAATCTGCCCCCAGCATAACGTCCTCTTTCCACAGTATGACCCACCAGCTTCCTCACCTAAAGCCAATTTTCAGTTTGACCGTCCGTGAGCAGCTCCGTCTCTACGCGGTCCTGAAGGGCGTTTCTGATGAGGTAAGATCCGGGACTCTAAATGGATTGGTTTTCTCAGGATACGGAGGAAGAAGTCAACAACATCATGGATAGCGTCAGCTTATGGGAGAAGCGTGACAAACTCGCAGAAACGCTTTCTGGTGAGACATAAAATAACTAATCATCACCGTTTTTAGGTGGTATGAAGCGAAGACTTTCCATCGGCATTGCCCTCATCGGTGGTTCGAAATTCGTGATTCTCGATGAACCCACGGCCGGGGTATTCATTTATTCTCTCGCTAACGCCAAGCCTTTCCAGGTAGACGTGAACTCGCGCAAGGAAATTTGGAGGCTGTTGCTGAAGCATAAAAAAGGTTTGCAAGAATTCGGTCGACTGACGAATGCTGTTACAGACCGAACGATCCTCCTCTCGACTCACCACATGGATGAAGCCGATGTGCTGGCCGATCGGATCGCTATCCTCTCAGAGGGTAAATTGAAGGTAAGTCGCTCGCTGGACTTTTCACAGCCTTTTATAACCTAAAATCTTGGTTTCTTCTAAACGATGGATTTTTTAGGCCCTGGGAAGTAGCGTCTACCTGAAACGCTGTCATGGTCACAGCTACACACTGATCCTGATCAAGGTTTAGTGTCTCTAAATCCGATTATCTGTTTTTTTTTTTGCAGAAGAATCGTTCTCCTTTGGAACTGCAGCGGCCACTTGATGATGTCGCCACCGATATCAAGTGTCGCTTTGTGGAAGAGACGGAAGAAGAAGTAATTTATATCGTCTTTTTATAATGCGGTTTTTCCAGATGATCTACCACATTCCGATCGCCACCTCCAGCCACAGCCTTCAAAAGTTCTTCGAATCATTGGATAAAGTTATGGATGCCCTCGGCTTCTCCAGCTACGGAATACAAGCCCCGTCACTACAGCAGGTCCTCAGAATTTGATGAATCGTTGCAGGAATCAGTCCTTTAGATCTTTGTCAGCCTAGCCCCGCAGAACGAGTACAAGCTGCAAAGGATGAAGGGGCCGATGCGCCGAATTTACGATGCTCTATGCTGTCGTGGCCGTCTCTGTCAGGTATTTTTTTACAAAATTACGGCCCAAAGTATTGCGATTCTGAAAAACGAAAAAAGAAGAAAGAAAAAAGAATATTTTTTTTCTCTAACAACTGTGGGTTCGTTAAAATAAAGAAATACACCTTGTGTCGTTCAGCGTGGCCGCCTCTACGCTAGGGTAAGTGTGCCATGCACCACCCAGCATCACCTCATAGATTTCTAATTTGCTTGAGTGTCTTGACCGATTTGGCCCGCTTTTCGATACCCCCCACTTATTGATGTCGTTCAGTGAGGAGTAGAGTAGCTGGCTAAACAAACAAAAATTATTATACCAGTTTTATAATATACTTTTACAGAGACAATCCGTCGAAGACTGCAATCAGACGCTGATTCATGGAACTGAAGGTATGTGAATTGACTAGATATTAAAACGATCTTCAGGCACCGCCCGGATTGACGCCCCGCTCGAAGTTGTAGATGCCGTCGTCGAAAAGGAAGCCAGTTGGCTAGGTAAGACGCGATAAAATGTCTTCAGAAAACTTTCTTCTGCAGAAACCCCAGTTCCCCTTGATACCTCAACATCTCATCTGAACATCGCCCACGCCAGGGCCCTGTTCGCAGCCAAAACGCTGTTCGCCAAGCGCAGTTGGCGCACCTTCTTTTTCCAGGTGTGCTTTGGTGGTCGGTTCTGGGCTGTTAGCGGGGGGACCACTTTCTGTTTTTCCACCTGTTGTTGATATATCTTGGATTTTTATAGTTTTTAGTAGTTTTTGATTGCAAGAAAGTTCTAAAAAATATTTTTTAATTTTTGAAATTCGAAAATTTTGACCTTTTTGGTCATTTTTCATACATTTTTGACAAATTAGCCAAAATTTTTTGAAAATCTTATTGTTTTTATATTGCTTTTCTATCTAAAAATATGTAAAATGCTATAAAAATGGTTTATATTTGGTTATAAGGCCGTAGAGAATCAGAGGGAAAAATTTGGTTCCCCCCGCTAACAGTCCAGAACCTGCTCGTCGATCTTACATGTGTTCAGATCTTCTTGCCTGTCCTGCTCCTACTCGGCGCCGAGCTGTATTCAAAGTACATCGGCAATCCGAAGGTGTACAGCCGATGGGCGAACAACATTGCCGCCCCACCCCTCGTCCTCACTACGGCACTCTTTGGCGATGGCGCGGAGAGCTATCTCAGGCATGCGACGGCTTTTCTACCCAATCTTCCGTATTTTCAGCATTGTCAGCCCTCGGGAAGAAGGGACTTGGCCGGTGCGTATGGTCGAAACATTTGAAGAAGTGCCAGGCGTCGGCGTGCGCTGTCTCCCCTACACCGTAGAGTACGTATTTACGTTTATTTTACAATTTGAATTTTATTTTTTTGAATAATTTTGTGGTTTTAATTTTTTTTTCAATTTTGGGGTTTTAGGGGGATTGGGGTTTGGTTAATTTTAAAATTTTTAATTTTTATTTTAATATAAATTTTTTTTTTGGTTTTGGTTTTTTTTTTTTTTTTTTTTTTTTTAAAAAAGTTTTTTGCGATTCAAACGAATATTTGGATTCGACATAACGGCGAATCACTTTAGTATGATCGTCCAGGCGAGAGTTGGAACTGCACAAAATGCTAGCGAAGAGTAAGGGGCACGCGCTGTACATTTGGTTACTTCCGTTATCACCCTCAAAATTCGTGTGGATGTCGTTCCGTTTTTAGTTTCCGGGCGAAAACTTTGTAGCGTGTTTGTCCTTTTTTATTTTGGGTACCATATCACTGTTCCGTTACGTTTTGTGGATGTGGTGTCCTTTTTCAGAGCAGACAACGGGACAGTGCTGATGCCGTATGGTCGGAGGGTGCCGGTTCGCGGGCAGTTGCCTGGATATGAGAAGGATAAGAAGACGATAGGAGAGATCATCGACCCTTCAACAGATCATCCAACCGTCTCCCTGATCGAGCACATGGACTACGAGTACCACGGACGGGCCAATTCCGCCCTCGGCCCTCGCTCAATCCGTGCAAAGTGCGTGTTGTCTCGTGTTAACGCCTATTTGTTCTATGTAGTCCGTTCGTTTCGTGTAGATGTACATCTGAAATTTTTGTTAGTACCGGGGTCTTTCAGTATTTTTGGGTATACGTTCCTTTTTCCCGAAATCTCGTTTACGTTTTAGTCGTTTAGAAGATTTTTTTGCTTCTCGGTACATCGGTTCCTCAAACCCAAAATTTTTATGAATAGGGGGGGGGGGGTAAAATTTTTGCCATTTCTAAGCCAAAATTTAATTCAGGAAACGGTTTATTTTAGACAAAAATCAGCGGTATTTTTTCGTTCGTAGGGCATGATAAAACTGGCAAGGGCGAAAGTTACAATGTTTTTTTTCCAAATAACCATGATTTTTAGACATTTCAACCCGGCGTGCTATCGACCGGACGAGGCAGCAGATGATTCCTTTCAACTGCTTGACAACAACCTGACCGGCATCCCGTACAACATCGATTCTGATTGCGGATGTCATCCCGGAATGGGATGGACTTGTACGCAGGTAAATTAAATTTAATTTTTATTTAATTAAATAAATTGTTTAATTAATTAAATTAAATCGATTAAACGAAGCCTCGAGCATTGCCAATAATCTTGAATCAATCCTCGTTAGGATGACTACCCGATCGCCGAACTTCCCTACTTCCTCTCGGCCAACACAACCGATGTGATCCGCGATCTCTCCGGGCGCAATATCACCCAATATCGTCTCATCACACGCTTCGTCCACTCTTACGAAAATATGCACTCGATCATCGGCGGCTGGTCGCTTGGGCACGAAAATGTCCAAGCGCTCAATGGGACAGAAGCCGAAGAGCTGTTCGGAGGGATACAGGATACGGTATTTTTTCGGCCCAAGCTACCTTTTTCTAGAACAAGCGGATACGTTTCTAAATTGTTTTGGCTTTTAACAAGCATACAACTATATAAATATCAATTAAAAAAAATTCAATTTTAGGCCGAAAAATTGATTTTTTCGACTCAAAGTGACTACATTTTGGACTTTTTAAGCATTTTTCTAACTTTTTTGAAAGTTTTTCCGCTTTAAATAAAGTTAAAACTAACCACGACCGCCAGGAAAAAAATTGCTCCTAAAGTACCGGGTTTTTTTTAGTTCTCGCAGCTGGCTGCTGCCGGCTTGGAGCTTGGCCTCAACAGCACGTTGTGGACCGGAAACTCGACAGCGGTAATTTCGATTCAGAAGATGCGCTTTTAACCGTGTTTTGTTCAGATCAACGACACTTTCACCGGGAATATAACCACCGAGCAGGTGATCGGCGACATCCTTGCCCACCAGGACACAAAGGAAAATGTGAAGGTGGGGAAATTGGATTCGCAAATTGCAGTTCAAAATTATTTATTCTTATTGATTTATTATTTATTTACTTATTATTAAAATTATAAAATTCTATTTTTAGGTGTGGTTCAACAACAAAGTATGGCCCTCCCTGCCCATCTACTACAACTCGATCAGCAACGCCCTCCTTCGCGCCATCGCCGCCAACAACTCGCAGCTCGGTACTTTCCCTCTATTAAAAAGAATTTTAAATTTTAGCTGAACATGCCGACAACCTGGGCATCGTCACCTTCAACCACCCGATGAACCGAACGGCGGAGGATTCATTCGACGCCGCTCAAGTGTCCGATGTCCTTTGGTGTTTTTAGTGTCTTTCTGTCTTCGTCCCCCGAGTTTTGGTCGTCTCTTCCTGGTTTTGTCAACGGCGTAGTTTTTGGTCAAGGCCCTTCTCTAGGTTTTCCGTGAAAATCCCGCAAAATTGCGCCCCTTTCGTGAACTACAGCGACTACAGGGTGACCTAATTAAAAATAGCCCCTTGGCATTTGGCCGTCTTCTATCGGATCGGGGCCAAATTTTTACCAGCGATGGGAACTCATAAAAACAATGTACAGCCGAATTTTCTAGGCAAAATATTGTAAAAAAGTTATGACTAACAAACTTATTTTTTTTGGAAATGTTGGGACTCATTGTTGCCGAAGTTGTCTCAATTGACATGCCGATTTTGAGTAATTTGCTGCAAGGTGGTCATTTTGCGTCGTTCTGCCAATTTTGGTAATGAAAAGTGATGAAAAGTCCCAATTTAGACGTAATTTTCGTAAATCGAAAATTCTCCGGGCGGAAAAATGCGTTCTTCATCTTTGGTAAACATTTCGAGGTCCAAATCCTTCAAAATACCAGGGAAATCAGCAAAATAAACCTTATTTTTGCTATAAATTTTTGCTTAGAAAATTCGGCTGCACATAGTTTTTATGGGTCCCCATCGCTGGTAAAAATTTGGTGCCGATCGAATACGGCCAAATGCCAAGGGGCGGTTTTTTTGGAAACCCTCTATATTAAGTTTGGAGGAATATCGCGAAAGGGGACTTTTTTGCGGCCTCGTGTCTCCCAAAATAACTGGGTATTTTTAGGTTGATGCTGGCCATGTTTCGGATTGTGCTGTTGACATTTACGTTCTGCGTGATCCCGGCCGGATTTGCGTCATTCTTGGTGACAGACAGGTGGGATTGACGAACGACTTCAAACGCAAATCCTATGATTTTAGAGAATCGCACAGCATGCATCTTCAACTGGTATCTGGGATGAAGCGAAAGATGTACTGGTCCGTCGAATACATCTTCGACTTTGTGAGGGATTGTTTTGCTTTGACGAATCGGTCTCCTTGTAGATGATCTTCCTCCTGGCAAGCTTTGTCGTGCTGGGGATGTACGCGATCGTCGGCGTCAACGAACTCACCGTCAATTTCCACACGGCCATGTCTTTCCTGACGCTGTTCCTCATCTATGGGTGAGAATTTGACGGTGCTGGACTGTTAGCGGGGGGAGCCAAATTTTTCCTTGTGATTATCTACGGCCATTTTTATAGCGTTTTCCATAGTTTTTAGTTATTAAAACAATATAGAAAATTATATAAATTTTCGAAAATTTGACTTTTTGGCGAACAATGTATGAAAAATGATCAAAAAAGGCCAAAATTTTGAAAATTCTTTTTTGCTGACTTTCTAGCAACCAAAAACTACAAAAATACATAATATATCATCAACAGGTTTCCCTGCTAAAATCCCCCCGCTAACAGTCCAGAACCCATTTTACTTTGTTTATCACTCCCATTTCAGACTCGGTGCCCTGTTGCTAGTCTTCGTTCTGCAACGACACTTCTCAATCCCCTCCTTGGCGTTTGTCCTCATCTCCATCGGCCTCTTCTTCATCGGCGTCGTCACCTCGATGGTCATCATCGTGCTCGAGCAGTTGATGAAACAGGTGTTCGAGACGTTGGGTGCCGAAACGCAGGTTTCTTGTAGGACGCGACGCTGGAAGGCGCTTACAACGTGTGCTCGGTGTTGTTCCTCGTCCTCAGCCCACAGTACAACCTCGGGATGGGTGTCTATAGGTGTGTGGTGGCTACTTTCCTAATGCTCATTTTTAGGGGCTCCTTCGTCTACCAGATTCGCCACTTTGCCACGATGATCCTGGGTAAGCTTGTATTGGTGAAACAGCAACAACCAACTCGATTTAGTTGGCTTGAATCGAGAGGACCAGATCACGCATATTCCGCTGCCGAGCCTCCTCGAATGGGACCTGATGGGGAGACATGTCTTCGCACTCGTGGTACGCTTATCGAACGCGCCATCTTTTAGCTTGATTTAGTGCCAAGCCATCGTACTACTCGTCATATTTTGTGTCGTTGAGAACGGCAGATTTGGGATTTTGAGGTTGGTGGTAGCGATCTCGCCAAATATACCCACTTTTTAGACGCCTGGATCGATACCGTACGACTCGTGCCCTGGAGAAGTCCCGTGTCGAGGAAGATGAGGACGTGTCGCGAGAACGTGAACGAGTAGCTTCCTTTGCGTTTAGAAAATGCTTCCTTTTCAGGTGCTCGCCATCCGAGCCCACCGAACCGAACAAGAACACGCCGGCCTTGTTGTCTACGATTTGGCAAAAGTACGTATTTCGCAAAAATTAAGTGATTTTTTAGACCTACGGTTCTCACCTGGCCGTCAAGGGCGTCAGTTTTGCCGTGGCGCCGGGCGAATGCTTTGGTGAGGAATTTTGGACGTATTTTTACTTTTTCTCAGGTCTCCTCGGTGTTAATGGCGCTGGAAAAACGACCACTTTCGGCATGTTGACGGGCAAGGAAGCGCTGGGCCATGGCGAGGTCGAAATGGCCGGACATAGGTAATACTACCGTAGCTTTACAACGAGTTCATGACATTCCAGGGTGGTACACGGCGATTCCGAGGGATTCCGAAGGCTCGGCTACTGCCCACAGTTTGACGCCCTCCATATGAGACTGACCACTCGGGAACAGCTCGTCTTCTACGCGCGAATCCGCGGAATCCCGGAGCACAACATCAAGCAGGCACGCTGCCGCATTTCTGTGGGCAACCCCAAGCTTTAGGTCGTATCTTCATTGCTGCTATCACTGCATCTTCGTCCCTACGCCGACACTTTGACCGGAGACCTGTCTGGTGGCAACAAACGGAAACTTTCGGTGGCTGTCGCCCTGATCAGCCAACCGCCAGTCATATTGCTGGTAAGTTTTGGCTTACAAGGAGATTTTTTTAGTGTCCACAAAGTTTCGAAATGGCACCAAGCCTAATTTGTGCAGAATTTTTTGCTGATCAAAAATTACTCCTTAGAATCTGCGAAACGACCATATTTCAAAAGTTATGAAGCTTTAGATTTGAAAAATGCCGTGTTTTTGTCCTTCAAGGCGTCATAATTTCCTTATTTTGGTCGTTTCAGCAGATTCGGAAAACGAGTTTTTAATCAGCGGAAAATTCTGCACAAAAGAGGCTTGGTTCCATTTCTGTACTCCGTGGACACTAAAAAACGTCTCCTTGTTATCGATAAACCTTTTTTTAGGACGAACCATCAGCCGGAATGGACCCCGGATCCCAACAATTCCTCTGGACGGTAGTCACTCGACTTCGAAAAGCTGGTCGGGCCGTCGTCCTGACCTCTCATTCGATGGAGGAATGCGAGGTGAGGAGACTTCACCCGGCTAAAATGATAATTTTAGGCGCTTTGCACCCGAATCGCGATCATGGACGATGGGCGGGTCCGGTGCGTCGGCTCCAAGCAGCATTTGAAGACGAAATTCGGCGAGGGTTACACGCTCTCCCTGAAGACGCCGGATGCTCGTGGAGCGGAGCAGGCGGCTGAAATACTACTCCTCGGGATCCCGCAAGCACGGGTTCGGATTGGATTGACTTTTAAATTTTGCAGGGGCGTTTTTAGTGTCCACGGAGTTTCTAAATGAAATCAAGCCTATGTTGCGCAGAATTTTCCGCTGATCAAAACCTCGTTTTCAGAATCTGCGAAACGAACAAAATAGGAAAGTTATGGCGTTCTAAAAAGCCAAAAACCGCAAAAGTTGACCATTTTGGGCATTTTTCGTACTTTAAGGCTTCATAACTTTTGAAATATGGTCCTTTCCTCGATTCTGAAAACGGGGTTTTAATCAGCGAAAAATTCTGCACAAAATAGGCTTGGGCCCATTTCGAAACTCTGACAAAACTTGTCTCGAATGAGCGATCAAAGATGACTGAGGGTTCTAAACATCGGACGACGATCTGTGCTACGTGCCATTCCAATACTCGTGTTTGTAAATGGGCTCAGCCCGCCGCAAAGTGACCAGCACCCTCCCGTCCTCCAAAAATAAAGCCTGCCCCCTCCGACCTACTCCTCCCCGGTAATCCACGAAGCCAACAGCCCCGCTTCTTCCCACCGCCGTCCCCCACCAAACAGAAATTTCGCGCCATCGCCGACGGCACGACCCCGCGCACAAAATACGCCCCGGCCCGCCTGACTCATTTTTGTACATTGATCGAGGGATTTCGGGTTCTGGACTGTTAGCAGGGGGGGACCTACTTTTTGCTTTTCCACTTGATGATGATATGTAATGTATTTTTATGGTGTTTTTAGTAGTTTTTAATTGCTAGAAAGTTATAAAAAATTTTTTAAGAATTTGAAATTCGAAAATTAAGTATTTTTATATCGTTTTTATATCTAAAACTATGTAAAATGCTATCGAAAATATTTATATTTTCGATATCTATTTATGTTATAGGATCGTAGAGAATCACAGGGAGAAAAATTTGCTCCCCCCTGCTAACAGTCCAGAGCCGGTTTTAGTACAAAACGCCCAGATTCTGATTTATAGAGCCATTTTAGTGAGTTTTCTGAAGTGCAATTTCCAGGTGACTGCCATCCACTGTTCTACCGTATTCCTGCATATCCCGGACGGCGTGGCCAGCGTCGCCGAACTATTGCATCACGTCAACAAGGTACATCAAGGCTTTTCCACAAAAGCTCGTGAGCTTCAGGTGAAAGAGACGGTGGTCGTGGAGGATTTTGCCCTGTCCCAGACGACGCTTGACGACATCTTCCAATCGATATCTGATCGAAGCCCACAAGCGGCCAAGTATCGAGATACCGCCGAAGGGAGGCCCACCGCCACTTCTTCGTCTTCTACGTCACAGTTACAGGTTTGCTTTGCGAAATATACGCGGTAATGGTCTCGAATTTCAGACGAGCCCGCCAGACTACGTGCCCACAGACCCGGCACCGACCACATCGGAGCCAACCCTATCCGATCGATTGTAAAGAAAGACACCTGTACATTGTACCCGTTATCCGTGATGTGTTGGAATTTCGACGATGATCTTGGCCTTAACGATAAGGACGTTGAACCGCTTACCAAACAGGTTTGGACTTTAGATTGGTGGTACCCATGAAATACGTTTTCGTTCTTTTAATTGCTAAAAAAATAAAAAGTAGGTTCTGTAGAATTCGTGTGTTTCTACATTGTTTTTTTAACTATTCCTAAGCATAGAAACTTTACAAATTATATTTAAAAACTTAATTTAGATAGAAAAATTTATTTTTTCGACCAATAATGACGAAATTTTCGACTTTTTAAACATTTTTCGAACCTTTTTGAACCTTTTTCTACTTTAAATATAGTTAAAACTTACTAAAAACAATGTAAAATACTTTATTTCTTAAACGAGATTTAACTTTCCGAATTCCATCTTTCCAGGAGCTCACCTACCTGGTGGTGGGCTACGTGGGAGCAGTGCTGGTGTTGGTGGTAATGTACGAGGTGCTGATGCCGGTCTTCAACAACCCCACATACCCATTCTACAATCACGTACCAGACTACACCTTCCACCCGCCGCCCCGGCCCCTGCCCCCACATTAATAGGCGCCTATTTTAGCAATTTTGTGTGTGTGATACGGTTAAGGTTGTCCCCAGATTTCTTTTCTTTTTTGCTTGGTTGCTATTTGTTTCTGGCTTGAATTTCCCGGTTTAGTCCTTCACCAACTAACCCCTTTTTCTATATCTTTCTTCGTGTTTGTAATATTCATTTCCAAACCCCATGACGAGTCTAAATTTTTTTGAAAGCCTCTAAAATTATCTAGTACCGTGGGTTTCGATTAAAATTCTATTGGTGAACTGTGTACATGTGCAATCCCTGGATGTGATCTAATATAATCGCTAGTCATTGATGAGCTTAACTTGTTTCTTGTCTCGTTTCCCGGTCTTTATGCCCCAACAGTGCCTTCTCTTCCCCATTTCCCGAAATTCCTGCTGCTCCAATGTGATCCCCCCTTTTCCCCCGTTGTTTGCTCGCGGTGCCAAATGTGAATTGAAAGCGAGGGTAAATTCGAATAAAAACCTTTCATCAGAGAAACAGATGGGCGAGGAAATGAAGCAGACATGTGATAGATGAAGGTCTCAATGAGTCCCCGTAGCTACCGTAACACTTTCATTTTGAGTGTTTAGCCGGGCCCGGACTTTAGGCGCGTTCACGAAATCCTAATCCATCTTCGTCACGTGAAGCTCCGAAGTCAAGGTTTGTAGCTACTGCTCGATTTTTACATGCAAAAGCGGTAAGTTGAATTTTGGAAAAATGGATTTTCCGTCGAAAAATGGTTACAAAAAACTTGACATTGTGGTTGTTTTGCCACTGAGAAGGAGTGGTTTTTAGGTTATCTTGGAATTTTGCGATGTGACATAGCTCATTCGATGAGCTTGAAATTCTGAACAAATCCCAGCTTTCAAAAACTGCTGAATGACGACGGTTTTCGAGAAAATTCGCTCTGAAAGGGCCGATTTCAAGCAATTTTGGCCCCCGCTTAACAAAATGCTATTGATGACTTATTCTCCTTATCCAGAGTGAAATATTTCCTTTCAAAAACCCGACATTTCTGCCCTTTTCTGCCGTGGCCATTTCTCTAACCCCTCTGCTGTGCCGTGGCCCCTCAGCTGTGGGGTGTGGGCGAGAGATGCGGGAAAATGAAGAAAGTACGAGAGATAGCGAACGGAGACAAAGATAGACAGACTCTACACAGGCCAAATCGATTCTCGAGGGGTGAGGGAGAGGGGGAGAAAGCTGAAAAGAAGAACTGGTTCTCCTTCTTGCCGCCATTCCATACGCTCCATGCTATAAGCACGGCACCGTGTCTCGCAGCCACACTGGCTTGGCTTTTGATTTATTTACGTTAGTCGATTAGAAAGCGTTTTTTTGGTTGGATATGACCTGATACCTTAGAATCTAATGGCTTCAGTTCATTTCAATAAGCTTCTTTTTATAACGATTTTGGAGGTCGTATTTGCCGTTTAAACACGAGAAATATTCAATTAGCGGTTCTTTAGGATTCCCGGGGGGAAAGTATTCCCGGGGGAAACCAATTTTTCCTGGTGGTCCCGGTTGACCTAGTAATCAAATATAAAGTGTTTTCGAATTGTTTTTAGTAAGTTTTAACTATATTTAAAGCAGAATAACTTTCAGAAAAATTTAGAAAAATGTTTGAAAAAGTCGAAAATTTGGTCATTTTGGGTCTATTTTTCGACCTAATTTTTTAATTTTTTACATTTTTTTTGGTTAAAATGTGTGTAGTTTTTATGCACAGGGATAGTTAAAAACAATTTAGAAACGCATCCGCAATTTATACAAAAATCTAGGCTTTCGCCGAAAAAATTTGTTTCCCCCCGGGAATACTTCCCCCGGGAATCCTAAAGAACCCAATTAGCTTGCCGGAATTTAATTAATTTAACTTGTTGGTTTCAGGTGTTAATAAATGTAAGCTTATTAGTTATAATTTCCTAAGGTTTTTACGGTTCTAGTAAAAGAAGAAATCTTAGCTTTCGTATCTAAAAAGAAGACGAAAGGCTTTTTGAATAAAATGACCCAACTGTGAAACAAAAACCAGCCCGTGCATTCGATCAGTCTCACTGGAGCACAAGCTACAAACTTCATCGGCGGATCATATGGCAGGCCCGCCGTTACGTGTTGCCCTTTTTGCGATTCCAAAAGGCAACCCGTATTTAACGCCCCTTCACGCCCTTTCGCGCCCTCCTGTATTTCGCGCCCCCTGTAAATAACGCCCCCTGTATTTAACGCCCTTCTGTATTTAACGCCCTCCAAATGACCACGAAAAGGGCGTTATTTACAGGAAAATGCTCGTTTTGCAGGGCGTTATTTACAGGAGAGCGTTAAATACAGGGGGCGCGAAATACAGGGGGCGTTATTTATAGGAGGGCGTGAAGGGGCGCGAAAGGGCGTTAAATACGGGTTGCCATTCCAAAATAATCGTTGATTTAAAATTTAATTAAATACACAATCTTCAATTCATTGTCCGGGACCACTTCTCATATCTTTACAGCCGACTCGTTTTATGAAACCCCATAAATTTTTGCTATTAAAACCCGTTTTATTAGTCTTTGTTCATAAATGATGAGGGCGAGACGTGGGGGTTGTATGTTTGCGGCAAAACGGGGTGTCATGTCCCAACGGCCATCTATTTGCTGGCACGTTGCCAGGCCGCCGCCGGTCGTCAAAACAAAAATACCGGCCCTTTTTATGTTTTTCATTTCTGGGGGCTGCGGGGCGAGAGCGAGAGAGCGAAAGAGTGAGAGAGAGCGAGAGAGGGAGAGAGAGAGAGACAAAGACAGATCATTTAGCAAAAATGGGAAACGGCGAGTTGACATTGAGTCGGGGCTAGTGGGGTGGTGACGGAGATATCGAGCTGGCCGTTATTTTTTGAAGTCTTTGCTGGTTCTGTAGAGATCATAACTGTACGAATCCTCCTTGTAAACGTGCGGGCCGGACTTTTACCTTGCCGATCCCGTTAAACTTTTCACGTTTCCACCCTGCTCGTTTCCTTGTGACTACAGTGACGTCACATGACAGACATTCTCTCACCCCGGGTCCCGGATTAGAGTCCCTACATCACTCGATCGAATCATTTTATGCGTCTTTTTCTCTAGAATTTCTCGCTGTCTTAGCGACGGATATGTAACCGGGATAATCTTCTGATATCTGGGATCGAGAGATCAAACGCCCGATTTTCTGACGTATTTCTAGGTTGTTGGTGGCTATTTTTATCCCGTATCGCATAGGAGATCTTCAACGTCGTTTAAAAAGCTTGATTTCCTTTTCCTGCTTTTGCGCTTATACGCTGCTTTCTATATGCGTTCATTTCAGTTCTGTCGATGTTCAAGGAATTGTAGCTGTCTATCGATATTCGTCGAGATCTCCATTTCTCGTAAGTCTATCTTTCGCTATGCTTTGTCGAAGATGCGGAACAATACCACGATCATACATCGTATAATTGGGATTATACAAATTCCTAAACAACGCTGATTTTTTAGATGTTGGTGGCGAACTCGCAGGCGACGACAATCTCTACGGGTGGCGCCTTGCAGCGGGTCAGAAGGGATAGGTATCGTCTACCACTAATTCTACTTATTTTCTATTTAGTGCCACAACGGCTATATTATATCCCGCTTAATTTTATCCTCCATTTTTATCGATATGCCAACCGTTTAGTGCTATGGAGGTGCCGAACGGGCTGCGAGCACGCAGCGATTCCGCTTCCGAGGTTGGGCTAGATTTTGCCTATTTTATTGCCCGATTCAGGAAACGGAGACACTACGGGTGCGCATTGTGCGCGGCGAAAAGCTGGGCACCCGCGATTTGTTCGGCGTGACGAGCCCATATGTGATCGTGAGCGTGGAGACGGCCGCCGGGGAGCTGGTACATAAAGTCCAGCTGGAGACAAAGCGAAAGGTAAGAGAATTTCGATTACTAAGCTATTCCTATTTCTTTCCAGACCCGAAATCCGTCGTGGCACGAGCGCGTGACATTCCGATGTACGCGAAACTGCTGCCTGAAGGTTTATTGCTACAGCGAGAACAAAATTGTGAGTGAAAAAGGGTTTTTGAAGCATACAGGGAGTCACAAAAAAAGCACCCCTCCGGCAATTCGTCGCATTACATCCTGTCAGTCCCAAATTTGGAACAGAGGTGTATCATACCCTAAATAACCACAATCCTGTGTTATAAGCCGCCAGCTACACTAATTTTCGAGATACAACAAAAATAAACTTTATAATGCTTTTTTTCATAGGGTTTTCGTCGGAGTCGACCCTTAGAATATCAAGTGAAAATGACGCGGGAAGGCTTCTTTACCTCTAGAAATTTTTTCCTGACCAAAAATTTAACTAACTCATGCTTTCTAGAAGTTTTTTTACAAGCAAAAATCAATCATAAACGAAATGAGGGGTTCCGAGCCGGAAGTCGAGCAAATCGACGC